ATTAATCCTACATAAAAAAGTGCTTTTGGTGGATTAGTAACTTTAACTTTGTATGGAATTAGTTTAGGATATTTTTTATTTTAATTTGTTGATTGGCAATAAAATAATAAACTTCCAAAAGTTACATCTCTATAAGAATAAATTAATGAAAAATAATAATTGAATATAAAAGGGATATTTGCAGAAATAAGTTACTTTAAAGAACTTAAAAATTAAATAGATCCTTTTGATCCAGAAAATATGATTTTATAACCATTTATAATTAGCTTTACCAATGATTATTCAAATGTAAATTATATTATTAAACTAGTCAACAAAAATAAATGCTACATTTTCAAAACATAAAACATAAGATGGACAAACTTTAAACACACTATATCTGGAAGATATTTTACTTTAAAACACACCAATAGGTTCATCCAATAATTATTATACTAATTATGAATTATACATCGGATATTGTAATCCAGAATAGCTTTAGGATGGAGAAAAATGCGCAAACCAAGATTTAGTTGATTAATTTTTTTTACAGGATAACTATTTTTAATTGTTGATATATTTCGAATAATTTGATCCAAGAAATAAATAAGTTATTAAAGTTCCTAGAATATTCGTTTTTGATATTCTAAAAAATTAAATTTACTTTAATTAATTTATGTTAAAAGCAGGAGAATTGACTATGGATGATGGATTTTTATTTCCAAACTCAAATATATTCACCTATCTTTCTGATGTGACTATCTTAAATACCTAATATGATCAAGAATATTCAAAAAAGTAATTTGGCTTAGAGTTAATCTCAATTTTATATTTTAATTTAGATTAGATAAAAATAGTAAATATGGTTGAATATCCAAAAATATCAGAAATATTAGCTGATACAGGTTCAATTATATCTTGGATTCTTTCAATATCATTTTTAGTATCAAAATATAATGAGAATATTTGTTTATAAAAAACATAAAATGAAGTAATTTCAATGTATTATCATGATTATATTGATTTTAAAATATAAAAGAATTGGTTAGGTAAAATTAAAAGTATAAATTACAAAGAAAAAGAATATGATCCGTAAAAATCAGAAAAAATTCTTAATAAATTATCTAGAATAGTGATTAAGAAAATGAATTATTTAAATTTATAAAATGAAGTAGCTAAGTAAATATTTTTAATTAAATTAATTTAGACTAAAATTAATCTTATAAGAACATATAGGATTAAATTAAATTAAAAAATATTTAGAATAAAAAAATAAATTAGAACTTCTTTTTGATAAATTAGGCATGCCTGATGGTAATTTACAGAATTCATTAAACTAATTTGTAATCTTTAATTAAGTATTAAAGTTACCATAATCTGGTGAATAATTTGAACACAGTTTGTATTTTTAGCAATAAGGATTAAATGATTTTTAGAACAATAAGGATAAAGTGCTAGAATCAGAATTAGAAGATATAATGGAAATTTTAGACCTTAAATTTACTTAAAATTATAATTTACAACCACAAAATTAAGCCTCGATAAATTTAAGCTAATTACAATTAAGAAATAACCATTCATTAGTTAATGCTCGTTAAAATTAAGTTTTTATTCAATGATAAATTTATTTAATTACAATCAAATTATAATTAGACTTAAGGTTTTAACTTTTCGTACAAGATTACTTTGTTCTTATCATATTAGCATCTAAAATCATCTTTCGCCTACATCTAAAATCATCTTTCGCCTACTGGTAATATTTAATTAGCTAAAAATTACATCCTTATTCAGTAATTTCTAAATTTTGAATATTAAACAAAAAATATTTTTTTAGCTTGTCTTCAAATAATAAATCGAAATATCTTGATATTGAATAATCAATAAAAATATTCTTTCCTTAAACATTAATTAAAGGAAATTATTTGTAAAATATTTTTTATGCTTTTCAACATATTTTTGCCAATAAAAATAGAAAATAAAAAAGTAAATTCTTAAATATACTATAATAATTTTTCGGAGAGGACTAAGTTTTTTTTAAAATTATGTTTCCTTTTGATTCTTCGAAATAACCTTTTTTTTTTCTTTTAGGATTAATAAGTTCCCAACCTATGATATTTCTCAAAAATTTATAAACCTGAAATTCCAGCTTAATCATAAGAATTAAAAAATAAAAAAAAATTTGTATTTCAAAAAATTTTCTTAATGAAATAAAATCAACAAGATTTATAATATTATTTTAATAAATGTAATATTTCTTATAATCAATCGATTAATTTGGGGTTGAGTAAAAGCTTTAAATTCCACCCATTAATCCTACATAAAAAAGTGCTTTGGGTGGATTGATAACACTTGCTTTATATGGAATAAGCTTAGGATATTTTTTATTTCAATTTATTGATTGGTAATCGAATAATAAACTTCCAAAGATTACTTCTATATAATAATAAATTGACATTAATTAAACTATTGTTAAAAATGGAATTTTTATTGAGATTTGCTAATTCTAAAAACTTAATAATTTGATTGATCCTTTTAATCCAAAGTAATTGATATTTACGCCAGTTTTTTAAAAGATACCAGATGACTGGGACTAAGTATAAATAATAAAGATTTTATTATAGATTCAAAACATTTCTCTCCGTTTTGATTAAACTATTTAAGAAGATGGAAAAATTATAAATAAATTTTACATTGAAGATTTAACAATGATCCAATCCCCTTTAACAACTTCTTAAGGCAGCTCAATAGACTACTAATTATTACTTGGATTTTGCAAAGAAGATTAGTTAAAGGATGGATAATAATGTGCTGATGAAGAGACAATTAACTAATTTTATAAATAAGATAACTTTTATCAAGTTTAAATATTTATTGATTAATTCGATCCAAAAATGAAGCAATTTAAAAAGGTTCCTAAATTGTTTATTTTTGATATTATAAAAGATCAACTTTTTTATAATTAATTTACACTATAGGCAGGAGAATTGGAATTAGATGATGGGTTTTTATTTCCAAAATCAAATAAATATTCATATTTGTCTAATTTATAAACTCTATCTACTACATATGATTGGTTATACTCAAAAAAAGTGTATCACTAAGAACTAACTTCACTTTTATTTTTTACTTTAGATTAAATAAAAATAGTAAATATGGTTGAATATCCAAAAATATCAGAAATATTAGCAGATACAGGTTCAATTATATCTTGGATTCTTTCAATATCTTTCTTAGTATCAAAATATAATGAGAATATTTGTTTATAAAAAACATAAAATGAAGTAATTTCAATGTATTATCATGATTATATTGATTTTAAAATATAAAAGAATTGGTTAGGTAAAATCAAAAGAATAAATTATAAAGAAAAAGAATATGATCCGTAAAAATCAGAAGAAATTTTTAATAGATTAAATCAAATTGTTGTTGAGAAAATGAATTATTTAAACTTATAAAATGAAGTAGCTAAGTAAGAATTTTTTATTTAATTAAATTAGGTTATAATTAATCTTACAAGAACATTTAGGATTATAATAAATTAAAAAATATTTAGAATCAAAATATAAATTAGAGCCTTTATTTGATAAGTTATGCATACCTGAAAATAATATTTAGGCTGTAAATTAAATAGTAATTTAATTATCCATAAAAAGCTTCCATCTGATTAATAATATATGAGAGTAATCTAACAATAGATTAATTCAGAAACTGAAACCTTATAATAAAAGGATATTAAATTAGATCAAGAATTGGAAGAAAGGATTGAGCTATTTGCTAATAAAAATATCCAAAAGCTCTAATTAACATAGATAAGAAACTAAGATCATTAAAATTCTTAATTAAGTTAAAATGTTAATTTATAAGTAATACAACTTGAATATTCATAATCCTATCTGAAATGATTATTGATATTAAAAAACTAAAATCTCAAATAAATATCATTAAATATTTTTTGATTTAATATAGTGATAAACAACAAAATTACTTTTTTTAATAAAAATTGTAAGACTTATATATAATTATTTATCAAATGGAATAACTTTATTCATATAAGGTATTTCAAGCAAGGACAATTTCTTTTCCATTTAGTATTACTTTTTTTCCTTTATATTTTTCCTTTGCAGTAGCAATATAATCTAAGAATTTCGGATCAAACTATTCCAAATCTATTTAAGTGTTAGGTGAAATTCCATCTCCCATAGATAAATCAAAAGTTTCTATATCAGCAAAAGTACAAAGAGGAGCAATAGGATAGGAAGTTCCTAATAATAAATATGAATATAAAGATACCATCTGTTTCATAGATATTTTAAAAAGGAAGAAACCAGAGATATGAATAATTGAAAAACCATGCAACATTAGCAATCCATCCACGATTAAACAGATTGATACTTTTAGAAGTTGGATTTTAGCAACAGCAAATAATATTTGATCCATTTTTCATTTACTCTAAAGTTGTTAAATTTGTCAAAACTAAAAGTGTATGATATAAAAACAAAAAGAATAACATAGCACATGTTGGATACAAAACTAAACTTGTAAAAAACCAATAAAAATAAAAGAAAGAACTTTGTTGCTAAAAAAAGCCTTTATCATTTCTATAAAGATCTTTAAAATATACATATGATGCCCAACTATATTATATTGCCCCAATCTAAATATAATTATAGAATATATACTGTCATATACAAAGTAAATAAATAAAATGCTCTATGATTTCTTAGTCCAACACAATTATGAATCCAGGGACAATGATGATCCATTTTCAATGTGCATTAATTGCACATTGAACAATGATGTGCTCTTATGGGTTTCCATTTATTACAACTTGCACAAGCTGCGTTATTTTTATATATAGGATCAATTCTTCTATTATCAGGTGGTAATGGGGCTCTTTAAGGAGTAGTATTTTTTATTGTAATTGCTTGATAATATGACCACATAGCCATCATATAAACAAAATATATCATAAAGTTTTGTATATTCTAAGAAACATTATCTAGTTTTAAATCAAAGTACTAATTTCATTTTTTTTCATTTTACATATTATTCTAAAATTACACAATTTGTTGGCATTAGGATTGTGAAAAAGATTATAAATGGACCAGCTTATTTGCTGAATTGGTTCATTTTACTTACCCTTTTAGATTTTTATGTCTATGGCTGCTTAATATGAAGCATCTATTTAATAAATACTAATTTAAAATTAAATAATATTTATTTAATATTTTTTTCATTATTAAATAGAAGAATGTTGCTTTCTATGTTTTATTCTTTAAATGATCTTTTAACATATAATCAGTCGTAACAATCATCTTTCCTTAAGATGCCTTGTTAAATATTTTTGTATAAATTTCTTTAGTTTTCTTCCCAAATAAACTTACAAACCTTTTAAGCATTACCCGTGTATTTATTTTTTAGTATTAATTCATTTATATTTATATGCCTTTAAATTTACGTTATACTATGGACAAAAATTAAGGACAATATAATCATTAGGAAAGGAAATTCAAATCATAAATCCTTCATCATTAGATTTTGAAGATTGTATAATAATCTAAAGCAGTCTTTGTGTTTTTTTTGCATTAGAAATATTTTGAAAATTATTTTCTTAATTGTTTATTAATTAATAATTCTTTCATAATATGATAGTGAATTAAATTCTTTAAGAAATTTTAAAAAATATTAAATGTTACAAACACTTCATTAGGTACCAAAATAAGTGCTATTAGAATTTTATAACTTAAATAAATTATAAGTCTAATACCTTTATGACGTATTAGAATATAATTTAGATTCACTTTATAGAGTACTATAGAATATAAAAAGTGCAGAATTAATTGATAAGTTAATTGAAGCTTTAAAATAAAAGTAATAAAAAGAAGGATTATTAAAATCAATGACATATGGTAATTTAAAGGAACTAAAGAATTTCTTAAAATAAAGAATAAGTTTTGAAAATTTGATAAGTTCTTTAGAATAATTAAATGAGGAAGAAGAAAAGTAGAAAGTTTAAGCAACAGAAGTATAGGAGAGGCAAATAATACAGTAAGATAGTAGATTTTTGGAATTGCCTCTTTATATTCATCTGCTTGTTATGGACTATCTTGATCCTTAGTCATTACATATAAGTAGATTGGTTTGTTTAAAGATGAATGAGATTTTCAATAATCCCCAAATTAGTGATAGATTTTATAAAAAGTTTTGTTAGGCATTATTTGATTAAATTGAAACAAAACCAGTTTTAATAAGTCCATTTGAGAAAACAAGAAAATTCATAAATGACAACTTACATATATTTGAATAGTAATTGTAACTAATTAATTAAATTAACCATAATGCAAGTTAAACAATATGGAGTATTTGGGGTAATACTTAATAGAAAATATTAAGTTTTTATGAGATACATTAATAATATTAATCGTATAAAGATATGTATGATTAATAATTGAGATTGAATTATTGTGGTGTATATGCTATGAAGGAATATTATATAAAGTATGGAGAGGCTTAATTTCAATAAACTAGCGCTCCATGCTATAGAGTAGAATTCTTTCGATATATTCGATTTTGGAGGGATGGTACTTTTACAATGTATATATCTTCAAGAAAATTAAAAAAATAGGATATTTTAGAATATTTTAGATATCCTGAGATTGCGGTGATGCCAAAATTAGGAGTTTAGAAGTAAATGTAAATTGAGGAGAGTTTTTTAAGAGGTGAATATAGAATAGTGTTAGATGAAGTATATATTATAGCAGCAAGATAAAGCACAACATTTTAATATAAATATAAAATAAAGAATTATTAGAATAAACATCCTGGAAATGTTCTATAATTATTATTAGGGTAGATGCATACATTAGGAGATACTTATCGATAAGATATAGCAGATTAATCTAAGAAGAAGTATTTCATTTATAAACATCTTGAAGAGTTTCGAGATGAATTATAAGATGAATAACATGGTTGGAAGAATGTAGTTTATTGATTTATTTAATTGAATTAGAATTATAAAAATTACCAATAATTAAATTTAATATATATGACAGAAAAGAAATAAGAATTCAATCCATTATTAGTTGCATTTTATTCAGGTCTTGCGTCTATGGTTGGTGATATGGTTATGTTTCCTTTTGATACCATAGGAACAAGAATCAAAGCACATAAATCAGAGTTCTTAGGAATGAAATAAGGATATGATCTAATTGTTAAGAATGAAGGATTTAAATATTTATTCAAAGGGTTTTCTACAACAGTAATGGGTATTAATTAATGTTTATAATTAGGTTCATTTATTCCTTATGGTTCATATTTTTTAGCCTATGAATATATGAATTATTATGCTGTCAAATTAACAAAAGGTTTAGAGAAGGATGGTGAAAAAAGTAAACTTAACTTATTGATTCCACTCATTACCTCTCCATTAGCTGAAGCTTTATCTGTTATTAGTATATATATCTATTATTACGCAAGCCTATATTCCTTTTGATACTTTAAGAACCAGAATGTAGATGAATGTTCCTGAATATAATTATAAAGGAATATTTTCAGGATTAATGGAAATTTCTAGAAAAGAAGGTTGGATCCGTTTATTTCAAGCATCTTACTTATATATGGCCTCCGTTGTTGTCTATACAACATTCTAAATGTGGTTCTATGAATTGCTGAGATATGAAATATTAAGATAAAGGACTGATCTCACTATACATAATCAATCTTTAGCCCTTCATCAATCTATAATTGCTACAATGGTTTCAACTGCCTTAGCTGCTGCCATTGTCAATCCTGTTGATTTTATTATTACTAGATATTAACTTGTAGATAGCAGTTAATAATAATTATCTGTTAAAAGTTTAGTTTTAGAAGCTTGGCATTAAGAGGGAAAAAAAGCATTTCTTAAAGGATTAGGAACTAGAGTCTTTTAATGTAGCTTATTTTCTATCTTTTATTTCCCTGTTTATGATCACTTCAAATCAAAGTATGGAATTACATTAGCAGATTGATTTATGGAATTAAAAATGTGACTTTTTATTATGTGTATTTTTATTAAATATTAATCAGAATTATTCTTGAATATAAAATAAAATTCATCCATAATTCAGTAATAATTAAGGATAATATCAAAATTCATTTGATATTTATTCTGAAGATATGGAATCCCCATTTACAAACTGCTCTTCTTCAAATATAAAAAGTTTATCTATATTTAGATTTAATAAATACTTGAAGAATCAGTCTTAATACTTTTAGAGTATGTTTCATCGTATGGTTGCCCATCATAATTGATTCTATCTAAATAACTTTGATTTAAAATTATCGATTTTAAATCAGGTAATAATTCTCGATCAGTGTTGATACTAAAAGGGCTTGTAACAAAATCATCGTCTGTTTTTTTTTATAGTTTGTGAATATCATCTAAAATGTATATTTTCATATTTTTGACAATTTAAAACTTCTCTAATTTTTTCATGTTTTAATTATTTGTTTTTGCTGAATTTTTAAATCTTATTTCCCTATAATTTTTTATTCAACCTAAAAGACTTTCTTTTAGGATAAAACAAATTTAAACATTTGTATATAATAATAATATAGAAGTAATAAATGATAGTTCTCAAACACTTTTTAAAATTGAAAATGATGTTTAATAAGAATTAATAACAGTAATTATCAATAAAAATTTTAGAATTTAATTAAGCAAATTCTAGTATTTATTCATTCTTAATCTTTCTAGGCCTTATCATTTTCTTAAAACTTAAAATAAAATAATAAAAAATGCTTATGTTTTTGATATGAAGTATATAAAAATCAGCAAGAGATATTTAATAATTTTAGTGAAAAATGGTATGATAAATAAATACAATTTATCGTCAAAATTGATTACAATTTCAATTTCCTCATTAAAAATGGACTTTTTTTTTATGAGATTTTTTGTTATCTCTTTTATTACTTACACTTCTATGCGTTTTTTTCAAAATTCCTTGTTATTTAAAACTTTAGTTTTATGTTGAAGTATCTGTTTGTTGTGAATGCTATTATACAAACATAAGCTTTTATTCATTATTTTTTTACACTTAATCAGATTTTATTCTTTTATGTTATGTTTCGTTAGTAGAGTACTCATCTAATGTTCTAAATTTAAAATTTACTATTACTCTGGATATATATTATCTAAATTATCTGGTATAATCTATTTTGCAATACTATTCTTTAGAAAGTAGGCTTTGATAAATTAAAATTAACCTTCAGGATGATCATTCATTCAAGTATTAATAAATAAATATTTTAAGAGTAAATTAATAATCTTTTTATCTAATTGATATCATAATTAATATATTGAATTTTATGAATCAATTTTATCTGGCAATAGGAAAGAGTTAAAATATATAAAAATTATGCCTAATTGTGTATTCTTTACTTAACTTAATATTTATTAATAGCTATCTTAAAAATTTATCTATATATTTGAATGGACAACGAAATGGAATTAAGAATGAGATTTATTGTCATGTTCTTTTTCAGATATTAAAATTAGAAAATGCATTTGATTAAATTTTAATATATTCAAATGAATTTGAGACTGTTATAAAATGATATGATTTAACTATGTATTCATTACGTACCTCTTTAAAAATAAGATTATCATAAATCCAAAAAAGAAAATACTTATGGATTTAATCAAGTATAACTTAAACTTTGATAAATATTTTATATTCAAAGTTTTTCAGAATTCAATATTGTATTAAAATGATTAATCACAATTACTATAAATAGTTGAGGAATTTTATCTTCTGCTAGACTATTTTTTGCATAAACTTCTAGTTCGCATAAACTTCCTCTACAATCTTACTTATTCTGTGACTAAAAATCTCACAGATTTTATTGTTTATGATGAATTTGGAGATTACGAATCACTATTATATCTACTTTTTTTTATAATTCCTTTTATTGTTTAATTAGTTTTATTCATAAATATTGGTGGAGAATAGTTAATTTTTTTATTACTTAATGTCTTATTGTGTTGAAAAGAAATTGAATTTGAATAAAGTCTATTGATCCTATTGTTTGTAGGACAAGTATGATGAACTTTAGTAAATTCACAACCTTCCCAAGTATGTTCAGATATTGCTTACATAGGGCTACCTGGATCCACAGGTTACTAAGGGTGATTCTACTCTATCTCTAATTAGATTTTAGTTTTGTTAGTTTCTAAGATTTATTTCTAAGGAAAGCCATAATTTAAAGTTAAACTAGTTGAATGTTTTTGCTACTCTTTTTCATCAAATGAGCGAAGAGTTGAAAATATTAACATAGAATTTTAGGGTTATGAACATCTTATTCCCATTATTATTATGTTTGAATGTATATTTTTTTCAATAATATAAACTTTATTAAAATTCGTAAAAATTCTTAGAATTTAATATTTATATTTCAAAAAGTAAAGAATAATCATGATGAAAATATTCAAAATTCATTCTCTTAAAGTTTAATCAAAAAGGCAATCATTTTCTATAATGTTCTTTCTAAATGAGTTTTAGAATATTCTTCAAAATTTTCCAAAATTTATTTCATAAGAAAATGGAAAGTTTTCCAAATTCCTTAAAAAAGGAACTTTATATATCTTAAAACCACAATATTCCTATTATTAAATACTGCAGGAAATATTAATAAATTAATACGTTTGATAAAGTTATTTTTTGAAAACAACAATTATATGTTGAACTTAAAATTATTATAAATTTTTAAATAGAAAATCTATGTATTCAATAAAAAATTAAAGAATCAAGAATAGGAAATTTATGAGTCAAAAAATAACATAAGTGAAAAAATTAAATTAGATTAACTATTTAAACACTTAAAAGAATCTGAAAATTCTCATAGATTGACATTTACATATTAATTATGTAATTTTGGAATTCTTAAACAGATCTTAATTATACTATGTACAACTACAATTCATTCACAACAATAATTGTTATAAATAATGAAAATTTGAAATTCATTAATAATTCATGGCAAAATCTTCTACTAAGAGATTATCATAATGTGATTCACTTTATAATTTTTCTTTTGTAAAATCAATATTAAAGAGGAGTCTCATAACATCCTAAAATGTTAATGTATTAATTAGGTTTCCAAAGAGATCATCATAAGCTTAAGTGTGTTCTTAATATGCTTTAGCTAAATTATCATCCATCTTAATGCAATTTTAATATTTGAAAAATTCATTCGTTACAGATAATCCACACAATAACAATATTGTTTTATTTAGTGTAAGGGTTTTTCTCCATTTCATTAAAACAAGAGAAAAACAAAAAATCGGTACAAGAGCTATTAATTATTTATATTGTAGTAACCTGTGTTATGCACATAAAATTTAAAAAATTTAGGTAAGGATGATTTATTTAAAGATTATTATTAATTTGTGAAATATAATTCTTAAAGTTTATTTCCAATAGCAATCTTCTCACATAGATTAAAGATTGTTGCATCTAAATACTTATAGTCATTTTTAATTTTATCATATTTAAGTATGGTGTCTTAATCTTCAAGAATTTGATCATCATAATTTTTAGGAACATATTCTGTTTTGCTTGTTAATTATTTATATTTTCTTGTGTCCATTAATAAAAAATAAATTCATAATTTATTATTTTCTATGATAAGAAAAAGATGAGAGAGAAGTAGAAAAATGAAAATTAGAAATAAATTATGGATAAGTATTGATGCTAGAACACAAACAAAATCCTACTCTCATAATTTAAATAAAAATTATAACCTTATTTTGAAAGGTATTACATTTCTTATCATTTGATTTTGTTATTAAGAATTGTGTTCAAAAATAAACTTAGGAACATACTTATTTATTTTGAATATATCCAAAAAAAGTGAGCAAGCCACAATGTTGAGTATTTTAGAGATAGAAGAGACATATGATTTTTATTCATGTCTTTGCTTTTCTAATATTTTTGATTGTGGTAAATTTATGTAGAGAATAGTATTCAAATTAAATAATTAACTCTAAATTAGAAAATTTTACTAAGCTTTTATATCTTAATTTTGATATACACCCCAATTATTTTTATATCAGAAAATAGAGAGTTAATAATATTTTTAAAAATTTGAAATAGATAATTATATGATAAGCTGAAGATATTTACTTAAATGTATGAGTTATTGTCCATTTATAAATTATTCAACTATTTTATAAATATTTATATTTAGTCAATAATTCATATAATTGTAATCCTCTTTAATAGAGTTCTTCATTTTAATGAACTAATAAAGCAACTTCTAATCCAAAAGATATTTTTTGCACTCGTTTTGAATGGAAATCAATTCTATAAACAAAGATAAGATTTTTATTTGACTCAAATGCAACTTCCATTTCTCCTTGCTACAAACATTTTTATTAGAGTAATTCATCATGATTCTAATAATGTGTGGCTGATAAGACAATAGGTGGAGTTGGAGTCATTTACATAAAGTACTCTAATGCAGATTTATGGAGATTGGATCCAACTTAATATTTAAAAGCTATAAATAGATATTATTAATTTACTTTTGCCAATTTCATCCATCAAAACTAAAGATCTGCTTGAAACTTTAAGTGCAGAACTTAATTACATCAATTCTAAATTAGTTATACTTAAATTTGATTATTACTTACCTTCACAAGGAAAGAGGGCTTAAATCTCTTCTAATAAATATGTATCTACACTCAAAGCAGGAACAGGTAATCCACAATGAACTAAATAAATTATGATACCAATTTATCTAATAAAAACTGACTTACCAGAAAAATTAGGACCTACAATTAAAAATATTCTTTTATCATTAAGAACAAAGTCATTTGGTTAAAATTCTACATTTTATTTCTTGGTTTATTCAACAAGTAAATGTCTACTTCCTTATATTTTCATTTGGTTATTATTATTTAATTTAGGAATACATAATCGCATTTATGTTATGGCTATACTTAACCCAATATAATAATCAATTTCTCCTACTAATTATTCTATCTATTATAATTATTCAGAATATGATTAAATTTATTTAACAAGTTCAATTAATATTTTTTCTTGCATAGATATAATTTAATCTTCTAAGTCACCAAATTATTCATCCAAACTTAAAGTATAAGAAGTTTTAAACATTACATAATTGTCAGCATCTCTTTCACTAACCATATCCCATCCAAGACTTGAAACTTTATCTTCAACATTTAAGTTTGATTAAACAATTAATTTGTAAGAATTATTTACATGTTTCACTTCTATTTATTAGGGCTTAACACCTACTAATGCTAATTCGGATTAATGTTTATTTTTTATTAATTAAATCCTTGATTTTAAATTTATTTACAAAGATAATAATTATTCCAATTAAGGATATCTTTATTCTTTTATCTACACATTTGACTAATTAAACAACAAAGAAGTTTCAATTATCTCTGATAATTAACATATACTTTCTAAATTTACATTACTTAAATCTTTCAGTAATTAACATGTCTATTATTATGCTCTTCTATCTATCACTACAAGTTATTTAACCACTGTTACAAATTCAATCAAATACTATAATTAAGTAAACAACTTTGAGTATGGTTCGCTCTTCTCTTAATATGTTGATAGTACCTTCAACACTACATAACAATATTCTTAATACCCTAACTAAATGATCCAATCTTAGATGGCATCCTTATAAATTTTTAATTAGAAGGTTATAATGATAATTGTTGAAATATTTATAGATACTATAATCTTTTATTTATTATTTAATATGATGATATTGGATTTTTTAAATATTCCAAAAATATCTTTTTTGCATGAGCTGTTTAAAAGTATTTTTCAAATAATTATTGAATACTTAATTACTTATTTTCCTATTTTAATATTCCTAATTGATTTTATAAACAATCATTAAATTTCATTTTACAACATTTCTCATTTTCCTAAAGCTAATTTATAATAGTATCTAAATTCATTTTTGTTAAAACTGGTAATGCTGAACATAAATTAATATAGATTTGTTTATCTATTATTGTTTCATTATATATTTCTGGATGAGCAAATCCAACTTATGCTAATTTATCTTAAATGTTATAATCCTCTACCTACATAAAATTGCAGAATTTAACCACACCTTAAATTATCTATTTTATAGTCATCAGCAATTATTAAGGAAAATTTATGGAATAATATATCATTAATGTATCTATCTAATACTCAATTAAGAATTATCTAATCTTTGTTACTTAACTTTACTCTATTGTCACTACCAATACACTATCTTTCATTGAATATGTAATGCCAATTTAGGGTCTATAATAATAAAGTGAGATCTTATAATCATCCACATTCTTATCGTTAAAATGTAATTTCTAGAATTATTAACTAAATCTAATGCTCTCTAGATCTTCTTAGACAAAATTATTCATTTTTTAGAGTGGACTTAACATTCTACTACCAATTAAGACATTATTTGATTAATATTATTATTATGCTTAAACATTTTAAAAACTTGGCTTTTAATAATAAATTTCAGAACTAGAATTTAAGTGATTTAATTTTTAAATTTAAGGGGCATTCCTATTATAATTATTACCATTCTCCATTTCAAATTTGTAATCTTCAAATATAGATGATTTCCTTAATCCACAATCTAAATTAGTTTATATTTATTGTGGAGGTTATCTAATTTTTCTATCACTCAAATTTTAGTCAAACCTAAATTTATAGGCAGAACCATTTAAATCCTTCAATATACGATCTGGCTGTTATTGTTATTTGAGTTCTGATTGATATAATTAAGAAAGGCTTAAATTGACTGGGGTACGTATTGGTTTCATAATAAAAATTAATAAATTAGAACTAAAAATACTTAATTGATAATTCAATTATCAAAATAGAGTTAATACTAACTACATTTGAAAATATGATACATTGATAAATTATATATAGAAATTAAAATTTTATTATGAACGTTGCAGATAGAGGAATCCATATAATTCTCATGTATTTGAGAATGAATGCTTTTACAATTCTATCAATTTAAATGCTTACTAAGGTTAATCAAATATGTTCAAGTAGCAATAATCTAAAATTTAGATGATGGAGAATTATTTTTATCCTTCTCTCTCAAAGGAGCAAGTTTCATGATAATTCTTAATTTAATTGCATTTATTTATGTGAAGGCAAAAGAAAAGATGCAAGTTTCTGATACTTTTTTGTTGGCTTTCTTAAACATTTGTTGGGGAATTATACAATTTATGAAGAGTTATCAGATAGCTGAAACCAATATGAATGAATGTGAATACATTATTAATATTCAGCAAATAATATTTTACTTTTAGGCTACAACTGCAGTATGGGTAATAATAAGAAATTGATCTAGGTTTTATCAGCATTTTTTTTCAGTTAAATTGTCATCAGAATAACTAGTTTACCAATAAATTGTGTTTCTTTATATTTGATATTCATCAATTAGAAGTAAAGTTGCATGGAAGAAAACATTTATTATTTAATGATTTTTACAACAGTGTGGTTGATAATACTGGGAATTCCATATAATTTTTTTATGAGTGCTAACAAAAGAGTATCAGGACCTTATTAATTTTTGACAATAATTGGAATTCTTATACAGATACCGTTATGTGGTACTTAATACAGATTTAAATATAGTATTGATTTATCTGAATGGAATGAATTATAAAAATGATACATGTTAAACTGCATATAGTGGTTAAGAAATATTTCTGGTAATATCTGTACTACAATTAGTGCAACTACTAATTTACTTTATATATTACAAAGTATAATAATAAATATGAAAATAGAGATTTGAATAAGAGAAAAAGAATCAAGAATTATCAAAAGAATTAGTGAATTTATCAACAACAACAACAAATACCAAATTATCAAGTACAAAATATACCATAAAAAAATGAAATTGTAAAATTAAATATTCTTTACTCTTAAAAATTAATAAATTATGAATTATTGACAAACTTTTTCCTCTATATCTTTTTCCATCATAATTTCATCAATCCCTTTATTGGATAGGTGTATTTGATGATTCTTTTTTAAGTTCTGTCTTTGGTCCAAATTTTTTCTTTTGTAAAATTTTCTTAGTCTATTTCTCTATCTTTTTTGTCAGTATCTTTATGTAATGAATAGAATTCTTTGATAAATTCATCTGCATTCAATAATTCTTATCTTTGATATGTCATTTAAGATCTACCTAGTATTTAAATTGAAAGTTTGATTAATTTATCTTTCAATTTTTAATTATGGAATCGGCTAAGATTATTAAATTTCACCTATCTTCTCAAATTCATATTCTAATTCAATTTAAGGTTATTTTTATTCATCTTTAGTTCCATATTATTCTGATGTGTTAATATATTCACAACTTCTAATATTTCCAATTGATTTAATAAATTATTCATATATATCCCTAAACAATAATTAATAGTAAGTTTAACCTTATAAAACACATTCTTTGATATTAATTCTTCATTTTGTAAACAATTAGTATTAACTGTAATTCTCTTTTGTTTCTTTAGAATAGTTTGTGCTGCTATTAATTTAACCTATAAATCCTAGGATCCTATTTTAATATTTTTTTAAGGTGATAATTTAAAAAAAAGAAGGTGATGAAATCTCAGTCAGAAATCTTTAAGCTAATTCATCAGAATAATCACAAATTATACAGAGGGGAGATTCAACATTTTCATTCAAAAGAATGATATATTTCTCTTATTAGATTGGTTATTCTTTAGCTTATGAAAAAGGCATGACTCCTAAGAGTTTGTTTTTTTCATTAATAACTCTTACATCTCCTTAGTATTGAATATTTTCATTGGCAGGATATGATTTGGCTTTAAGTAGTGCTAAAACTATTTATATAATAATAGGGTTGAATTTGTAAATTCCGAAACAATATTTCAATATCATATATTTGCGTAGCTGTATATAATAAATTGATGAAATAAATATTGTCAATATTATTATCATTCATTAACCTCATTTTGATTTAATGTATGCACCTGATTTAAGAAGAGGACCCACAACAACAACATTTTTAGGAACAGCTACCTATATCACAGAACCACAAGAATAAAACAAAGCCACAACTATATTAAAAATTGAAGAAGCATAACCACCTAATACTTTTGATGAGCTATACACACCTCTACCTAATTAAGTTGAATTCAAAAAGATCAACACTAATGTTTTAAATAGTATGAAATTCCCTTCCAAATCTAATGATAAAGAAGATGGTTTATTAGAAGTAATCACTAATAATATTAAAGGTAAAATCCATGTTTACTCAATGGCAGAAATACTTGAATCTAGAAGAACATAAAGCTGTTGTTTCTGATTCTTTTTGGTATGTTGTTACTAAATTCTTTAAAAGAGAAATCTAGCCTGATGAAACTTCTGAAACTTATCCTAAAATTGCCTTCAACAAACTACCAAAAGAAGATTAAAAATTGCTTACCAGAATATCTAGAAATTATATCAATTTATTCTTAACTATTGATCGTAAAGATGATAGACAATTATTTTTTAAGACTTATTTTGATATTTTAGCTTAAAGTGTTTTTTATGCTTTATTTTACTCATTCCCTTTAAGTAGAAGTAAATTTAATGATGATTTGAAAAAGTAATTGTTAGATGAATTCTCATATTTGTTTACAGGTATAGAAATTGCTAATAGTTAAAAATATTTAAAGGAATGGAATCTTGATTTAGGAGCTGGAAATATATTTAAAAAATAAGCAGAATAAAAATTAGCTAAATAATAATAATATGAACAATCACTTCCACCAATAGTTTTGAGTTAAACAACGGTTAAGGCAAGAAATAAAAGAGTTATGGTACCAATCAAATGTAAATATTTATTAATCTATTTCTAGTTTCTCCTATTGTTTAAATCTATTTAGCTGAGAATAAATACTCAACTAGAAATCAAATTTAAGAATACAAAATGAAATTTACTGAATCTGAAAAAAATTAAGATGAACTTGAATTAAAATTTGCTCGTTACATTAAATTAGCTGATTAATTAAAAGGTGAAGCTATTGCTATGAGAGATGATAATGAAAATAGAAAAAAAAAAATGAAATCGGAAATTAAAACAATTAAATAAGAAACTGTTAATCATCATAAAAGATTAGAAAAGAGAAAAGCTGAAGAATTAGAAAGAGGAGCTCATGAATATGCTAATTACTTAGTATCTATGTTAAATGCAGGAATCACTGTAGCCAATTTAGGTGTAAGTAAATAAAAATGATACTATAATCAAAAATATTTATATCCTTCAAATAAACATTAAACACTCTTTCTTCTTAGTAAAGTTGAAGCTTCTTCCTAAGGTTCAGAATCAGCAGATATCTGGCTTTAGTAATCAAAATTGCCATCTATGCTCTAAATCATTATTATATGTTTACTCCTGGTATATATTGTGCTTTTATTTCTTTATTTAATAATTTACCCCAATTGTAATTACATAGCCAAGGATGCTCAAATAATTCATGAATACCTTATGCACCTAATCTCTATTAAGGTTTACGTATCAATAACTTATATAATTTATTTTTATTCTTTACGCGATTTATAAAATCTTAAACTTTTACTGAAAATTTATCATCTCTCATCTAAACTTGTTTTGCTAATATTTATTCTCTGATTTCCTATCTGTTTTTACCATTATATGGACGTTTTCCAAGTAGTAATTCGAATGCTATGACTCCAACAGCATAATAATCTACTGGAAATGAATGTTCCATTCTACACATTACTTCAGGTGCCATGTAACCCGGAGTTCCTGAAGTATCACTAGGAGAAGAATCTTTATTTAATCGAGCAACTCCAAGGTCAGTTAATCTAAGATAACCGTCTTTATCAAAAACAATATTTTCAGGTTTGATATCCCTATGAATAATACCATTTTGATGCAAATATTGCAATGATAATAGGATACAAGATACAAAAAACTCTGTTTTGAATAAATATAAATATTTACTCGTTTATTCTTCAGTGAATCTCTTTTATCTACCAATATGATAACGAAGATCTCCTCCTCTAAGAAGATCAAGAACTAAATAAAGATTTTCTCTATCTTAATAAGCATAGTGCATATTAACAAGAAAGGGATGTTTGAGATGCTCAAGTAGGTATTTCTCATTCATGACTGAATTAACTGATCGTTTAGTTATGATCCTTGAGTTAATGTATTCTTGATTTACTTGGCTTTAATCATTTCTTTTAAAGCAAACTCTAATTTATTGGCCTTCATTTCTACTCTCCATACTTTTCCGAAACCTCCTTTTCCAATTACATATAGATATTTGAAAGAGTGTTTACCAATAACTAGATATTTTACAACTAAATATGATACTATTATCTTTTGGAGGTGATGATTCCACTGATGTCTTTCTAGTTCTGGTATAATTATTTGTTGTGGTATTAGTGACTGAGATGTTGACAGAGGCTCTTCCCAAATGATTTAATTATTGTCTAGATATAGATCGATTGAATAATTAAATTGGCTTTGGTTATTCAACAGTTTGTTTAGAAACAGGAGAATTCTCATCTACAACTATTGAGTTTTTCATGCTTAACATCGAAGAAGAACGTTTACGAGCACAAATTAGACAGTTCCTCTAATTGCATTAACAGTAAGACTCAACTCTCTTAGAGATTTTAAAGCGAATTTTGTTAAGGTTGAATTATGAAGGGTTTTTGTTTGGAATTATGTCTTTAAGAGAAACATTCATTAATTATAAATTGTATTAAAAATCATAAATAAAATTAAATTTATGTCATCTGAATTTATCTTCGGTTGTTCTTCTAACTATTGTTGGAGGAACAATAAAGCTTTTGATTTATACCAAAAGATAAATTAAAATCAAAGTGTTTTTAAAAGTAAAAGAAACTCAAGAGCATTTAATTAAAGAATATTCTCAACACAATTCACTTTAGAAGAAGCATAGTGAATTCTTAGAGCAAGATAAAGTACAACTTCAAATGAAATTAAAGTTTATCATTTTACATTGTTGATTATTAATCATCTAGATTAATAGATTAAGGAGGATCTACATATATAGTTATTAAAATTAATGAAACCAAAGAGTTATTACTGATATGATTATATTCACGATAAATTAATATCTATGTGAACAAATTAAATAATCATATGAACTCAAATGATGATGATTTATACTTAAGTATCTCTGAAGAAAAGGATTTATACAACTACAGTGAATGGGTTGCTATTCTCTTGTAGGATTATGAACCTTATCGATATTAAGATAAATATGATAAATTGGTTAACTAATATTAGAAGGATATCCTCTTTTAATAGATGATTTGGATTGTCCTCAAATTAGACAAAAATAAGAATACATTTGATGATCTAATTGCTGCTGCCATACCTGGAGCAAAAACTAAAGGTTATGAAGCTCCTATTGAAAGATTTCCTAAATAATAAGTCATCGTCTCCAAAAAAGTTCTTAAATTAAGAAGAAAACTTTAGAATTACAATGTTCAATTCGATTTTGAAGACGAGTATCCCTTGCCTAATATTACACAACATTTTGAATTCAAATTTGATGTCAACACAATTTTATAGCTCATTTTATAATGAAATAATTTATACATTAATTTTCACTGTTAATCAGTTCATTATTAATTATTCTTTTCTAATACTTTTATATATATCATTTATTTTAATTACCTTACTTATACAATTAATTATATTTTTAAATTATGAATTCATCATAAAGAAGAGATGGGGTTTTCTCATTCAATATGCTTAATCCTCAATTGAGTTATAAAGTTGATACTAAATGGAGAAAGGATGTACTTAAAGATGTTAACATTTATGTTTCTGATAAAAAAGATAATGTTAACTTGGATCTTCCTGAATCATTACCTAAATTAGAAAAAGAAAGAGAATGGAGTGATTACGGCATTCAAGAATTACTTGGTAAATTCATTGATGGTAATAAAAAATTATGAGTGACATTTTGAATTTAATTTGTTAACACTAATAATTATGTAATGTTAATTAATATACACATCAAAATCACTTTAAAATATTTACTTTGTATTCAATAAACTACTTTAAGTTGGTAACTGTTAACTTAAGGAATTTCCAATCATCTTTTCCTAAACATTTCTTTTCATTAGGCAACTGTGATTATAAATATTGATATCCCTATGTTAAAAGATCAATGATCTTCATTTCTACCAAAAGTGCATTGAAATCTTCTTCTGTGTAAACATCAAAAAGACAATCTAATGCTTAAGCTGCCAACATTATATTAGTTTGGCTCATTAATTTTAATAATTTTTATGTAACTAACCGTATTGTTTCAATATCATTTTTTACTTTGCTAGAATACCTGATTTTCATAACTTCAACTATATGAAACAGTATATCTGTAGTTTCTGTTAATTCCGATAATTAAACTATAAATTAAGGTGGTATTTGTAAAACTAATTATGGATTTACTTTTAAGAGTTTAATCAACAAAATAAATTCTGATTATGCAAGCTCTTTTTTATCCTCATCTGATATAATCTCGATCTAAAGTGTTGCTTATAATTATGGTAAAATTGGCTCTACTGTTTATAAACATACTAAAGGTTAAAGATTAGTTAATAAATTATTTCCTAAACTAAAATTTATTTTTTATATAATTACTTGAAAATTAAGAGAGTTAGACTCAATAATTCATCTGTGAAAGTTGTTTGATCAGTAAATAGTTTTTTCTGAATGACTCCAGAGAAATTAAAGAAATTCTTTAATACCAACTCTTCTAATTCAACTATAATATTTTTTTGGAAAAACTACTAGAATTTCTTATTATTCACATATTAATCATCATTATCTTCCTCATAAATTCGATTTAAATAAACCAATACTTAAATAATTGATTGAGCTGAGCATTTCCAAATTTAAAGTGTGTTAAGTAATCTTTCATCCTATTTAAATTCAGACTCTTCTTCCATGGTCACTTATTTCTAAAGAAATGATTCAATATTATTTAACTCCTAGAAAATGTTTATCCTGATGACTTCATTAATTAATTAAAACATTTCATTATCCAATCTATCAATATTTAAGTATGTTTAAAGTGTTAATGCCTTTAATTTCATTTGATTGGCAAAGTGTAATTACTTAATTAAATCATTTTAAAAAATTTACTCGAGATCTATCTTCTTTAAGTTAAATTAAGGGATTTCTGTTAGAACCTGTAGTAAATTTAATGCTTCTGAAATGATATCTTCATTATAAACTTTTTATAAACAATTATCTAAAATTGGTAATATTCTTTAATAAAGTGGCATTAATAATGCTATATCCCAAGTTTCAAAAATTTCAATGGCAAGGCTTAAGAAACCGGATAAAGTGTTTTCTTAAACAGGAAATAATAATAATATGCCTAATAAACCTAAGTCTTTAAGCTGATCTCTAACTTCAGAACCAAAATTATCACTGATTCGCAATACATTTTAGATAGCATTAAGAGCGTTGATGGCAACTTAAGGATTGTTGTGTCGTAAATATTCCAACAATCTCACCAATAACTCCTTGGTTACGATTTATTTGACTAGAAAATAGTGAAACTAGAGTAACATTGATCTTCAGCCACAATTTAATTGAGATTTGCAATGCAAGCTGTGAATTATTGTGGATCATCGGAGTCTTCAAATGTGGTCACTTTAGGGGTTTTCTTTATCTTTCTAATACGCTTCGACAAGGAGTTCATTAAAAAAAATTATTGATTAAGATTATTTCTCTATTTGGATATATTTATATATTTCTATAATCATAGTATTGATTTTCTATTGAAAGAATTTAGTAATTCATCCAATTTGCTTTAATGTTGATTTAATTATAAGGGACGAGTTGGAGTCAAGAAAGACTTTCCACTATTTTATTAAATAGTTGATGGTTTTGAATATTTGCTTTCAAAATCTAATTTTTTACTTTACCAATCTATTTAATTTAATTCCAAAGCAAGTGCAGCTAAACCATCTTTTTTATTACCATTAACTAATTAATATAAATTAAGATTACTAGCATCAGTTAAAAAATTCTTTTTTTTCATCAAATCAGGAGAGGTTTTATTTGCTGAATTAGGTCTATGTTAAGTTAATGAAAATGGTTTTTTTTCATTTGGTTCTGGACTTCTATACAAATCATCATGACCAACAGATTTTCTTTTATAATTATCAAAACAAATTTCATCTAATGGCCTTGTTTTTTGACTTGATTATTGTTGCTCTTGATATTTATTATTAAATAAATTATCTTTAGTTGGAGTTAAAAATTTACTAAATATAATAAAAATGATTTACTTTGACCATTAATCTCTTAGTGGTGAAGAGATATCTGATCTTCCATTTTATTATAATAATAATTTTTCATATTATTGTAATTATCTAAGAAAACCATTGTTTGGATAAACTTACCATCTTTTTCTTTCAAGTAATCTAATTGCATCTTAAGCACTCATATTGTTTTTCTTCATTAGATAAGCTGCAACAAGAGTAGCTGATCTAGAAATACCAGCCATACAATGAACTAAGACATTTCCAGACTATCTAGCTTTTTCTATAAATTAATTGGAGTTCTCAAAATGTTTGGCTATATTCTCAGACTCACAATCTTCCAAATAAATGTGTAAATAATTTTATAAGGATGTTTGCACTTCAAAAGGGATCTTATTCATACAGATGGATAGAACTCCTTTTATTTTGTGTCTCTTCAGATTTTCTAAACTTGCTTTAAATGAATAAGTTAAATTATATACATGCTGATTCGATATTGCCTAAATAGAGAGATCCTACACTACCATTTTCGATTATACAACTCATGTCATCTAATGGTTATTCAAATTAATTTATAGAGCTAAGGTATTATTTCTGTTTGTTTGGTGAAAGACTGAACATTAATTAACAATAAAAATTATTGCATTTAATGAAAAAATTGAAATAATTGCCATAATAATAATCAATGAGACGATCAGCGTCTCTAGTAACAGTTCAACCTCAAATAGAATTAATACATTTTGAGAAAAATGCTTCCATGACCTAAAGCACGTTCTTTAAAACATTTACTGAGATGCCCTAAATGTATTAAATCGATTGATATAGGGCTGCATTCTCACATTAAGTTTCAAGAATACCATCTCCAAAGGAACGACTATAAGTTTAATTATAACACAATAAAAAACAAAGAGAAACTATCATAAACTAAAGTAGAGAGCGATTAGAAAATGCTATGAGTGAGGCATTGTCTTTAACTCAAAAGACAAAATTTAGAAATTATTAAAAACTAAAGCGTCGTGATTAATCTCCAAAAAAGGCTATGGAATTAAAGCCATAGCAAAAGGGTATAAAGTTTATGATTATAATAAGTGTTCTAGCTTCCAAAATTGGATGCGCCAATAGAATAAGTCATGGACCATCCTAATCAACTTACATTCTACTTTGAATCACAACGTCTCACAAGAGATATAAGAACATTCAAACCATCATTTACAGAATAGGCTGCATTTACATTATTTAATGATCAATTATATTTATATGGAGGAATTGGAGGAGATGGTGTTAGAAATCAAATGCTGAAATATGACATAAGTAAATAAAATGATTATTTCTAAGAGTTTTAGATCTGGCAAGTTGTATAAGGAAATGGAGATCATCCAAAATAAGGAAGAGCAGGTTTATCTGTGGTTTAATATAAGAATAAATTCTTCTATTTTGGAGGATGCGGATAATTTAATCCAAAATTGAAACTAAGAGAATGTACAAATTCTATTTATGAATACACGGTAAGTACTATGAATTGGGAAAAGGTGCATCCTTAAGGAGATTACATAGAACCAAGAAGATAACATAGAGCTTGTTTAATTGGTCCAAAATGGATGCTCATTTATGGAGGGATTAACTCTAATGAAGAAGTTCTATCTGATACTGCTATTTTCAATATGGAAAAGTAGGTGTGGAAATTATTTAAGGTCAAATCTCCTCCTGTAAGTTGTCATGCCATAGTTAATATCTCATCTCAAGGCAAATTCTAAGAAACTATACCTACTGACATTATGCCATTAGATAATATTTATTCTTTTGGAGGAAAAGATGCTGATGGAAATTCTGTTAATTATGTACGTAAATTGACTTATTGTTCCTCCAATAATACTCCACTATCATGGGATATTGTTGAGACAACAGGTAAAGGACCATATCCTATGCATAATCACACTATGGAATATCTTAGAAAAGTATAAGGCATTGCTGTTATTGGTGGCCTCAGAGATTTTATTGTTAATGGCACATTGGAATCTGATGAATATTTCATCTTTTATCCTAATTTTAATCTCTGGCAATAGGTTATTGCTGAAGGTCTTAAAATTCCTCGTTGTGCTCATTCTACTGTTTTACTCAGCTCTAAAATTGCAGTCTTTGGTGGAATAGGTAGCGAACGATATCTTGAACCTGATGTAGGATTTATTGAGACTGATTAATAATAAGTTTTATCTCGCAACACTAAAGATAGAATTATGCAAGATATTACTCCTACTATTGAAGAACCATCTAAACAAGAATATTCTCTAAGAAAGAAAAGATCAATATTTTATGAGGAATCTGATGTCTCAGATGGATATAAACCTTTTAAAATAACTCTTCGAAAAACTACCTAACTAAGAAGATCCTACCTTCCAAATCCATAAAGAAAACAAGTATTAATACGCTATGATATCATGATTGGATTTGTTAAAAAAGTCATTCATGAAAATTTACACATACTCTAAAATTTTGATAAATATTTAGAAAGAAAATTAATCTGATTATTATCATATTAATAAGTGTTTTCTTTAATCCAATGGTGATGATAATGAACTATAAGATTTACTTGCTAATTTGAAGTTGCTATGACCAATTCTTATATTCAATCGACTGAAACTTCTAGGAGTAATTTTTGGTTGTTTAGAGTCCTCATTATCTGAGTAAGTGCATGCTATTTCGAGAAGGTTCTATTTAAGTCTACTAGGATCTTTTGTGAGTTCTTGAATTTGAGGATCCCACTAAACAATCATATCTATTTCATTCAATTTTACTCCATACCTTTAATTCTCCCTCTCTAGTAATGAGTTATCTCATTTTATTTATGCATGCAATAAACTGCATAGAACAGTTTTCCCTAAATTGTTTCAAACTTCTCCATTTAATTTTAATGACTAATATTTGGAATAAAAATGAAATAATCACTCCGATGTCTGAGTACAATTTACTCTACGTATACACCTTATTTTATCCTAGTAATATAACAAGCACGTGAATCAAGTCTAAAATATCAAAGAATAGCCAATGAATGTAGAGAAACCATTTCATAAGAAAAAACTCAAACCTTCTACATCCAAAAAATTACTAGAAATCAAACATCCAGAAAACACAGAAAATAAAATATTGGTTTAAAAAATCTTAACAATTAATAACTAACCTTCAGCCTATGCTTTAAATGACGATCTACCTATTAAACCATCTAATTTGGGATAGAAAATACTAGAAATGAGAAAATTAATTGAAGATAATGAAGTATTAAATTAAAATAACTTTAAGGGAATCGAAAAGAGAATTAAATAGACTAGCAGTGTTATCAATTTTGATAAAATAAAATAAGAATACAAGAAAAATAAAATATATTTAAAGAATCTCACTGCATGTTCTCGACGAATCTATAATTGTTTTGTTCCAAGAGCTCAAGTTCCAGTGGAAGTAAAAAAGAAAAAGAAAGTTAATGAAAAGAAATAGCAGTTATAAGATCTGAAACGATTGTAGTAATAATAACCTGATGAGGAAAAAGAGAAAAAGCATGTTTAATAAATAGAGGAATCTAATGTTAATGAAGTTTAGCAATTGAAAAGCAAATCAAACTTAGATCAAGATAAATTAATATATTAACTTAATGAATTAAAATTAAAAGAAGACTGTTCAGAACAATCAGAGGATGATTGATCAATTATTTAATAAACTAGAAGTTAAGAATTCATTGAATTATTCTGCATAATTTGGTTATTGCAATTAATCCTCTTCTATTACACTTTCGATAGTATTTGTACTGCATCCCTTCACTGAATCGTTTGCATCTATACTACAAGATTGAGAACAATAGTAATTATCATAAACAACACAGCCATCATTCTTGTAAAATTTCTTGTTGCATTTTGAACATTTGATCATATATTCTTAATTAAATTAAATCAGACATTATTAGCTACAAAAATTTCTTCCATTACAATTAATTTCTGTATCGTCAAAAATTTTATAACACAACCAACATGCTAATTTTGCTTAATTACATTATACTCCACTTACTGAAACACTTACTCTACTTTAGCAGAAGCTGTCTTCTTGCATTTATTGTAGATTTTCAGGGATTTCTTTTAAAGCTCTCATTATTTTAATTTAATGGCCTGGTAATATGCCCATTTCTCTTAACTATTACACAGTGATATTCTCTCTAAATAAGAAATTAAAAATACTTAAACTTTGAATTGTGTAATTTTAAAATTTTTCTTTATATTGCAACAATCCTATTTAGGTAATAAATATTTCAATATCTTTGTCTATTGCTGGTGTTTTGATAGATTTTTCTAAAGGTTGTAATTTAGCAGATGTTGGTCTAATAGTGGTGGGAATTGTTTTTTTTTCAAAACTATTTTTTTTTTGAAGTAAATTTTGAGTGTAATTTCTTAAACCTTTATCAATTTTAGCTGCTTTCCATCTAGTACCATTTTATCCAATAGGTTTTTCAGATTCCCTTTTAAATTTTTCTTATTGCATAATAATTTTAAGTTGTTATAATTATTCTTCCTAAAGGAGTGATTAGAAGGATAATTACCATATGTTTAGTTTCTTTCTCTAAAAGTTAAGTATTTTATGTCAACTAACTTGGTTTTTTTTTATTTGAGATACTTCTTAACTACATTAATTATAATTATTAGTTTAGGATATTTAAGCAATAAAATTTATGGCATGGATATATAAATAAAAATAAGAAAAAAATCTTTTTATCAAAAATGTCTCAAAGACCACCAGTCCCATCAAGTAAAAATAATGATTTCTATATTTTAAGATCAACCTCCTCAACAACCATAAGCACCATAATTTGCTCCATAATATGCACCATAATATGCTCCATAATTTGCTGCTCCTTAATATGCTCCTGCACCATTAGCTACATATCCAGCATAATTTGCTCCAACTACATATGCCCCTGCATACGCTCCAGTTGCTCCATTAACATACAGTGTTGCTAGACCAGCTGCCCCAGTTGTTGCTTAACCAGTTGTTGCTCAACCAGTTATTGCTTAACCAGTTGTATAAGCCCCAGTTTTACAATAATCAGTAATTGCCTAACCTGTCGTTTAACAATCAGTTCATGTAAGAAAAAAATTCAAATTTAAATTAGGCAACAATCAAAGGAGAATCAAGAATTGAATATGTTCCTTACTAAAAAGCTGTTATGGAATATGAAGAATAAGAAGTCGTTTAATATGTCCCAAGAGAAAGAAAGGTTACAGATTATTATGCAGTCGAATATTAAACAGAATATGTCCCATAAGTATTCTAAGAAAAATACACAGGTATTTTCTTATCATTATAATTTATTAGAATACGTCCCAGTCGATAGATATCAAGAAAGAGTTGAATACTATCCAGTTGAAAGATAAGTTGTTCATGTACTTTTTAAATTTATTCATTTCTAGTAATAAGTTGTTTAACAACCAGTCGTTTAATAAGTTGTTTAATAACCAGTTGTTTAATAAGTGGTCTAATAACCTGTTGTTTAAGCTGTTGCACCATAACCAGTTGTTTAATAATATGTACAATAACCAGTTAGTGTTGTTTAACCAGTATAAACATATCCAGTTTAATATGCTCCTACTCAAATCGTTTCATCAAGAGTGATTCCTTCCTACCCAACATATCCCTAATATCCTTAATATCAACCAGCACCATAATAATAATAAGTTTAATAATAACCCCCAAGATCGAATTTGAACAATAACATATGATAAATTATAAGTACATCATAAAAAAATAATTTTGTTTTATTTGTTTTTTTTTGTTATTTAAGTTATGTTATGTTATGTACTAATAATGTATGTTATTATGAATCATATTCTTTTTAATTAGTCAGGATTGGGTACTAATTCATTCTATAGGAAGGTATAACTGATGCAATTATTTCTAATCCATTCTTTCAATCTTTCCCTTTCTACAATGTTAGATTCTAATGCTCTAATATGATCATTATATCTATCATTAGTCAAAATTAATCCTCCCTTTTCTCTTGCAAATTGGATCATATAAGAGTCATCATAATTCCAATTTGGAACTCCATAAGCATACCCTTTGTTTTTCATCTCCAATAGTAATTTGACATCATCAGGCAATTTGTTGATATTATTTTTCTAAATAATATTTGTCTAAAAAAAATACATTAGATTCTTTCTTCTTGTTTATATCACTTTCGTTAAAACAAAAATCAGGTAAGATAATCATTACTTCATGTCCTTTCTTCACCCAAAATTCTAGAGCACATTTCAAACCTTAAGAACAAAACTTTGCAACTTAGGCTTATTCTTATCCATATCTCATAGCCACATTCATTCCATCAATTATTATAAGTTTCTTTATCAATTCCTTAGGAATGTCTTCTTCCCACTTTGGTTCCTTTGCAGTCTAAATTTAAATGCCATGTAATTATTATATTATTTATTCACAAACATAAAATAATATAATTGAGGTCTAACTATCTTCCTCTTTATAAGTTGATGATTGTTATTTGAATGTCTATAGAACATGAGTATAACAAATGAATCCGACTAAAGGCACTTCAAAAGGAAACAAAAATGTATGAAATTGCTCATTCAATAAAGATTAAAATTAGAATAAATCATTACTCTGGTTCTCTACCTAATATAAGTTCTATCTTGAATATAAAAAGATCTATGCTAATTTATCATTTAAAGAAGGAAATTCTGATAACAAATATGTACAAATCAAAGGTTAATCATACAAATAGTAGATAATTGGGATGACTAACTGCAAAAAGGTGACTGGAGGCACCTGATCTAAATTCTTCATGGAGTTCTAGAGTAGGTATTTTAATATAAAATCAAGTGAGTTTACATATAATCCATATACATATTTAATTGATTCTCTCACTAAATCATTATCTTTAATGTCTTACACAGTCTTTAATTAGAATGTATTTAGACAATGATGCAAACCGAAATTTGTCATCATTATTACTTTTAAAAGCAATTAATATTGCTATTTATGATCACTATGAACATTTGTCTTAACAATTTTAAAATACTCTTACAAATGTTAAAACATATTAGCCAATTAAGGTAATTCTTCAAAACCGATTTTAGTGAACTATATTATTTCTAAATTCATACAACAATCGTATTGAATCTTATTAAATACACCATAAAAGCTCTTAAATATGTATCACGATCTAATTCACTTGCTGGCTTAATATGCCTAGCCCAATCATTATAGTGAGTTCTATTTATTTCAAAAACTTCATTCATATTTTCTTTGCAGTTGTAAGGTATTTATGCAAAATGAGCTTTTTGTAAACAACATGCTGCATTAAAAGTATCTTAAAATTATCTCATTAATGTAGCAATTAGAAAGTAATATTTCCCTTAAAATGGATAAATTGAAATTGCCTTATTATAGAATAAATCAGCAAATTTATAATTATCCTTTGGTTATTTATTCATCTTCTCTAATCTTCGACCAAGATGTTCATGTAATTCCCCTGCATAGCAATATAAATTAGCTAAAAATTATCTGAATTCGTTATCATTTTTCAAGCCTCCTAATTAATTTAATTAGGTCAAATTCTTAATAACAGATTTTAGGAAGTTTACACGAAGTTCGTAAAATGACTTAATTTCTTCATCAACATCAGGTGATATGCTTTTTAATTCGATATCAATTTATTGCTTAAGAATGTGCCACACCCTCTTATCAATTTACTTAGATTATTTTTCTAACTCTTACTTTAGCTATTGCGAAATTGATTCCAGATGAGATTAACTCTGTAGTTACTTGAAAAAATCTTTTTGTGTCATCACAATTCAATTCGTGAAGTGCAAAGACAACCGAGGGTTTTTCTTTATTTCTAATATGTAGATTAATAATACTTCAATTTATCTAATAACTCTTTGAATTTGTTATATAAACTACTCTATGTTTCAACATTCATAAATTAAATAATTTTATAAACAATTATGATAAGTTAATCTGAACTTTAGAATGAAATTAAACAATTCATAAAAGAATCTAATTGGAATTAGGTTGTGCAAGAATAAATAAGTTAATTTGAAGCCTTCTTACCAACTAATCCTTGGCTATTTGTATAAGAATAACCAACTAATTTAGCACATTATCTCTATTTTTTAACTACAAATAATCAATCTAAACAATAATTATAATCTATGCTCTATTAGCTTTTAGTTGAATAATACCAATTAACTAAAATCAAAAGATCTTACTTAATAACTAGTTTTACTTTGCTATTTATTCCACACAATCTGGCATTGTTACAAAAATACATAGTTGAAAATTATGATGAAATGTTAACAATAGACAAGGCTGTTTAAATAATTATTTGGACTATAAGATTGCGAGAATTGCATGAATTAGCTGAGTAGATGAAGAAAGTGAGTCCTATTACTATGAATATTTTGTAATAATTTGAAACACAATTAAACAATTCAAATGAGCAATATAGTTTTGATTTATTAATTTAACAGTTAAAAAAATGATTGAATAATATAAGGTTCATGAATAGATTGGACAAGGTGAATTTGGAAAAGTCTATAGAGCAACCAATCTTCTTACTTAATCAGTAGTTGCCATTAAAAGTGTTGATGTAGCTAAATTTAATGAAACACCAAAATTACTTGAATTAAGCATGCAAGAGATAGAAGTACTCTAAAAACTTTAGCATTGCTAATATGTTGTTAAGTTCATTGAATTAATTAAAACCTCTCATCAATATCATTTCGTATATGAATATTGTTCAGGTGGTCCTCTTGACAAATTGTTATTATTATAAGGACATTTTACAGAAAGAAAATCCTTAGAGATCGTTTATCAATTAATTTAAGCATTTAAAGTTCTAAGAGAAAATTCTATAATTCATCGAGATTTAAAACCTTCAAATATTTTAATTCATAATGGAATTTATAAATTAGCAGATTTTGGATTTTGTAAACCCATAAAGAATGATGTCACTGCCACTATGTTAGGTTCTCCAATATATATGGCTCCAGAAGTACTAAGAGGACTTTCCTATAATAGTAAGGCAGATATTTGGAGTCTTGGAGCAGTATTGTATGAATTATTAATTGGCAAATGTCCATTCGAAGAAAAATCTATTGCTAAATTAATTACTGCATAAGATGAAACGGATTGGATGATACCTCCTTAATTTCATTTTACTAAACAAACAATCACTTTACTCAAATCTATGCTCATTAAAGATCCCAATAAACGTTGCACTTGGGAATATCTATTTAAAATACCATTAAAAAGTGATGGAGAGTTTAGTGGAGATTTAGAAATTTATTTAGATAAACCAGAATAAAATGTTTTATAACCTTCCAATAGTAATACTAATAATGTAAGTATCTTACAAGAAATTGTTAATGAACGATGCAAAGTTTAATTTATGTGTTAAACTGCTCATTCTATTTTAGAATAGTCATAAAATAAAGAATCTCCTTTAATTGCATACTATCTTTTATTATTAGCTAATAATAGAGGATAACAATTGTTAAGTGTGATTAAAAATTAATGCACCACTGCAACTGAATATTTTAGTTTAAATAAACTATCAATACATTTAAAGTAATCACAAGATAATAGATTATCATCCAACTTTGAATTTACAAGATTAGTTGAAACTATTATGAAAGAAGTTGATTAATTGACCATTGGATTAAAAGAATATAAAATTATATTGGATGGTTAATCTTTAGATATCAAAGATAATTATAGATAAAATATTAAAAATTATGTTAACTAAATCAAATAATCTAATTATATAGCCTTCTTAGATACTAATTAAGAGAAAAACCTTTTAACTCATTGTGTATAAGTTTTAGATGCATTATAAGTAGACAAATTTATGAATTCTAATATTGGTATAAATATTTAATTAAAAATTATTTAGACCCAACTATGGATGCTTATTTAGAAATTAGATCTATGACCAAGAAATAGTTATTAGATAGATTTGATACTTTATTATGATTTATTTAATCTGTTTGTTATTCATAAATTAATTTTATTCTAATTATTATAAATTTTTTACTCTTATTTTAATAAAATAAGGGTTAATTAAATGAAATTACTAAGTATTTATAAATTTTTAAGAAATAATTTATGAGAAATTATAAAAAGAGATGACCTTTTGCAGTACAGTACGCATCGTTTTTTATAAACAAAATCATAATTGGGGTTGAAAATTTTGATTAAAGATTCTTTTAAGAGACAGTATAGAATAAGTTAAAAAGTGTTTGAAAACTTTGAAGTTCAATAAATAGATCATTATAGATAGTTATATTAAATTATTGGTTAAGTTTATAAATGTAATAAAAAAAATTTAAACAATAAAACTCATAAAATAATTATTCTAGAGGTAAACTGTTTTAGTGACTTTAAAATATTTAAATTATTTACTATATATAGAGTTTATATTCAACATTTCCTATGAGTATATTATCAGAACTTTTAAAAAAAATGAAAATAAGACATATATTAATAAATATATTCAACAATGAATAATTATAAAATATTTTTTTATTAATTTTTCTATATAAGCACTTGTATAAATATTTTTAATAATCAAATTGTAATCAACATAAGAACTAAATATAATATTTAAAAATACCATTCAATATCCAATTCAATTAAAAAGTATTGACACAGATATTATGATTCCCTATTAATTTAATTAAATATTATATTAAAATTCTTCCGCAAAGTTTTCTTTGTTCCTAATTTGTGGATTTATGGTTTCTCAAGTTGTATATTGTTTTGAGTTGCAAAGAGGATGCATAATTTTCCTTCATTAATTGAATGATTCTCTCTAATGCCTTTGTTGGGAAATTCTTAATTAATTTTACTTTTGAAACAACATTTATTAAAATAATAGGAATAAATATTTATTTTATTCTTTTATAATGAAAATCATGCACAAAAAATCATTTGTTCTTTAGTTTAGATACTTAAGGCTTGATCAATAATTCTAATCTCTTATAAGATTTAATGATTTCTTTAATTGGCTACCAGATCCAAATAGAATCACAAAACACAAAAGAAAACCAGAAAAAGAAAAGGTTAAAAATAGAGAATGTAAAGCAACCTTCAGGTCCACATTATTCAATAAAACCAGCCCAAATAGGTTAAGCACAAAATACTACTGTTCCACATATTTGGAATGATGAAACTACAAGAATCAAAACTTCTCGTAATAACTTTATAATATTATTGAAATAGATACATTATGTTCTAATTTAGTTGACTTATAAAGTAATGCAATGACTATACACAATGGTCCCATAACAAAAGTTTCACCAATAGACACAATAGCAACCATTTTGTCATCTCTTAGGAATCTTGCGTCCATTTGAGAATATAAGTAATGAGTTCTAGATTTATAATTCTAAATTAATACGTCTTAGAATATTCAAAATAAGCAGCCAAACCATCCATATACAAATGAATAAGATATCCATTTACTAAAAACCACCAATAGGTGAAACCCAAACCTTTACGATAATTATAGAAGTGTGTAATTAAGGCAAAAATGAATAATGTACCAGCGACAGAATGACCAACTAAATCATTAGAGGAGACTTCTGCTAATTTTTCAAATGTAAATGTATATCTTGAATTGGATCCCATTTTAATTAAATAATATTATTTAAAATATCTGATAATATTTGAATTGGATTTATACCTAATATTCTTAAATATAATAATGAGCAGAATTTTAGTTTTTAGAAATGTTTATACTCTTAATGATATCGAATTTTTATTTTATTTATTTGTTTATTCAATTCATTTGAATATTCTGAATTTAGAAATGATTATATTGAATAAGATTAATAAAATTAGTTTCAATTTGAGGACTCAAGATCAGGGGTATTAGAGAATTTATTTAATATTCGTTTATTGATAACATTCAATCTCTTTTATTTCTGGTCTAACTTTTATTTAGTTGTATTATGTATTCTTCCCATTTAATATGGATCTTCAAGAACTCTAGTACTCAAAGTAGGTAATGAAATATCGTTTGAATTATGCAAATGAATTTTCTAAGGAAATACCTTAGGTGATGGAGTTTGATTGTTTTTTCTTCTCTTTTTTTTAGGTAGAACTGGTATCTTATCATAATTATGAACCGGAAGCAATCTAGCAGGATCTTTGATATGTCCAAGTCTAATCATCATAAACATTTTTTTCCTTTCTAATTCTTCCATATAACCAAAATCTAAATCATTTATTTGTTGAACTACTGGTGATCTTTGTGATCTATCAATTTTTATTAACGGTTTTGATCGGACTGCTTCTAATATAGATGGTGATGAAGGAGGAGAAAAGTGATTTTTTTTGAGTTTTTAAGAAATATCTTTCTTGATCAATGACAATAATCTTTAACCTGCTAAATTGGTTCTTTATTTTGTATTCTCTATCGATACGTCCATTAATTTAATGAAATAATAATATAGTGTGATATTACCTATTAGTGCTGAAGTAAACTTTTTGCGCATCCTATTTAGAGTTTCTAAAAGGGAAGCAAATTTGTAGACTATTTGATTGACTTCGATCTGAGTAAGCAAAACTAGTAAAAGGTTGAATTAGTATCATAGGTTTGATATTGATATTATAAGTTAGTCACCCATTGTTAAAATGTATATACTCTCTAATTATTTACCAGAATTTCTCTCATAATTAACTAATCAGAAACAAATTCAAATTTAAGAGCGTAAGACATCATATGAAAATTGTGAACAGAGAATATTTAATGTAGTTTAATTTTCTGGGATTGAGGTGGCTATAATTGGCAAAATAGCTCCTAATCCAAATAGAGCTGCTTAAGTCATTGATGTTGTTACAGAAGAATTAGATTATTTTAAGGGATATGAAAAAGATGTCGAGAGAAAATTAAGAGATAATTTTGGCATTTTAGAGAAGAATAATTGGTAAAGATTCTGTCCAAACATTGTTGCAATTAATTTAAGTGTTGAAATCAATATCTATCAATATGGCGAAGAATCAAATGCAATTTCATAATTCTTAACAGAAATAATAAGAAAATACATTTTGTACTTTTATAAGTCAATGCTACTAACTTATAATGTTTGGCAGAGTGTAAATGATTCTGAATTGTTTAAGATGAATAAATCAGTTTTATTACAATAATAATAAGTGAAGTTGAATCTATATCAATAAATAACTTCTCTCAAAGATCTATAAAAGACTTCTTATAAAGAGTATTGTATTATAATAAAAATAGATTAAAGAAAAAGTACTTCAAAAACTATCCTAATCTATCTTAATCAACATTTTCCACTCCTGGAAAATAATCATCAGTTATTTTAACAAGCTCCTAAACTCCAACCAAAACTCCTTAATTATCAAGAAAGAAAGCAGGAATGATTTATAAAAGGGGAGATGGCCCCATAGATTATAATTGGAATCAAAGATATCTAGTATTGGATGGATAAACATTGATATATTTTAAAGATAGAAATGATAAAGTACCTAGAGGTGCCATAAATTTAAGGGAAGCATATATATCTCAAATGTCTAGTTTAGATGATAGAGAACATTGTTTTTATATTGAAGTGGAGGCTTAGAATAATAAGCAATTTTATTTCAGCGGAGAAAATTTGGATGAAACTGAATAATGGCGTGAAGAAATCTCTTAAGCTACAACAGCAGTAATTTCAACAGAATAAAGACCTTCTTTTGCAGTTACAAATACATATTTATTGACTGATACACTACCTACAGAGTTATCTAAATATAAAATTTTAACAATGCTTGATGACTTATAATAACAATGGTAATTTCGTAAATTTAGGAATGGAGTGAAAATTTACGAAAATCCTATTTAAAATAAAAGTAATATGAATTGGAAATTGTATTTAATTTTGTGCCTTGCATTTTGTATTAGCGTATATTTGAAACCAAATTGGCTACNGTTTAATTTTCTGGGATTGAGGTGGCTATAATTGGCAAAATAGCTCCTAATCCAAATAGAGCTGCTTAAGTCATTGATGTTGTTACAGAAGAATTAGATTATTTTAAGGGATATGAAAAAGATGTCGAGAGAAAATTAAGAGATAATTTTGGCATTTTAGAGAAGAATAATTGGTAAAGATTCTGTCCAAACATTGTTGCAATTAATTTAAGTGTTGAAATCAATATCTATCAATATGGCGAAGAATCAAATGCAATTTCATAATTCTTAACAGAAATAATAAGAAAATACATTTTGTACTTTTATAAGTCAATGCTACTAACTTATAATGTTTGGCAGAGTGTAAATGATTCTGAATTGTTTAAGATGAATAAATCAGTTTTATTACAATAATAATAAGTGAAGTTGAATCTATATCAATAAATAACTTCTCTCAAAGATCTATAAAAGACTTCTTATAAAGAGTATTGTATTATAATAAAAATAGATTAAAGAAAAAGTACTTCAAAAACTATCCTAATCTATCTTAATCAACATTTTCCACTCCTGGAAAATAATCATCAGTTATTTTAACAAGCTCCTAAACTCCAACCAAAACTCCTTAATTATCAAGAAAGAAAGCAGGAATGATTTATAAAAGGGGAGATGGCCCCATAGATTATAATTGGAATCAAAGATATCTAGTATTGGATGGATAAACATTGATATATTTTAAAGATAGAAATGATAAAGTACCTAGAGGTGCCATAAATTTAAGGGAAGCATATATATCTCAAATGTCTAGTTTAGATGATAGAGAACATTGTTTTTATATTGAAGTGGAGGCTTAGAATAATAAGCAATTTTATTTCAGCGGAGAAAATTTGGATGAAACTGAATAATGGCGTGAAGAAATCTCTTAAGCTACAACAGCAGTAATTTCAACAGAATAAAGACCTTCTTTTGCAGTTACAAATACATATTTATTGACTGATACACTACCTACAGAGTTATCTAAATATAAAATTTTAACAATGCTTGATGACTTATAATAACAATGGTAATTTCGTAAATTTAGGAATGGAGTGAAAATTTACGAAAATCCTATTTAAAATAAAAGTAATATGAATTGGAAATTGTATTTAATTTTGTGCCTTGCATTTTGTATTAGCGTATATTTGAAACCAAATTGGCTACCTTTTTTGATGGCTATTTTGGTTGCAGGATTATCTGCTTGTTACTTTAAAAAACAGCAAGCCTAGACAATACGTGTTTATGGGAGAATGGTTTGTGATATAGATTCTTCTAAAGCATTTAGAATAATTAAGAATTTAAAATTCAAGAAAGTTTTGGATAGCAATTTTGTATAAATTAATAAAATAAAGGACAATAAGGATGTAGAATTTAGTGTAAGTTAATTAATTAATATTAGAAAAGAGCGAAAGTGCATTTTATAATCCATCCTATAAGATAAAAATAAGTAGTATCAAAGCCAATAATAATTCAGATGAATTTATTGAGATATCGATTTATCATAAACAATGGTAGTTCATTTATTGTGGATATATTGACATCTGATAATAATAAGTTTAATATGTTTGAAGCCTATGAGATTTAAAGAATTCCTAAAGTATCAGGGAAAGGATTAGTGAATTATTATTGCGAGATAGGTTGTTCCAGAATAACTACTGAATTAGTAATTAGAATCATTAATAAATTTAGGAAAAATATCTATATAATAAAGCAGAGAATTTAAGTTTAATTTCATAAACTATAGATGAAGAAAGGTTTCATTAATTTTAACAGTCCATTGTTAGTGACCTTTCATCCACATATATAAAATAGAAATCAAGATCTATTGCTGGATTTGATGAATAAATAGGTTCAATTGGTTAATTGAAGAATGGACAACAATTAAAAAGTAAAAGATTAGAAGANCTTCAAAAACTATCCTAATCTATCTTAATCAACATTTTCCACTCCTGGAAAATAATCATCAGTTATTTTAACAAGCTCCTAAACTCCAACCAAAACTCCTTAATTATCAAGAAAGAAAGCAGGAATGATTTATAAAAGGGGAGATGGCCCCATAGATTATAATTGGAATCAAAGATATCTAGTATTGGATGGATAAACATTGATATATTTTAAAGATAGAAATGATAAAGTACCTAGAGGTGCCATAAATTTAAGGGAAGCATATATATCTCAAATGTCTAGTTTAGATGATAGAGAACATTGTTTTTATATTGAAGTGGAGGCTTAGAATAATAAGCAATTTTATTTCAGCGGAGAAAATTTGGATGAAACTGAATAATGGCGTGAAGAAATCTCTTAAGCTACAACAGCAGTAATTTCAACAGAATAAAGACCTTCTTTTGCAGTTACAAATACATATTTATTGACTGATACACTACCTACAGAGTTATCTAAATATAAAATTTTAACAATGCTTGATGACTTATAATAACAATGGTAATTTCGTAAATTTAGGAATGGAGTGAAAATTTACGAAAATCCTATTTAAAATAAAAGTAATATGAATTGGAAATTGTATTTAATTTTGTGCCTTGCATTTTGTATTAGCGTATATTTGAAACCAAATTGGCTACCTTTTTTGATGGCTATTTTGGTTGCAGGATTATCTGCTTGTTACTTTAAAAAACAGCAAGCCTAGACAATACGTGTTTATGGGAGAATGGTTTGTGATATAGATTCTTCTAAAGCATTTAGAATAATTAAGAATTTAAAATTCAAGAAAGTTTTGGATAGCAATTTTGTATAAATTAATAAAATAAAGGACAATAAGGATGTAGAATTTAGTGTAAGTTAATTAATTAATATTAGAAAAGAGCGAAAGTGCATTTTATAATCCATCCTATAAGATAAAAATAAGTAGTATCAAAGCCAATAATAATTCAGATGAATTTATTGAGATATCGATTTATCATAAACAATGGTAGTTCATTTATTGTGGATATATTGACATCTGATAATAATAAGTTTAATATGTTTGAAGCCTATGAGATTTAAAGAATTCCTAAAGTATCAGGGAAAGGATTAGTGAATTATTATTGCGAGATAGGTTGTTCCAGAATAACTACTGAATTAGTAATTAGAATCATTAATAAATTTAGGAAAAATATCTATATAATAAAGCAGAGAATTTAAGTTTAATTTCATAAACTATAGATGAAGAAAGGTTTCATTAATTTTAACAGTCCATTGTTAGTGACCTTTCATCCACATATATAAAATAGAAATCAAGATCTATTGCTGGATTTGATGAATAAATAGGTTCAATTGGTTAATTGAAGAATGGACAACAATTAAAAAGTAAAAGATTAGAAGAACGAATTCCTGGATATAGAAGATTCAAAGAAGGAGGAATAGAATGTTTTAATAAGGAAGAAATAAAAGCTTAAGATGGGTTAGTATTAGATTTGATGAGATCGGCAGGAAGATAATTATTTGAAGGTCGAAATATAATTTCATTTTCACTTCCTGTTCGTATTTTTGAACCAAGATCTATGATTGAGCGAATATGTGATTATTGGGGTTTTATGCCTATTTATATGGAATATGCATTAGGATAATAGGATGAGAAAGAGAGATTCAAATTGGTTGTTACAATGATAATAGCTGGCTTATACAATGGAGGTAGATAAAAGAAGCCATTCAATCCAATTTTAGGAGAAACATTTTAAGGTTCATGGTAAGATGGGTCATCAATTTGTATTGAACATACCAGTCATCATCCTCCTATTTCAAATTTCTATATTGAACATTTTAGAAAAAAATATAGATTTTATGGTCATTTTGAATATTAGGCTGCTCTAAGATATAATGCAGTTATTGGACATCAAGTTGGAGAGAATGTTGTTGAATTTACTGATGGATAGAGAATTACATTTAGTATGCCACCAGTTAAAGTAAGTGGTTTGATCTATGGTTCAAGATTGTTAGAATGGTATGGTAGTATCAAATTTGTTGATTAAAAATATGATATGGTTTGTGATATTAAGTTTTCTGAAGGTGCAGGTATGTTAATTGGTAGAAATTAAAAACCAACTGATTACTTTGAGTAATTTATTTATATTTTATTTTTAGGGGTACTTTGTTTTAGCATAACAAAGTCATATCTAAAGTAGAAGGTTCATGGTTAGAATCAATTAGTTGGGATGGAATCAAATATTGGGATATTGAAAAGATAGATCCAGCCTATATCATTAAAAGTGAATCCCCCTTACCCAGTGATTGCAGATTCAGAACAGATCTTATTGAATTATCTAATAATAATTTAGATAGTGCATAAGAGTATAATTATTAAAACTAATCTATAGGGAAAAAACTAGACTTGAAATCATTTAGAGAAGAGATCGAAAACTAAGGCAAGATTATAAAAATATCAAGTAGAAATGAATATGATATTATTATTAAGTTAAATTATTCCATTTTTATGTTTCAATTCATAATAAATTTATTTTAATTTATGTATTGATTTTTTTATAAATAAAACCAGAAATCAAAACAATGGTATGTAATATTCAATTTATTACACTATAAAATTTGGTTACTTCCATACAAAATCATGATTACAAATACCGGGGCATTCAACATAAGTGCTTATTTAATTGCCTAAGAGAGACTAATCTTATGCTAATTCAAGAGAAGCATTCATTGAACATTAATAATATTGACAATTTGAATCTGTTAAATTTCTATCAGCACAGGTAATAGATTGATTTGAAGCAGTGATAACAATAATTGGCTTATTAATCATTGATGATGGATTTATAATTGAAGCTTACATACATGATTCATTACATTCTTCCACTTCAGATGCAGATCCTAAAGATTATGAATACCAATTTCTTGTTGTAGTTATTTACCAGTTCACCCAATCTTATAAATTTGGTGGTTCGAATCCTGAACTAGACATAAAAAATGGTGTTTCTATATATAATGGCCATAAAGAGGCCATAGTTTAAATAAGGGGTTATTTTGATAATTGTTCTGCATAAACTTAATTTGCAGTTTAATTTTAACATACTCCTACTAAATAGAACCAATTCATCACAGGTACTGAATCTAATAAGATAATTCCTTAAATGCTAACCATATATTGAGCATAATATCGACATAGTTAACCTCCAACAGAGTGACCAACACAAACTATTGAATTTGGTATTGATGTATTAAACCCTACTTTATCCATCACTTATTAAGCAATTATCATTGTATTTTCAGAGCTTTAAGGTGCTGCTGCTTACCAACTCATTCCATAACCAGCCCTATCATAACTACAAACTCTGTAATTTTAGGATAGTTGACTTTGAATTTCATAAAAATCAACTCCACTAGAACCTCCTCCAGCTTCTAGAATTATTTATGGTAAATTCTTCAATCCAGTACAATAAGTTCTGATTTTTACATCCTCACCTTAACTTTTAACAACATAATATTCTTCACCATCTCCCAAACTACCTGGATGATTAGCTTCATGAATTATCTAACATGTATTCAAAATAACTAATAAAAGCACAAAACAATATAGAATGTACAATAAAGCAATCATACATTTTGATTTTTTTTTTTCAGAGCTTTAGTTTTCTGTTTACGATATTTATTGTGTCAAATTGACATTAAATTCTTATTCTCTCTCTTTTTTCTAAAATCTCTATAGAATCCATATTGCAAATTCAAAACCTCCAATAATAAATGTAAATAAGCAAATGAAAGCTGCTAGAATGTTGGCAACAGGATTTATGAACCAACATATAAAATCTATAAATGAAAGTATTGCTATTCCAGCTACAATAATTTCTAATCCTATTTCATATGAGGCTCCTTTTCTTTGATACAAAATATCATTTAATCTTAATATTAAGCATATTTAGACAAAAATGCAGAAGATTAATTCTATAAAAGTACTTGCTGGACAAGATTTAGTCAATCTTGCATAAGGAGTTATCATGTTCACTAGAAAAACAATACAAAGACTGCCAGTAATAACTAATAATACAATTGTTCCCAATTTTATCCAATGAGCATGCTTTGCTTCTTGAATGATTCTTAACATTTTTTGTGATAATTTAATGTGGAAATCACAAATACACTTATAAATTATTCAAAATTCCATATTATCTAAAATCTATATTTCTAAGCAATCTATGGAATTAAAGCATCTATTCTGTTTATATTTTTCATACTTATAATAGTTAATCAATATTTCTTTTTAAGAATAAAAAAAACTGATTTATATCGAATTTTTATGTTCATCTATTACACGTATTCGATGTGTATCCACTTAACTCAAAGTGATTTATTTGAATTTTAAAATATTCTAAAATAGATGGAAAAATTCTGAAATAATTTTTTTGTATATAGAGCTGTAAAATAGAAAAATAAAATATTATAAAGATTAATACTTTCAAAAACATTAAAAATACCAAAAAAATTTGTTGTTCAGCAAAATTATTAACGTTGAAGCATTCAAAGGTTGGTAATTAAGAATAAAAGCTTTAAATTAGAAACTTTCATATTAAAATAAATCATTCAATGATGGAAAAGTCATAACTTTAAATATTATAAGCAGGATAACGAAAATGAGTTTAAAAGAAAGAATTTATTTAAATAACAATTATAAAATTTAATTAATACTTATTAATATTTTAAAATGTATTATTTAATTGATCATTTATATTCTAAATGATTTAATAAAAATATTGATTGATATTGAATGTTAACTTATCAAAAAAATGTTCAAAAAAATATGTCCACATTTTTTAAGGATTTCATTAAAAATTAAATTTCATTCCTATTTTCCAAAAGTCCATCTTAAAGAATTTATATCAATACTTTTTAGATTATGTCTAAAAATAAAAATGATTCTAAAAAATCACTTACTCATAAATTTACTCTAATTTTTAAGGTTTATATTACAATTATGTTATTATTTTTATCAAATGCTAAAAAATTGAATTGCTACTAAATATTATATAAATCAGATTTGTATTTTCAAACACAGAATAGAAACATTGTCTTTTGTTTATCTTTTTTGTGCTATTTTCTACAAAAACTTAGTGACTTCATCAGCTGATTCTTTATATCTAATGAACTATAATAATTCCTAGAATAAATGATTTGATAAATTGATACCTATTCAGTTACAACATCCCATAAGCCATCAGATGCTACAACTACCCATTTATGAGAAAGTCTCAACTCTATTCTAACTTAATCAGGAGTACAAATCAATCCATATTAAGTAAAAGTGTGATCCCCAAAAGCTCTTGATATAGCTAAAATTCCATTCAATCGATCCATTAATATAGTTCCCTAATGCTATTGAATGCGTGCTCTCTCTATCTAATTATTAGGCTTGTGGTCTGTCGTTAATGGGATAACTGAATCTCCAAATAGAAATGCTCTAGAATCTCCAACATTTGCAAAATATAAGACCCTTTTGGCTCCTTCTAGTCTCATCAATCCTATACTAGCTGTAGAGCCAATTTCATTTGAATTACATTCTTATTTAACCAATTCATTGACCTTAAAATGAATTATGTTATACTTTATCAAATGTATCCAAAAGTAATTTATCAAATGGTCTTTATTTTTGCTTATGTAACTGAAGAAAAACCTTAACATAGTTAATGAATGTTAAACTTTAGGGAAGTTCGTTGATACAAACTTAGCAACAGTTTATCCTCCATGTCCATCCATGATGCCAAATAAAATAGATTGACTTCCATCTTCTAAAATGTTGTCCTTGATAAAATAAACTATATGAAATTCAGTCCATACAATCCTCCATTTGTTATCTGTATGGCAAATTAATCTCTTCATCATAAGCATATTCTTTTGCACCGATTGCCTTTGGAATATACACACTTTAGTTAGTATACATTATTTTAATGAATAAATTATTGCTTATAATTCTAAATTGTTGTTTGGGTAGTTTTTTCATGGGATTCTGTTTGGGTCAGATGAACGTTATAAGTTCAGATGTTTACAATGTATATAAAATTGATGATACTTTTACAAAAGGCCTAATGCAATGTAAATTTTTATCCGTTTTCATTCAGCACTTCTAACAATTGGGGGAGGTTTAGGATCCATATCAGCATCAATATTGATGGGATTATTTTCAAGAAGAAAGAGTCTCCAAATAACTGATCTTTTCGGAACGATGGCTATATTAATATCATTCATGGATGAAAGCAAATATGCGCTTTTGACATCTCGTTTCTTTGTAGGTGTTGTATTAGGACTTAATGGAGTTCTAGTCCCAGTATATATTAATGAGATGTCACCTAAAGAGAAAGCAGGATTTCTGGGAACAATGAATCAATTGTGTATAACCTTAGGAATCCTGACTACTTTTTTAATGTCTTACTTTTAAGATGTGACATTACCTATTCCATTTTACAAAATGATGCTTTATATACCTATTATACCTTGTATATTAAGAGCTTGTGCATTGTCTTCTATTTTTAAATATGAAACGCCAGCATATTGTGCAAAAAATCATTTAAAGTATCAATTAATTTCAATCAAAGCTAGTAATTACAAAAAGTTGTAGAAATGATCTACTAAGAGAAAGCAGAAAAAATGTATGAACAATTTTAATCATAATAAAAATCTACAGAAAGAAGAATTACACTTAATTAGTTATTTTCATAAAAGTATAAATAACGATTGTTTATTGGGATTTCTTTGGCCTCTTTACAACAGTTAGGAGGCATAAATGGCATAATGTTTTATTCTTCTTCAATATTTGATTAAGTAAGTATAGAGTTGCATTTAAATTAGGTGACTGGATAAGCATCTTAAAAAGTCTTTTATTTGAATTTAATAGTGGGTTTTATTGGAGTATTTACAGCACTGCTAGCTACAATAATAATAGAATAATTTGGAAGGTATTTATTAATACTTAATTAAAATAAGAAAGCCAATTTTAAAATATGGAACTCTTTGGTGTTTTATTAGTTTATTAATGTTAACATTTTTAATGTCTAATAGCATAGGGAATACAACATTTGGAAAATACTCAATAATTATTAGTATATTTTCGTATCTGTTTGGATTTGGTTTTTCTTTAGGTCCATTACTATTTATTTATTTAACTGAAATATTACCAGATTTAGGAATTAGTGCAAGTGGATTAATGAATTGGATGTCTGGAGGATTAGTAGCATAGATGTTCCCAGTAATTGCTTCCTACGATATATCTTATTGTTTTGCCTTATTTTCGATATTTAATTTAATAGCGTATAAATAAATTTAATTAAAAAAGATACTTGATCATCTAAAACAAAGTGGTTGAAACAAAAGGATTAGACAAAGAAACTGTAGATAAATATTTTGAAAACTAAAAGTTTGATTACATACCTTATTAGGAGGCTTACCAAGAAGAAAGATTTCGTTGAAATAGAAATTGGATGAATCATTGTCAATCATAATTATATATAAATCAAAATTAGAGAAATATCAATTAATCCTTCTCCTTCTTAGTCCCAATATTTTTTAGTTTCATCACCAATCTCTTTTAATGCCTGATCAATATCCTCCTAGCAAGTTGGAGGAAAATGAGCATCTAAAATTTAATCAATGACCAAAATATCCATGATTTCCCACATTCCTGTAGATCCAATCAACAAATATCCTGATTTAGGAACTTTGAATTCTGTTATTTCTGGCTCAGCGATTATTCCAACAACTTTGCCAATCATATTTCCAAAACATCTAGTTAATTTGACACCAGGTAAATTCTGTTTTGGTGCCCATACCTTTAAGCTTCCACTCTTTCTACCTTTATAGACAGTTTAATCTATTTTGCCACCTTTATTGAGTATCCTTTACACTTCCTTACTATTTGTTGTGTCATGAACAAAATTTAGATTTTTCTATGTAAATTTTCTTACTTCTTTTGGCCCACTTGGATCGGAATCTTTTTTATAAAAAAAAGCAGCCTTGGAATCACCTAAATTTGCACAATAGATTGAATTATTCAGTATTATCATTGTTAATAATGAACAGCCATTGCTCTTTACATCGAAATCCGTTTACTCTATCTAAAAAGTTTTAAATTGTAAATATACTAGATTTTGTTCAACTTGTTAGTAGACATTTTAGAAACTTTAATGTATTGACAGACTCAATCCAATTATTGGTATGTTATTGATGGTTTGTACTATTTAGTCTAATGCACGATGAGTGATTATTTTCGAAAATTGTTTGCTCAAATTTCCATGACTATCTCCAAGTCCAACCACAAGATAGTCTATATTCTGACTTTTTTGCATGTTCAAAACTACTGTATCACTATTTTTAACTAGATTCTTTGCAGCATCCAAACCATCAAGTTATCTTTAATCTATTTAAATTCATACAATAAGCTAGTAAATTTAACTAGGTTTTTAAATTATGAAGTTATCGACATCCTTTAAATTGAAGTTCTTTTATTTGTGATTATTAGATTTCTATTTGGAGATCGGTATGATTATGATATTTATTACAGTTTTGACCACTATGATTGTGCTTCGATTTTAGGACTTGAATTAATATCTGGTAAAGTTCGAAGAGATCCTCTTACTATTGCTCCTTCTTAAACTATTTTCTGTGTTTTCAGAGAATTTAAGGGTAACAATTAGTTAGAACTTCTATGAAAAGAAGATATCCCTTGCTTTTGTTTTAGCTCTAGAAGCTTTTTTTGTTAAGCACTCATTTTAAATCAATTATTATTAAATTCAGATATCAATAAATACTTAAATATCTTGATTAACTTATTAAATGTTTCTATTTCTCTAATATTATCTCTTTTTTTATTAAATCGTAATTTTTAACAATAAATTAATATAAAATCTGCAATATCATAATATTAAGTATTCGCAGTCTTTTGTTGAAAATCTCTTTATTTTATTCTATCTTTGTGTGGATGAAAACATTTCTAGTGGATTAATTTTCATTTCATTATGAAATTACTCAAAAGTTATACTTAAATTTGGTTTTCTTCTTACTGCTGTTCGAAATCCTCTTTCTTACTTTTAGGTTGTATTCATTTAACCTTTATCTTATGGAGTCTCAATATCTCTTAATTGTAATTACAACTAACTTAATAATTCAACTTATTTTAATAAATCGACCTTTTAATATCTTTTAGAGCTTATTTATAAGACTGCTAGTTTATTTTCGGTTTTGACTTCAGATTTCTTTCTAATTACATCTTATTCTTTCTATTCTGCTATCATTTTAGGCTTTAACTCAATAAAATTTGATTCCAAAGACGTATTAAATCCAGAAGCAGTCTTATTGCAAGGAGTTTTTGACTTGAATGTTTCAAATTACTAAAACGAATACTTTATAGAACTTTTATTTTTTTTTTTAACATCTGATTGTTCAGCATCATATACTTATACTTCAGAAAATCCTTTACTATTATTTTCTAATTAACTGTGAATTAATTCATTTTGCATAATTACTTTCTAAGGTGTTTCAAATGATTTCAATATTTAAGGAGAAAAAAAATCAATTGTTTATGTAAATTATTCTGTATATTTTCCTTCTTGTAAAAATTAATTATAATGAAACATTTCTAATTCTTATTACTTCTATTTCTCATTTATCTCTTTCTCTATCTCATTTTAAGTTTTTTTTTTATCTGTTTCAATTAGCTTTTCATTTTGGATATTGTTAGAATTTTTTTATTTTATTAAAGCCAATTAATTTTCTAACATCTCCTTTTAATATTATTACTTCTATATATTTTACTAATAAGTCAACAAAAGCTTTTGTAACCAAGTTATTTTTGATTGCAGCTATATAAATTAATTATGATATATAGAAGAGTAATCTAAAGTTTCATAATTAACTTTAAACTTCATTAAACCTTTTATGAAATCCTAGATATATGATGACTATTTTGGATTTGCAATAATTGCTTTATTTGTGGTAGATTAAAATCTCCAAATATGAACGGCAGCTTATAATAAAACGGACTTATTTTGGGAGATTACTTTATAAAATATTCAATATTTACAAAACTAAATGATTTTTTAATAGTTTTTTTCTAATTCATTTTAAATCTTGTGTTAGATAGATATCTATGATGTTAATTCCATTTCCTGTTGTTAATAGGCTTCTTTATTCTTTTTTTGATCTTTAATAACTCTTTCCATAAATTAGGAAAGAGAAGTTTCAATCAATTATTAATAGATTTACATTTCCCTTTCTATAATTTTGGTCTAAGAGAGAATCTAATCGATCTCTTTATAATTTATTCCATAACCTTGTTTTTGATTTCGAAATACTTATAAAAAAAATAAATTTCCATGATTATCTTGAAAATATTTCCAAATTTTGTAAGGATCTTTTTCTAATTGTGCTATTTTTCTTACCAAATATTCTGTTGATTGATGATGTTCATGTTTCTATTTGAATTCTTTCAAAGTCTGTTTTGTCATTACTAACTCTCTTTTTTATGCTTCCACAATAATATTTAAGTGCTTAATCTTATTTTCATATGCATGAGAAATCTTTTCAAGGTTTTTATTTACTATATCCAAAGTAGCTTAATCCTTGATTAAATGTCTATCAATTTATATATTATCATTATTTGGTTGTGCATGATTTAATCTATAAATTTATTCACTTAAAATTTGGATCTCCTTCATATAATTCGCAGTTTATTCTTGAATTAATTAATCTCTTTTAGTTAGTTTCTCAACCAGTTCTTTTAACTACTTCTTACATTTCTTATGCAAATCCAAATCACTATCATCAATATCGCCTATTTTCCTTTCTTTTTATACAGCAAACAATTTAACTTTATTACAAGGGTTTTCTCTTAAATGGCTTTTAAGATTATAAATTAGATTAAGCAAATCTGATTTTTATTTATATTCATAGGGAGTATTATCATCAATAATAAAAATCATAATTTTGTACATCATCTAATAGCATATGTCTTCGTTTTAATTAAAAAGTTAAATTATTTCTTTAATTGTCTCATCTAGTTAAAGCAGTATAAAATTCATAATATAAAATATTTTAACACATTTCAAGCTATTATTAATTTTAAATAATGAACAATAATATTGTAGAAGATGATGATGATTTACTTATTAGTGGGGCTAGGAACAATAAAAAAGGTTAAATCAATTTAGATATATCAAATTATTCATGTAATATGTAAGAAATATCTAATACTTAATAAGACCTGATATTACACCATCATTCGATCTAAATAATTTTAAAAAGTTCATCCTGAATGAAAATTTGAACATTAATGATTTATAGGAACTAATTTTAAATTTTCATTTAAGTTCAATGAAATTGAGATTTAGCATATGGAGATTGTTTTTAGGGATTTTTAATATAAATGATTCAATAGAATAGAAAATCAACAAGCTCAATCAAAATAGATCAGATTATTAAAATTTAAGCAAGTAATATTTATAAGCTGAAACAAAGAAAGAATCCAAAAGAAATATCAGAAATCCTTTGTTATAAAATTAATAAGAATAGCAAAAACCAAATGTAAATAAATCTTATAATAAAAGGTTTGGAATAACTTTTTTGAGATTAATCACTTAAAAAGTGAGATAAAAAAAGATGTTGATAGGACTCATTAAGATAAGTAGTTATTTTAAAGTTTAAAGATAAAAAATTTATTGTCAAACATATTATTTATTTGGAGTGTAAAGAACCCTACAATTTCTTATCGATAAGGTATGAATGAATTGGCAGCTAATGTGATTGAAGTTTATTTTACAGAAGCTTAAGGATTCAATCATTTGGAAGAAAGCGAGGATAAGAAATAAATTGCAATTTTTTATGATACAAAATTTGCAGAGGAAGACATCTTTTAATTGTTTGAATAGATAATGAATGCTCATGTTGATATGTTTAAACATACTCCAGAAAGTCAGAAAAAACAACAACTTATAATATAAAGTAGAATATAAAAAATATATGATTAATATTTGAAAACAATAGATGTGACGTTATTCAAACATTTAAAAGTTTAGGATGTTGAACTTTCTGTATTTTTAGTTAGATGGATTAGGTATTAATAAATATTATTGATTTAGATGCATGTTTACAAGAGAATTTCATGTTGAAGATTCTTTAAAAGTTTGGGATGCCATTTTTTATGATTATTACCTTACTGAAGAGAAAGCATGGTTTATATTGGTTGATTGTATTGTTATTGCGATGTTTGTTTATGTTCGAGATTAAAGTAGTGGATTGCTGTTAATTTCTAGTTCTTGAAAAGGATGATCCGAATGCTTGTTTAAAAAGATTTCTAAAATATCCTCCAGTTGAAAATTTAGCATAATTGATTTAAGCAGCTTTTAGCATAAAAGGTGTTTTACAATCTGCTAATCCTGAGCAAGCCTTGCTTTAGGATTAATTTTTGATTACATTTCTTGGAAGTAGAGATGTCAGTTAGTCTCCAAAAATATTTTAAAATGTTAAGAATCAAGAAATCCCTGAAGAAAACAATAAGTAAATATCATTATAAATTAGATTGTTAGAAGCCACTAATTTAAAATAGCCAGAAATAATTGAAGTTTAGATTAATTAAGCATAAATAATACTTAAAGCATTAAATTAAGGAATTATGTGCATTTAGAGATTTAATACTGATAAATCGGTAAATGAAGTTAAATAACTACTTGAAAATGCGAAATCAGAATTAGTAAAATGTTTAGATAAATAATAAATTTGAATTTAAAACTCAAAGTTTATTTTAACTTAATAGTTCATGTAAACTCTCCTTTCTTTAAAGTCTGTAAATAGTTTCAGCTAATAATGGTGCAACACTTAAAACCGTCAACTTATCTTGTAAGATTGCTTTATCTAATTCTTTAACTTGTATGGTATCCGTTACATAAATCTTGGATAAATTTGAAATTCCTATTGTAAGAGCAGCTTTTCCTGATAAAACTGGATGTGTTGCGTAAGCCATAACTGATTTAGCTCCTTCTTTTATTAAAATATCAGCTGCATTTCTGAGAGTCCTTCCTGAATCTACAATATCATCAATGATCAAACAATTTTTTCCATGCACATCTCCAACTAGACTTATTTCTGTTTCAGTAACTGGATGCTTAGATTTATATATCATAGCCATTTCTTTTTAAGATACTAAAATGATTATTACTTGTCTTGATATTAGGGAATGCAAATTTTAGTTCATCTTGAACTTTCTTAACTCTTGAAACACCATTAAAATCAGGAGAAACTAAAGTCAATTCATTTGGTGGACTTAATTTTAATGGATGATTATTAAGTTCATGAATGAGTGTTATATATGGACAAAGATTATCTACAGGGACATCTGTTGAAAAAGCTCCTTAAAGCTATCCTCGATGAAGATCAATTGAAACAAGGTGATCTATTCCAGTTTTTTCTAACATTCTTGCAATATCTGCAGCTGCAATTGATTAAGTCTTAACTAATTTGTGGTCTTATCTTGAATAACCATAATAAGGAACAATGACTGTTATTGATTTTACAGATGTCCTTCTTAAGGCACTTATAAACAAAAATAATTCAACTAAATTTTCATTTACTGGAGGACATGTTGATTGAATTATAAAAGCATTTCTTCCTCTTACATTATCTAAAACCTAACAATTAAAATAACATAACTTATATATTGCATTCTCCATCTGCATATCTCTCCAATACAACATTTCCAAGTGTTATACCTAAACATTTAACAACTTCATTTGCCAATGTACTATTAGAATTTCCACTAAATACTATAGTTTCGGGTCTTTTAAATATTATTATGATTAGTTATACTCAATCTTATATTTTTTTTAATTAGCATACACTTTTGTGTATGATTCATCTCGACTATGAGTTGATAATTTAAGCAATGAAGATTTACATAAGAAAGGAACGATAAGATATTTCAAATTTCTCATTTTATTTTTTTAGATATGAATAAATATTTAGCTTTAAATTTTAATATATAATCTCTTTTATAATATTCTTCTTAAGATTCTATATCGAGTACAACCAAAAATTATATTATCAATGAGCTCTGAAACAGAAATTATAATATTTTATAATTATTTCAACAATATTATTATTTCTATGTAGAGAAAATCTTTAATCATAGTAAATATTAGCCAACCAATTTTATTTTATCGGTTGCTTGTAAGACCATGTCTAATTTCATAGGATCAACTTTATAAGTATTTACTATTAACTTTGTGCTTTATTTCTAAGTTTTTTTTCTTTTATATATTGTTTTAGGCAATATTCCTCTTTAATAATCAATAGAATATTATCTATCCTTTTCTGTTGGATAATCAAGATCACATTAATTGACCTTTAGATTATATTTAATCTTACTTCTTTATCATATTAAGAGTTGAAAGATGAAAAAAATTTTAACATTTCTGTTTCTTACTTAAATTCTTTAATTCGATTCATTTAATTTTCTATCTACACTGGATCCAATTTACTGAGAAATCTCAAATTCTTTTTGATTGGAGAATTTATATCTTAAGAAAAAGCCTTTTATTAACCTGGAAAGGATGTTTAAACTTAATCTTCAAATTTTAAAAATTAAACTTTATTTGTATCATCTTTTCCTAATGATTTCAATTTCTATTCTGAGAGATGACCCAACTCTTCATAACAATTATCTAAATTTCGATTAAAAACTATGTCTTATTTTGCTACATTTTAAATTTATTCTTATCTCTATTTATCTAATCAAATAAAAATTAATTAATACAAAGCATTATCTAATACTTGACATCTTGATCAGCAATAGATTCTAATTGATTAATTAATTACTCTATGATAGCACGTTTTTATGATAATGGCATATTATCAGGAATTTAGTATTATTCCATCAATTCTCTTTCGTACTTCATCTTTTCCAATTATTTCTAATATTCCAATTATCTTTGTCTTTCTTTTTCTTATTATTCAATTTTTTTTGGCTAATATATAAATTAAATTTAATTTTACATCATGGGGAGAATTCTAATTTGAAGATTTCCTTCTAGCAAAATTCAAAGCTACAGCAGCAACAGGTAACTTGAGTTATTTAGTATTTTTGACTACTTTTGATCTATTTGATCTCTCTCCCTAAGATGATTCTATTGTTAATTTACTTTCAGGTTAACTTTCATCTGATCTTTGTTATTGCTATTATTATTCTCTCACTTGAGACTTTTATCTATTTGATGATTTATTATTTTTAGTACTATTTTATGTATTATTAATAGGAATCAACATTCTTGATTAACCTTAATTAATTTATTATTGATTTGATTGCTAAGGAATTTGAGAATATGATGAAAGATTTCTATCTGACGGAGATATTTATTATCTCTATTAAGAATGAAGTTAAGAGTTAGTTTGTTATTTTTAATTATCTAATCCTAACTTATTAAAGGATGGCGTAATATGTTATTGATTTGCCATTCTATAAATAGGAGAGCATTCTATTGATTCTTCAATTATGACATTATTAGTATTTTGTTAAGGTTCACATTAATTTACTTAAATATTAATTTATTATTATTGATTCGTATTTTGATAATGCTCATCATCATGCATAATTGATGTCATACTTATCTATTGCATCAATTATATTTATTAGTACTTTTATTATAAGTCGAGATTATCATGTGTTTAAAATTATGGATAGTCTTATTCTTTATTAGTTTATATATGAGTAGTAGCTGGTCTAATAGCATTTAAGTGAGAATGTAAATTATCTTACTTTTGCAATGAATAATCTAATAATGATACTTAAGACTCTTCTTTTGAAATTGAATTTTATTAATATTATTAGAAGTCGGGTATTTTTTATTCTTTATTTTATTAATATTATTATCTTTCCGATATTTTTTGCTCGTTTTATTGTAGAGTCTATTATTTTGTTTTTGCTGATTTCACTGATTATAAAGTACGAGAAGAACAAACTGGAGAAAGTAAATTATTGTTTTGTTCATCAATCTTTGGAGTCATCAAGTGATTATTCTCTTCAATCTTTAGATCTGTTTCGTCCTGTTTTAGATATTCAGATTTATGTTGTTTTATATTTCTATCTTATTTTTTTTACTTTAAATATGTTTATTCTTGATTTTTGTCTAAACATTTTGCACTTTAAATAGTCTGTTGTTTCTATTTTAGATCTTTGTCTAAAAATGGTAATTCTGTGTTAGTTCCATATGTTATCTATTTCAACCTATCACTCTATGTCATAGGTCTTCTTTATGAACTGAAATCATCATCATTGCTATAATATTTTTACAATTTCTCTTTAAGATCCATTTTACTTGAATCACTACCCATAGGAAGATTTTAGGATTATTTTCTTGAATAACTCTACGCTTAAGAATATTAAGGATTAAGTGACTCTCCAACTATATTTGAATCTGCAATTTCTATCTTTGATTAATTATTATTTGTTTGAGAATTATATTGATTTAATTAGGGTTCTAAATAAGGTTAATTATGCTTTTAAACAGCGTTTTCATTACTTTTATTTGCTTTAATTTGTTTATCTTTGTAGTTGCTATCAAATTACTTTGTGTAATTTTCTTACTTTTCTATTTCCCCATCTTAACTTACTATATTTATTGTTGGTTTCTAATTTCTATTCTTAAGCTTACTTTCACTAGTTGTCAACTATTTTTACAAAGAAATGTCCTTAAAATATTAATCAGCCTAAGTACTATTAGGACTGTTTAATTAAAATGGATTTATAACTCGTGTGGTTGTTGAATCATTTTGTTGATAACTTCCATTAGTAAGTAATCTTTGCACATCTTAATTACCTGTTTTATCTAATCTAAATCTTCTACTCTTTACAGATTGTGGTTATGCATACAATTAACTTTCTACTTCAGTTGTCTATTACTCTTTATTACTTTGATTTTTTTTACTAGATAAACAAACATAGTTTTTTCTTGAATCTATTGATTATGAGATTACAGTTCTGATTTCATAATTTACTTTTAAGTCTTTAATTGGTGTTTAATTTTTTATCAAATTTCGCTTGATTGTTCCAAAAATCTATAAATGTAATGGTTGAATATTCTTTTTTTCTTTTTGTTTCTTAGTAAGCAGCTCACAAAATTAAGCTTGATCAACAAAAGATATTGATGATAGGAAACCTGCTAAGACTCTTTCAACTATGGTCAAAATAAAGAGTTCTTCCCTTTAAACATTCCTCTTATTATTCAACTCAAATTCATAAGTTTTCATTTTTTTATTTAATTATGTTTCATTAAAATTTATTTAAAGAAATTCATTTTACTAATAATAATAATTAATTAGTTATTTAGAAATTTTTATGATGAATATACAAATAAAACCCATTTATAATTTGTTATCTATTATTACTAGCTTTAAAGTAATATAACACTCTGTATCATATTTGAGTTTCCTTTTGTGTTTATTTATACTCCTTATAAAAACAATAAATTACTTTATTACCAATATCAGCTTTTCATTTCTTTCTATAAAAATTTTCTTGATTTACTCATATTTATTTTTTTAATTTAATCTCTTAACTAAAAGCTTATTAATTATATCATCTTTCGTAAAGAATTGTAAATCCTCTCAATTTAAGTGGTTAATTCACAATTTCCCTTTTTTAATTAAGTTAAAAAAATTATATTTTGAAATAGAATTATTATATATCAAATATAATAAATAAGCATTTATTAATAAAAAGATCAAAATTATTTTAGATAGTGAATGAATCAAATACTACATGAAGGTAATTTAATCCCTATTAATAGTTCCAAGAAGATATCTATTTAGTTAAGGGTATTTCAATAAAGTAAACAAATGTAATTATTGTGACATATGGTATACATAAATACTTACAGAAAATGTCTTAGATTGAGTTGATCAATTAGAAGTATTTATTTAATTATATTTAAGATCTTTTTTGAAGGAAAAATAATCGAAATAGTTAAAAAGAGGAATATAATGTCAAAAATTTATATATTTCAACTTTGTAAAGTAAACTTTAAATAAATTGCATAGATTAATAAATTTCTTGTTTTTATATATATTAACATATTAATTGATTTAATACCGATTCTCTTATCCTTTTTAAACTATAGATGTTTTACATTAAGAAAAATTTAAGTGTTTAGAACAATATTCAAATAATTAATATAAATAATATATTTAATATGGATCATTTTGAATAACCATCAGCAAAATTACTTTATCTAATAAATGAGATGAACAGATTAAATATGATCACTTAACTAGAGAAATGTACATTAAAATGTAAGAGTAAAGTTTAATAGGAGAGTTTGTTTTGGAAGAGCATCAAGGAATATATGATCTTTTAAAATAATATCCAAAGAGTGATACAGAACTTGAATTGGCTGAGGCCATCATTATATTATTGAGAGGAGCTCCAAATTCAGAATGTATGCATAATTTATTAGTTAGAATAATAAGTTTAGGATGATGGATAATATTAAAATGATTTAATTATATCAGAAGATGTAAGAAATAGATGAATATTTATAATAGCTTCAATCTCCATTGGGGCATCAATTAATGAAGAAGAAGAAAGAGAAGAAGAAAAATCAGCAACATGAAAATAGGCCTTTTGAATTAAATTAAATACAATGATTTAGTTTATAGGAATATATACATAAAATATTCATATTATATATCAAACTAATAAATATATTCCAATAATCAGCATATATAATTGTTATGAATATTAGGATGAAGTTGTAATTGTAATATTGGCAGCCTCAATTTGAGGAGAAATAGTATCAATAATAATTTTATTAGGAACTCCTGAATTACATCTTTCTAGTTTAGAATCCCAATAACATTAAGATGTAGAGCTTTCCCTAGCTTCACAACCTTTTTGATCCAGTTTTGCACAAATAATTAAGCACTACTTTTATTCTGAATTCCAAATACATTTGTCGGGAAACAAAGCTAAAAATATTAATCTATTCAATACCACATGAGCTCTCTACATATTAATAACATTGAACAGAATTGCATTTATTGTTACTATAATAGCAATTACCACTATATTTTGAGCAATCGCATTTATCTACAATATCTTCACATCTCATACATTGGAAATCTTAAGACAGTATACAGACATAATTGCTAATTTCAGTACCTACACAATTGATTTTACTTGATCCCAAAGGTCTAAATATAATTGATTATAATACTTGCATTAATTATGAGAACATTCATATTAATCCGAAAATTAATAAGCCAATTGCCAATAACATTTATTACCTTTAATTTCAGCGGCATCGCAACCTTTTTTTAAATTTTCTGTTGTTTCATAATAGATTTCTAATTAATAACATGAATCTAAGCCAATGCATAATCCATTAAACCAGAAACAAGTTCCATCTTCATAAGTTCCAGAACATTATTCCTTTTTAGTAAATGTTTAACACAATCTTTGTGCACAATAAGTGCCAGTCCAATAACAAGATCCATTACATGAAGCATCTGTAAAATTGTCAATACATTGTTTTGTTCTGCAAACATCATTAGCATGTGGTTAGCATTATTGTCCATTTATTGAAAAATTTGTGCAATCATCTACATTTCTGACTTCATCACAAGATTTGGCTCCACGACAAGTATTTTTGTTAGTCGCATAACAGTTTTAGTTATTCATAGTAACATTAGTACATGATGAAGCTAATAGATCAGAACAAAGTTTAGCTCTACATTTTTAAGATGTTTCCTCCCACAAACATAATTACGATTGTCCTTTACAATTTGAATAATCATAATCTGCACAAAACTTAACACCTTATAAGATGGATGAGCATGTACAATATTTTTCATCCTTATGCCATTTGCATATACCAATAGAATTACATCCAAATTCATTGATTCCTGAACTAGAACATAAATCATAGTTATAAACAGATACACATCTGTTATTTAATTTACTAAACTTACAGAGTTAAGTAGATTCAGATATATCTGCACAAATTTAAGGTGAAACATTAACTAATTATCTACATTAAGATGATGTAGGTTCATAAACTTAGCATTAACCATTCAAAAATATGCATTTTTCTAAGATGATCATTGTGCAAGCTATACTATTTAGACCTGGACTATTACATTTAGAAATTAAGAGATCTATTTATGTGGTGCACCCTTTTCCTGTATGTCTGCAAGGTTATCCTTCAAATGAAATTAATTAACAACTTAGAATTGAAGAATATTCAGCCGTTGAAAAAGAGTTTGAATATCCACAAGAAGTTACACCTGCTATGATATCTTAAGATATGCATTTATTATTTAGCCATTAGCAAGAGTTAAGAATTTAAGAAACACAAGCTTATTAACTCAAATTATCAGTGCATAATTAATTGTTTGTAGCATCAATACAATTATTATCACTCCAAGAACATTTTAAAGATGGTACTAATTCACAAACACCAGCTGAAACCTTTTGAAAATCTTCGCACTTAGTTTTATTACTATATAAAGTAAATTAAACACATTTAGATCCATTCCAAGTACATGCACCAGCTTTAGTTTGTAAACATCCATAATAATTCAATCCTTGAGTGTCACATGTATCAACTAATGGATCAGACTGAATACAACCATCTATTCCAAATTTAACTCCTATAGGATTACTAATTTAAGAATTTGGTTGTCCATTAATTGTATATGTCTTAGTACATGTATTTGCATTAACATTTGCATATTTACCAAGAGGAAATCCATCATCTTGTAATGAAGTACATTTCTATCCTAACCAAACACAAAATTATCCAGAAGTTGTAATAGCAACACAAGTGTATACATTTATGGTATCTGTGCAAAGAGTTATTTTAGGATCTGCATATTAGCATTTATTATCCTTATAAATACACAATTAAATTGGATTATCATACAATACAGCTTCACAAGCTCTTATGTTAATATCCGAATCACACTAAACTAAATTTGAATCAACTGAAGAACAAAAATTAATCTACCATTAAGTCAACTCTCCCTCATTTTAAGGTGATAAACATAATGTTCTTCTAGAGTTTGCAACCTATTTGAGTGTAAGATCCTTTGCTTTTGACAGATCAGTTAATTATTTACATACAGAATCAACATCCCAATAACAATATTTTTCATCTGGAAGTTGTCTACATCCATCAGGTGAAACTGCATTATTACATTCTGTAGGTGTACTTGTATCTTTAGAACATTTTAATGTTTCTTTATTCAAATAACAACCATTCCAATAACAAAGTTCAATTGAAATTATAGCTTCAACTTCTGATTCTGGATGGTCATCTGAAACACATTTAATATCAGTCTCATAGTCATAATCTCTACATTTGTTTTCCTCAAAATTCCATTAACATAAAAGTTAACCAGTTAAGCAAGCATATTGAGTGAAATTATCCACACATACCTTTGGTTTAATTAGATTCTAAACACATTTTTTTTTTTCATACTTACAATCAGCTTTTACATTTCTACAATCAATTTCATCTGTAGTTGATTTACAGCTTGCAGCAACTATTTCTTCGCATAATTTTGTTGTTTCATTTTATGCACAAATTTGATAATCAAAGGTGGCATATACACTTCCACAAGTATATGTACTATATTCATAATTTGTATTATTATATTCAAAACAATATTAATCTGGAGCAATTAAACATTAACTTTTAATTTTATCCCAAATACACCAACTTTCAACTTTCATACAATCATCACTAGTTGTGGCATTTTAACAAGGACTATCAATCTTTTAGCATAAATGAATAGGTTTCTCGTATTCTATCTCAAAAGAAGTGAAATAACAACTATTCTCTTATAAACAATTCTGTTAATTTTATCCTAAATTACATTCTGCATACGCTGATACTTCTTTAATACATTTTTTAGTTTATTTATTATATTTACATTACTCTTCATTTGTTGTTATTTTAGCACAAGCAACTGCATTTATATTTTATGTATATGTAACACAAGTGTCATTTGCAGTATCTTAAGTTAATGGAGTGCACTAATTATCAACAAATTAACAAGATTCTCCAGCTACTTTATAGCACGCTTTCTCATTATTATTTGCATCTTCACATTTATAGTCTTTAGCATTTTCACTTTTTATTAAAATACATTTATTTTTAATGAAAACACAAGGTTATCCTATATTTTTACAAGCTTCTGCTTCTGAAACTTCAATACATTTATTTGGATTGTGACATTTATTTTCTTTTGCTTCCCAAAAACAATTTTAATCATTTGTTGTAACTAATACACATAAGTCAAAATTAGCTTATTTGCAAATGATTTAATCTAGAATTTTAGCTTTATTTGAATCTTCCAAATTCAAGCATTAAAACGTTGTAGTATTAAAGTAGCAATTTTATCCTTAAGTTTTGGCAACACAAGTATGTAGATTAGGAAACTTACCTTAAAAACAATTGCTTTCATCTCCATTTTGATATATATATTTAACACATTTATTTTTCGGATCTGTAATTCCTGGTTTGGTGCAAAATGAATCCTCATCTATTTAATATTCAACATCATTTTCATATCCAACACAAGTATTCTCATTAACTTCTGATAAATCTTCACATGAATCATATGTTGGCATTTTAACATCTTCACATAATCTTTTTAAAGTATTCCATTAACATCTTTATCCTGGGGTAGTAATAGCTTGACAAGCAAATTTATTTGGAAAAGACTTACTGCAATATAATGTATTCAATTTAGAAGAATCAGCTGAACTACATTATAAATTGGTTGAATCAAAATAACAATTTTAGTTATCTGTTGGTAATTCTTTCTTTGGTTCTACAAATGCACATGCATTTCCATTTAAAACATTAGTCTCACAGTTATCAACTATCTTTACTATACTTGTAGTGCATTTTGTTTAAACTTTATCATATGTACATGCTTCTCCAATAATTAAAGCACAAGCTTTAGCTGTTACATTCACAAGTCCTGAACAAGCTGCAGCAACAGAAGAGAGTTTTGTACATCCTTAACTTGTCCATCGACATGCTGTTGTTGGATCTGCAACATCTAAACATCCTCTTCTATTTAATCCTTCTGTGACGCAATTTATTTAATAAGAAGCTTAAGGGGCAAGTTCTTTTTCAAATTTCTCACATGAATAATTTATAGAATTATATTTACAATGTTCTTCTATTCCATTACTCTTATATTAAACCATTCTGCAAGCATATTCATTGACTAATTTCAATGATTCACAAGATGTTTAATTTTCGATAACAGTAACATTTTAACACACTCCTGCATCTTTACTCCACTAACATGATCCCATTTTACTTTATAAACAACCTATTCTATTCAATCCTCTTATTGTACAACTCACTTTAGCTTCAGGCACTGAACAATTTCCATTCAACCAATAACAAGCTGAATCAGTTATTCTTCTACATGCATTTTCATTCACAAACTTTAAACTTTCACAGCTTTCATAAAAACCTAATTTCAATACTAAACAGTTCTTTTAATCTTAATCAAATCTGCAAACCTAACTAATTGTTACAATATTTTAACAAGCTTATTGATTTAAATTATCCCCACATTTCACTATTGATAAATCAGCTATTTATTTACAAATTCCATTTACAAACTAACAATTCTCTTTAACGTTCATACAAGAAAATTAGTTTTATCCTAGTAATCCACATTATGTTTTAACACCTTTAAAAATGCATTGATTATTTTAATAGACACAATTATAACTTGAAGAATTGCAACTTTTTTAACTTGTTATTGATTAAAGTGTTTTTGATCGACATAATTCACTACATTTTTATTTTTTTTTATAATAGAAACATTCTTAATTATTTCCAGATTTGTCTACATAATTAATAGCTGCACAAAATGAAGGAGAGACAGGTTGAATTTTAGTATTACAATCAGCCTTTCCAGTGTATAATTAGCACCCATTACTCCAAAAACATGGTTACTTGATATTAGTAATACTCAGACAAGTTTCTTTATTAATGATATCTTGGCACATCAGATTAGAAAAATCAGATACATTAATACATTACCCATTTAAAAATTTACATTTAGCACCTGGTGTAGTTATATTTTTACAAGCAACAGAATTCAATCCAGCTGCAGAACAATTTAACATATTGAGTAGATTAGAATCTATCTCAAGACAGCCTGGAATACTTAACATGCCTTTATATTTATAAAGCATTGTTGTATCTGATCCATATTTATCTATAAGTTAAATTATATATGGAAAAGCACTAGATTAATGAACAACCGATAGTACTGTGATAGATTAACAGATTGATATATTTACTTAATTCATTAAAGCAGGATCATTTTATGCTTTTGTTAGTGACTCAGAAAATTGTTAAGGTGTCATATCTAAACAAAAACCTTACCATTAACATGATTTTCCCACAACTGCCAAACATGCTGGCTTTGAAAGAGTAGAAGAACAAGATGTTGAACTTATGATTTCACGACAATATCCAGAAAATCGACCTATTACTGTTATGATAACACTTACAATATGCCCAATCTTAATTAGGATATTACAATTAGTTAATACAGGCCAATCTATTCAATGTAGAAGAACATCCAATATTATCTGATTCAGTTGGTTAACAAGCACTCAAAAAGTCATTCCAAGAACCTTTATTGATATCAATTTTTTACATTTTTCATAAGTGGATGAAACACATCCAACCTCATCATTTAAATATTAACCACAAGGTTTATGAGCTGATATGCAAGTAATTATTAAAAACAACATGCATAAAGTTTGTTGTTATGTATTCATTATTATTTATACAAAAATATTTAGTTATATCAAATTATCAATTCAAATATTCACTAATATTATAATCAAGAGTTAACTTAATTAGTTTCTAAATGTCCCTTCCAATATTATTCTCAAAAAAACTTTTTCTAAATAATTATGAAAAAATGTTTAAATAAATATCTTTAATTCTAATTAAACATGAAAAAAATTATCTAATTAGCTACGAAGAATTGATTTCTTTAGTGTTACTTATACTCTAGCTATATCAGATTGATTCACATATAACCATTCTAGTATTTTAGGATGAATAATCTCTTTTAATTTTTAGCAAAATTTATTGTGTTTAGTACATGTATATGTGGTGGCGTTATTCACTCTTACCAAAAGTAACAGAGAGCGTAAATAATTTTAAAGATAATTCAAACTTTGGTTTTTTGAAAAAATCATATGCAGTTACTGTCTATGATTTCAACGGATAATTAGTAATCAATCGATTCAAAAGGGGTGAAATAATTGTACTCCCATTACTCTTAGATTTTGATAATGGCATCAATTAACAACCCTGAATAGTATAATGACAGAAGATTAAGTTTTAGACATCAGTATTAAAATGAGTAAAGATAATAAATATATAAATTCATATACACTCTACAAAGAAGAATATCTGATTGATGATTATAAATTTGCTTCTAAAGAAATCTATCTGAATCGAATGGAAAATAATCTTTAAACAGATGAAGAATTTACAACTACAGCCTTAAGTTTCGAACCAAATTAATTTTATCAAGTTCATCCATTTTATGTCTATTATGTGAGTATCAATCACTTTGCATTATTAAATGAATCATTATATAGATAAATATTTTCTCTTTTCGGTTGAACTACTTTCTTCATTATCCATATTATGCTATGAAGGATTATTTCGAATAATATTTTATACCAAGTTATTTAGGTTTAAAAATATCATACTTTCAAAATTAGATATTCATCTATAAGTGAGATGATTGCAGCTATTGGATCAATAATAAGAAGTTTATTCTACGTAAAATATTTTATTACTTTACTTAATCTTACATAGATGAAATAATCAATCTTAGATGATATTATGAGTTAATATTATCCAGAAATTAAATATAGAAGATCTTGTAAATTTATCAGGTTTTTCTTTTTAAGATTATTATAAAAGGAATCATTATTTTCTGGCGGTCAGTATAAATTTTAATCATTTGAAATGAAAATTAGCCAAACTTTGGAAATATCTTAGGAAAATAGATTTAACTCCTATCATACAATTTATTGGAAATAATGGTTGGAAATAAGCAAAATGAAAATGATAAAAAATTAGGCTTAAAAAAATTTGATTTAAAATTCCTTTTCAAGCTTATTAATTCTTTTACTATATATAAAATATTTGTGATAGAGTGATTCTATTTTTGTTAATTCTTTTATTAAAAAATACAATTTTAATTGATTTACTAAAATTAAAAAATAAACATCAGAGAAAATTTTCACTGGTAAATTTTTTAACTTAATAATTTCTCCAAAGAATTTTATCATTGGATATGTTATTTTCAATTAATTGGAGTACTGATTATGGGACTCGTGATTATTAATATCTAAGAGCAGCTGTAATTTCAAATCATTAAAAATCTTTGGAACATAGTAATTTCAGTCAAGTTTCATGGTATATAAGTTGACACTTAGATTTATTTGTCATTTCAAAAATAAATTCATTCTCAAATGACCTGTAAACTTAACTATAAAAATTTACTTTATAAAATTTTTACATTTTAATTCATTTTTAATGTCATTAAAGTGAAGAAACTAAATTGAGAGGTTACGCAAATAGGCATAAAAGCATCTATTTAATTATTGAATTTAAGGGAATATTATACCATTTAAAAAGCAATTCAAAATTAACTGAAAACTATTAATCTTAAAAAATTTTAAGTTATCAAGCGATACAAAATATATCATTCTGAAGATAAACAACGCATTAATTTTGAGTCAATATTATAAGTAAGGCAATCTGAATATTGGAAGTAAAGTGACTTCGAGCTACTATCTAGGACATATTGAAAACAAGAATATTTGGATAGAGAGAAAGAATTTTAGGAGACATGGAAGAAAATGATTGATAATATTAAATGATATAAATTGAATAAAATTGTTAATATAATAATATAAAGAAATTAATCATTGTTTAAAAATAAAAATAATAATTAAATATATAGAATTTATAATAAATAAAAATAATTCTGGAAAAGTTCAAGTCATAAGGATAGTATATAAAAAAAAAATTGATAAATAAATTCATTTTAAATATCTTTATGTAATAAAAGCCCGACTACAGAAAGGAATTAGCCGAAACAGCTTAGAAGATTTGCACCCCAGGAAAAGGAATTTTGGCAGCAGATGAAGTATTTAATGACATATAAAATTTAAGTCTTAAGGAACAATAGGAAAGAAGTTCGTGACAATAAATGTTGAAAATAATGAAGAGAACAGAAGAGCTTATAGAGAATTGTTATTCACAGCTCCAGGAATTGAAAATTACATCAGTGGTGTAATCTTATTTTCTGAGACAGTATAAATAAATTAGATATATTAATAGGTAAAACATGCTACAAAGGATGGAAAGAACTTCGTATAATTACTTTAAGAGAAAGGCATAGTAGCAGGAATTAAAGTTGATAAGGGTTTAGGTGTATTACCAGGAACACAAGATGAATCAGCAACTTTAGGATTAGATTCCTTGGCTAGTATGGCAGCTGAACACTATAAACTTGGTTGCAGATTTGCTAAATGGAGAGCAGTCTTGAAGATTGGAAATGGCTTACCATCATAATAAGCCATTTAAGAAAATGCATGGGGATTGGCCAGATATGCTGCTATCTGTTAAGAAAATGGTCTTGTTCCAATAGTTGAACCAGAAATTTTGGCTGATGGTGATCATTCAATTGAAGTTTGTTAAAAAGTCACAGAGAAAGTGTTAGCTGCTGTTTTCAAAGCATTGAATGAAAACAACATTTTCTTAGAAGGATGTCTTCTTAAACCAAATATGGTTACTTCAGGATCAACAAATCCAGATAGAAGCAAAGTAACACCTTAAGAAATTGGATACAGAACAGCATTGGCTTTGAGCAGAACAGTTCCACCTGCTCTTGTTGGTGTCACAGTAATTCTATATATTTATATTATTTAGTTCCTCTCAGGTGGTTAATCTGAAGAAGAAGCTTCATTGAATTTGAATGCTATGAATTAATTGACTACAGTCAGAAAACCATGGGCTTTAACTTTCTCATATGGTAGAGCACTTTAAAACACTGCAGTAAAGACTTGGGCTGGAAAATAAGAAAACTGGGAGGCTGCTTAATAAGCCTTATTGACTAGAGCTAAGGCTAATAGCGAAGCTTAATTAGGTATTCATATATTATTATTAAAATAGGAAAATATTAAGGTGGATAAGGTGGAGCATCTAATGAATCCTTGTTTGTGGCTGATTACAAATATTGAGTATCATCGTATATCATAAAATAAAAACACAATCATCATTATCGTATTAGAATCAAAATAAAACACGTATTATAATTAGAAATAAAAATAAATTTATTCATGATGTTACGCATATTATTCTAATGATGCGTATAATTTTTGTACTTTATGAGTGTATTCCTAATTTGTATCCTATTATTTAATGTAAAAGCTCTAGTTGCTCTAAAACCAGTTCAATCCAACTTCTGACGACATCTTTTATCACATAGTTCAAGCTCCTCCTGATCCTATTTTCGGAATTGCTAATGCTTATAAGGCAGACACATCTAATACTAAAATTGATCTTGGAGTTGGTGCATATCGTACTGATGAAGAAAAACCCTATGTCTTTGAAATCATCAAAAAATTAGAAAAAGAAATAGTTAATGATCCAACATTAAATAAAGTATGATCATTTAATATTCTAGGAATATTTACCAATAGAAGGATTAGCTGATTTCAATAAAGGTTGCTAAAAACTTATGTTTGGATAGAACAGTCCTCTTATTGCATCTGGCTAAATTGTTACTGCATAATGTTTAGGAGGTACAGGGGCACTTAGAGTTGGTTTTGAATTTGTTAAGAGACATATTCCAGGAGATGTTTATGTGTCAAAACCTACTTGGAGTAATCATAATCAAGTCATTGAAAGAGCTGGATTAAATCAATTTGAATATCCATATTATGAACCAAAAACTAAAGGTTTTAATTGTGCAGGAACTATTGAATGTTTATCATAAGCAAGAATGGGATCAATTGTTTTATTGCATGTATGTGCTCATAACCCAACTGGTGTTGATCCAACAGAAGCTGAATGGCTATAAATTGCTGATGTTTGCAAAAGAAGAAGATTAGTTCCATTCTTTGATTGTGCTTATTAAGGATTTGCAAGTGGATGTATTGAAAAAGATGTTTATGCTGTTCGTAAATTTGCAGAACTTGGATTCTAAATGATTGTTGCTTAATCATTCTCTAAAAATATGGGATTATATAATGAAAGAGTAGGAGCTGTTCATATTGTTACATCTAATAAAGACATTTCAGCAAGAGTATTGAGTAATCTCAAAATTGTCATCAGAACTATCTGTTCAAATCCTCCTGCAATTGGTGCTAGAGTTGCTGCTAAAATACTCACTGATGAAAAATATTTCAATGCTTGGGTAGAAGAACTAAAAACTGTCACAGGAAGAATCATTAAAATGAGAACTTTACTTAAACAAGAGTTAGATAATCTTAAAGTACCTGGAAATTGGGATCATATCACCAAACAAACTGGTTTCTTCACTTTTACTGGCCTTACTCCAGAATAATGCGATCTATTAACTAAATAATATCATGTATATTTGCTTAGATCTGGAAGAATGTCCATGGTATTTTTATTTATTTATTAATTCCTAGGCTGGAATCACATCCAAGAATGTCAGATATTTGGCAGAATCAATTAAAGCTGTTGTATAAAATAAATGAGATATATTATTACATTATCATATAATCTATTAACATTGAAGGCTTAGCTCAGGGGTAGAGCGTTGGATTCCAGGTCCAGGGGTCGCGCGTTCAATTCGCGTAGTCTTCATATTTTTTTTAATTTCAAATATATATAATAAATTTTATATTCATTCATTATTTCAAGGCCAAGTTTTTTAAATATTTATTATTTTAATTCTTAAACAAATTTTGAATTCTTCTTAGTTTTTTTATTTTTAGATTGATTTTGTCATCATTATCACTACAATTATTTGTCAAATTAGATTTTAAATCTTTAAATAAAATTTTTATGTTCTATTATAATTTTGTTAATATTCATAAATCATCAATTTCAATGTATTTTATTATCGTTTTATAAGGATAATCAAATAATCATAGGGATATAAAATAATAGATCTATAAACTAATATCAAAATAATTATTTTTTACTATTTATACACAAAGTTATTATAATTTTATCATTAATATATTTCATATATACAATTAATCTTTCTTTGTTTGGCTTTTTTTCGTTATTATATTGCACTGATAAAAATCCATTATTTTCATCTTTTAAATCATTTTAAACTTTAATTTATTCAAAAAATGATAAGCAATAAAGAAATCTTGTAAACCTATGCAGGAAAGTTTAAATAGTCACTTTTTAAGTAATTATTTAACTTTAGCTTAGTGTTGCTTACTAAATTAATTGTTTAAATAGCCAATCTCTGTAAGTTAGCTTAATATTATCCATGATCTAATTTTTTTAACTGCTTTATTTCCCATTTCAAATATAACTTCAATACGCTTGGCATAATCACAAACTTTCATCATAAATTTAAGAATTTCTTTCATATTTTACAATACTTAGAATAATTATTAATTAGGACAAATCTATGTATTTAATGCTAATGTATTTTGCGATTATTATTATATTACTTACGACTCTGCTTGTAATTTTATCAGCTATTTAAAAAAAACTATAAAACCAAAGAATAATAATTATGTTTCTCAGCAAATCGATACAATTTATTATGACAATTGGATTTGCTGCAATTATGAGAATACTTTCAGGAGTAATTAAATTAATTTTATTAAGCATAGTTTCTTATCTGCAAATCAGATTAAAACGGGACTCTCAGAATGTTATATCTTGTTGAACAAGAGTGTTGGGTAGGGGATTATGTGTATCATGCAATAATTGTTATTCTTTCACTTTTTATTTTGCTTTTTTTACTGTTAACGTGCAATAAAATATTTATTGACTTAAAAAACAACAAGAAAAATACATTTTCATAGAAACAGGGTGATTCTTATTTTAAAGTATTTGTTTATGTAATCTTTTCTATAACATCCTCAACTATAATAAAATAGCCTTAATATTCATTCTGTGTAATTGCTATTTAAAATATAACAAGCTTATCACTATTTTGTAGTATGTTTTACAACAGTCCTTTCTATAACTCTATTATATAGAAGGTTTGGGTATCAATAAGTGGAATAGTGTTCTACACTAATTTAATGTTGTTTATCACATTCTTATTCGAATAAATAGTTGTTTAGAATTTCATGATAGGCTGGATAATTACATGTCCTATGATAATAGTCATTCTATTTGGAAGATAAAAAGATTAAATTGATTTATTAAAAATCAATTTTTCAAGATATTAGGAAACTGAAATGATTATGAAAGAATGTGAATATTTATTAGAATTGGTAGATTCTTCTGAAAAAGACTTAAATAAACAGATTTAAATATTAGGATTTTTAGAATTGCATGAATAAACTTGTTTTAAATCAAATTGTGCAATTCTTATCAATAAAAATCTTTCAATAAAATATAAAGATAATCCAAAGTATACTGATGAAAGATAAGTTTTAAAAGAACTTATAAATTAATTCTATCAAAATGGTTTACATAAATTTCCTTAAAGTATTGATCTTAAATTACATTACAGTTATTACCTTTTTGATTATTTAGATGATGGATAAAAAGCTTTATTTGAATTAGAAAAAGCTGAACTTTTAAATCCAGATATTGGATAATAATTTTAGATTTACAAAATAAGAAAATCTATCGAATTTTCATTTTAAAAATAGTAATTTGATGTAAATAAAATTTAATAAGCTCTTTAAAATGATAGAAATATAGAATTTTAACAAAAGTAGTTAAATTAAAAATTTTAAGAATGTTCTTATCAAATGCTTTAATTTTGGAGTTAGCTTCTAGAAGAAATACCAAATTTATCAATTTTAAAAATGCATGGTAGGTAAGTATTGATATCAATTGATAAAATTAGAAAATAACTAACAATTATGTAAAGATCAAACACATTCAATTCAAATTCAAAAAAACTTTTAAGCAAATTTGCTGAATATGTGTTTTAAATAATGGATGCAGCACAATTTAATTTGATTTGCAAAAATTAAGAATATGATTAATTTTCCTTATAATCTAAATTCTTGGAATAAAGTTTTCTATAAAAATCTGAAGATTTGGGTTCTTATCCCTATCCTGTAATTGTATTAGAATTATTTAATAATAATAATTAAGTTTCGATTGTAAAAAATATCAATTAAGCTACTTATTCTTTATTAGGGTATTCAAAAACCGATATAATAGGGCACTCAATTTCAGAGCTGTTATAAAATAAGTATATTTCATAATATTATGAAGCTATTCAAAATTACATCAATGTTTTGTACAAAGTTATTTTGCATCAGATTAATAAGATTAGATTTCAATTTTGCCAGTAAGATAATTATTTTTCTAAACAAAATCTTAATATGTTGTACTAATTTAAACTACTGGTACTATATTTTAAACAGATAAAGGAGTTTTTCTATTCTTGAGATTGACTAAAGATATTAATTATCGTAATTTTGCTTATATTATTTTTAATGAAGATGGCAAAATTGAGAATATTTCATCTACTTGTATCTCTATTTTAAAATTAGACATTCGTAAACTTTAAATAAGATAGTTATTTATTTAGCAATTATTCCCCTATTTATTATCTAATAAAGAAACCTATTTCAATAAAATGAAAAATATTGCATTTAATTTTTAGAAATCAAAAGAGAAAAGCATGATTTTTGAAGATGAAGAAAAAGAGGAACTGAATTCAATTGAATTAATGGGATAATTATTTTAAATATAATTGAATAGTGAATTTATCAAAAAAGGAGAAAAGTAATAACAGTTTGGTTATTATTTAAAAATAGAATAAATTGAAAGCAATTATTTTATCAATACTCCCATAATTAAAAAATATCATTCAAAAATGTAATTTTAATTTTGCCATGAACAACATGCATACATTTGTAATAATTTATGTAAATTTAGATGGAAATGTTAGTTAAATTAGTTTATAATTAGACTCTGTTAAAGGAGATAGCGAAATTTAAGAAGAAAACTAATAACCTATATTTATCTAATCAAGATAATAATCTAGAAAATAGTTCTCATTAACTTCCTACAGACTTTAGAAGATTTATGGTGCAGACATAAAAACCCTAAGATTATTTCAAAATGAGATTAAGGATGTTATAGATTATAACGAGGAGGAAGAAGACGAAGATTACGTAAAGGAATTTACATAAAGCTCTAAATAAAAAGAAGAAATTAACATATCTTAATCTAATAGTATCAATTCTTAAAATGACTTAATGTTATTCTTGTAAAATATAAACTATCCTACTGTTTTGAGAAGGCTTATTCTTTTAAACAATATATTAATAGTTGTATTATTTATACTATCTTGTGTGATGTATTCAACTTTATATGATACTTTAACAAAATTTTAAACTGCTATAGAACTTGCAGCTGCTAGTAACTAACGATTTAATTCTCTATTAAAAATATAATCAATCCTTTAAGATTTGAGAGGTTGCAACTTAAATATCGAAGCTTCTGCATTTGACAGCGATAAAGAAAAGTTTGTAAATTCAAATTTTTAGGATTTTAAGAATGAATTAAACTTATTATTTGAGTCTAATTAATTGTTAACTTCTTCTTAACTAAAAATTAACAAAAAATATTAAGATTATATTGATTAATTCGAGTAATCCGTAATTTAGATGTATTAATTAGATAATAGCTATCAAAACTTTTCGTATACTCAAGCAGTATCACAATTAATTGCAAGAGCTATAACTTTAAATAGTAGCAATCTGGATAAATTTAATGACAAATAGGAGGATTTCCATTATTATTTGCATAACACTTTTAACTCAATTGCAAAATATTAGTATGTCTCTTAAAACTACTACTTTTCAAATATATAAAGCTTATTAGAGGATTTAGAAACATATGAAAATTTTTTTTTCATTCTTCAATCATGCTGTTTGTGTTTAATATTTTTATTTTGTTAATTATACATACGTTCTCATTAATATCATTTGAGAAATATCATTTCAGCTTTTTTAGAAATAAAAAATCATTATGTAAAATAAATATTCCATAGAATACAAATTTTTATCTAAATACTTCAGACAAATGATGATGAAGATGATGTAAAAAATTTAATTATTTTAGGTAGAATAATTAGATTTGGAAGACCATGAAAATTAAGAAGGAGAATTAATTAATAAAAGTCGGAAAAGATTATCTTAGTTCTCTATGAAAGTTGAAAGCAAATTTTAAATTCAAATAATTTTTGTTACTTTATTATTTTATTCTTACTTTAGTTATTTGTACTTTAGTTCTGCAGTAAATAATAATTATATCTATTTTAGATAATTATTGATTAAACAAATTTACTCATTCCCCTTGTCAATATAACCTCTTATATTCCAACTTAATACACTATACTTGATAATAGTATAAGGGAAATGCTTTTTGATGAGAAGGCTATCACGACGCATGAATTAAATTCAATAAAGAAAATGAATTTTATGATTGATTCACTTTAGATTTAAGATGCTGAAATGCATGTATTGAATTAAAAAAATGAAGATATTCTATCAGAAGAATATTCTTAACTTTTCAATGAAATTTATATTGTAAATCCATGTAACGTTATTATTGAAAATGATTTAAAAGTGACAAATACAACTTGTTTATCATTTAGTAAGAATATTCTATAAGAGGGATTAGCAGTTGCTATTTCAAACTTTTTTGAAAATGCTGATAAAATGATATCTTATTATGCTTACTATAATTCTAATGTTGTTTATTCAGATTTAACCTATAATCTTAGTACAAATCATAAGAAAAACTATACATATAATATTCTAAATAGTATTTATAGTAAAGAAAATAGATAAATGCAAAAAATTTTCATAAAGATATGTCATTTATAACTAATTTAAGAGTTATAAACTTAGTTAAATAACTATTATTCCTTCCTGGCATTTTAATTAACTCTGCTGTTCTTGATATTTTGTATGATTATAATATTTATCTACTTTATGATTTGGATCCCATTATTAACCAATTTTTATTTTGAAATAAAAAAAACATTAGAAATTTTAACTATAATTCCTATTGAATATTTGACTAAAATTGGATAGCTATAAGAATATATCAAAAGCTTGAAAAAGCATAATTATTGATTAATAAAATATTTATTTTTACAACCCCATTAACTATAAATTTTATCAAAAACAATCGTAGTCCTTTTAATTATCATTTTTAAGTCTTACAAAATTCATAATCTCCATTTTTCATTTTTAAATATTAAATTATCTTAAGTAATTCTATAAAGTAAAATAAATTATTTTGAATACCCCATAATTATAAAAATTATTTTTATGTAATTAGAACCTTAAACAAATTTTGAATTCGACTGCTTTAAGAAATGCTAAAAAGGTAACAAATATTATAAAGGTCTTTTTAATGGAATCAAACTAGAATTATATAAAGTAAAAAATAAATTCAATTTCAGGAAAATTCATAAGTGCCAAAATATGTCATTCCAATAAAATTATAAACACATATTAAATGGGAGGTTCAAGAAGAAATCTTGAATGGAAAGAAGCATTATAAGATTGTTTCCTTCAAATTTTAATAGGTGAGGTTTTGAATTCGACATTTAGGTGAAATAAATAATCGATTAATAAATTGCAAAAATAACATGTTTATTTGGTGAAGACAACATTTTAACTAAATTGAAAGAGCATATGAGAAATAAAATAATATTTTAAAGAATCTAAGATTTTTATACACCATTATAAACTTTAGGCAAAGGAGCATCATCAAAAGTATTGTTAGTGAGGCATAAAAATTCAGAGCTTTATTATGCTGCTAAATGTGTTGATAAATCATATGTTAATGAAACAGAGAATGGAATCGTAATGAAAATGACTTAATTTATAAGGAATCAATGTTTTAAGAAATCTCCATCAATAATGACTTAGATCATCCATCTTTTATTAAGCTTCACGCCGTTTACGAAGGGGATAACACATTTTATATGGTTATGGATTTATTAGAAGGAAAAAGTTTGCATGAAGAACTCAGTAACCATAAAAATGGCTTTCCTGAAGATATTGTGCGAAATGTGATGTTGGTATTTAATTAAAAATTATTTTCTAGTAAATTCTTACTGGTATTGAATATATGCACTAGAAGAATATTATGCATAGGGATTTAAAACCAGAAAATATTATGCTTTAAAAAAAATAGGATTTGAATTCTTTAAAAATTGTAGACTTTGGTTTGGCGACTTATTGCAACGTTGATAAGTAATAACTTTATTTTATTTATTTGATATTTATTTCCAAAATGTGGAACTCCTGGTTATGTTGCTCCTGAAATAGCCAATTTAATTGATAAATCAGAGAAATATGATAAAGTTTGCGATGTTTTTAGTGCAGGTGTGATATTCTTTAAATTGTAAAATGTAAAATTATTATAGACTAACTGGTAAAGATCTCTTTCCTGGTGTAGGATTTAATTTAGTATTAAAATTGAATAAACAATGCAAAATTGATCTAACTCCTTTATAAATGAAAAAAAATGACCCAAATTTAATTCAGTTAATCTAAAAAATGCTTGAAAAAGACCCTAAAAAAAGGATATCAGCTAGTTCTTGTTTAAAAGATTAATTTTTTGATAAGGTTTATAATAAAAAGGAAATAGAACCAAAAATTTAACAAACTTCTTCTCAAAAAAAACAGTTTTTCTCCTCAGCTGGTAAAAATTTTTAGACAACTGAGTTTAAAAGTGATTCTCCCTCATAATAAAATAATTAATAAATAGAAAAAGGATCATTTGTAACCTAAGATTGTGCATTTAAAGGGTTTAAAGGGCAGTAAAATGCAAAAGTAATGTAAAAGTTCAATACAACAGAATTTGATCACATTGATTTAACAGGAAGTCCAATAGAAAAAAAATAAAGTAAATTCGCAAAAGCCGATTAAATAGAAGAAGAAGAAGATAAATGATTTACATCAATATTTAATTATGATGAATAAAAGAGAAAATATAGTTTTCAATGAAACCTTATTCAACTCTCTTCAACTTTAGTGTAATATAAACTTATATAACTCTATAAATAAAAAATTTATTCACTAACCACTAGTTAAAGTTTGACTCCCTTTTAATCTACGATTTAAAATTGGATTTCTGTATGCATTAAATGGAGTATCTACAGAAATTCTCTTTTTCAATATTTCTTCCGGACATGGAGAAGTTCTCATTTAGTTTACAATTGACCCAAGTTCACCTTCTTTTAATTTATTTTCTTTCCTTTATTTCTAGTTACTCATACAAATTCCCATTTTTAAACTTTATTTTAATATTTTTTTAATTGAGTATTAATGAAATAAATATTAGAAAGAAATCAAGCCAAATAAACGCAGTATTCTTTAAGTAAATCTAATAAATTAAAATATCTCCTNTTTATTTGATATTTATTTCCAAAATGTGGAACTCCTGGTTATGTTGCTCCTGAAATAGCCAATTTAATTGATAAATCAGAGAAATATGATAAAGTTTGCGATGTTTTTAGTGCAGGTGTGATATTCTTTAAATTGTAAAATGTAAAATTATTATAGACTAACTGGTAAAGATCTCTTTCCTGGTGTAGGATTTAATTTAGTATTAAAATTGAATAAACAATGCAAAATTGATCTAACTCCTTTATAAATGAAAAAAAATGACCCAAATTTAATTCAGTTAATCTAAAAAATGCTTGAAAAAGACCCTAAAAAAAGGATATCAGCTAGTTCTTGTTTAAAAGATTAATTTTTTGATAAGGTTTATAATAAAAAGGAAATAGAACCAAAAATTTAACAAACTTCTTCTCAAAAAAAACAGTTTTTCTCCTCAGCTGGTAAAAATTTTTAGACAACTGAGTTTAAAAGTGATTCTCCCTCATAATAAAATAATTAATAAATAGAAAAAGGATCATTTGTAACCTAAGATTGTGCATTTAAAGGGTTTAAAGGGCAGTAAAATGCAAAAGTAATGTAAAAGTTCAATACAACAGAATTTGATCACATTGATTTAACAGGAAGTCCAATAGAAAAAAAATAAAGTAAATTCGCAAAAGCCGATTAAATAGAAGAAGAAGAAGATAAATGATTTACATCAATATTTAATTATGATGAATAAAAGAGAAAATATAGTTTTCAATGAAACCTTATTCAACTCTCTTCAACTTTAGTGTAATATAAACTTATATAACTCTATAAATAAAAAATTTATTCACTAACCACTAGTTAAAGTTTGACTCCCTTTTAATCTACGATTTAAAATTGGATTTCTGTATGCATTAAATGGAGTATCTACAGAAATTCTCTTTTTCAATATTTCTTCCGGACATGGAGAAGTTCTCATTTAGTTTACAATTGACCCAAGTTCACCTTCTTTTAATTTATTTTCTTTCCTTTATTTCTAGTTACTCATACAAATTCCCATTTTTAAACTTTATTTTAATATTTTTTTAATTGAGTATTAATGAAATAAATATTAGAAAGAAATCAAGCCAAATAAACGCAGTATTCTTTAAGTAAATCTAATAAATTAAAATATCTCCTCTTAAAAATCATTAGCAAAACTAATTTTGTAAATAATTCTGATTCATAAATGTTAATTACCAATATTATATTTAATTAATTTGGAATTGTTCATGATATAGTTTATACTAGTGATTTATCAAATATAAACTAAAGCTGTTTCTTTAATAAAGAAATGATTAATGAATTTGTTATCTTGACATTGAAGAGAAATTAAGAAACTTATTTGGATATTTGTTTACTATAAATATAAGTATTAATAAATTGTTTTCTGTTATGTTTTTATATATTTCATTCTTAAAAAATACGATAATTCCTAACCAAATTTAAAAAATCATTAAGACATATATATTTATGTCATTGCAGATTGTTTCTCAATGGATGGCTTAAAATTAAATTTTAAATAGATTATAGTTTGAATAGGAATCTGAAGTATTTTTTAAGATAATTTTGATATCTATGAACTACTTACCTTTAGACATTAAGTTTTACAATTATTCTTAGTGACTTTAAGAATTTCCTTTGCAAATTTCCATTTTATTTATTATGAAATTATGGAAATATATTATTTATGAAAGAGAAATACCGAGATATACTCAACTATGTCTATACAAAAGAGTTAATATAAAATATTGATTATAAAAATTTTTGAATAAAATGTACAACTTATAAGGTATATATATATCAATTTAAAGTAAAATAGCTTAATCATTCTGATTAAGTCTAAGGATTGGGAGATGTTGGCATTTCTTTTAATCTTCTACTCAGTATAGGATTCTTAAAAGGGTTTAAATGAGATGATTAGCTTGCTCTTTGCTTTAAAATAAGAGTACAATCTTATGATAGTCTAACTTGAGCCACTACTTATTATAATTCACCATCATTTCTTGATTTTTTTTATTTTTGAGCAGCACAATTTCCCATATTATATATAAATATTAAAGAAGATTTTTCAAAAAATTTATATTTTTGGATTAAAATTTACTTTTTAGTCATTCAGACTATTATTTAAGATCATAAAATAATATTATATATTTTCTAATAATAATTTTCAATTTTTTCCATGAACAAAACTATAGAATGCATCTTCATCATCTTTATTTTTAAATGGCCCTGCAATAAAGTTAATAGTTAAAGTTTCAGTAAAGCCTTCATCTTTAGTAGGTGGTTTAATTTTTGAATAGATCATATTTATAGGCATCTTACCTACCTTTTTTGAAAAGTGTTCCCTAAAAGTATTGGTATCTCTTTATGTATCATTATGAAGACATAAATCTTTAGAGACATCCAAGAAAAAAGCTCTAACAGGGTATTTATTATCAGTAGCTAATTTGACAAATGCTGCTCTATCATCTGCAGTTGGATTTGTATTGTCAATTACAATATATTTCTTTTCTTAAATAGCCTGTTCAGCAACTTTTAGGCATTTTTCTTTAGTTTTCAAAGTATCTCTATTAATTCTCGTATAATCATTTAAATAATTGTGAACAAAAGTTGATTTACCTGATCCAGGTGCTCCTATCATAATTATCACTTAAAATATTAATACTAATTACTTTCTGGTTTATCAGGTTTTGTAAATTTATTAACCTTACTTTCTTTAAATAAGTATCCTTCTTTGGGTATGGTTTTAGGATTGAATCCTAATTAATTAGAATAGTCTTCATTAAGATCTTCTTTTAAAAATAATTGCTCCGGAGTTTTGAAAATCAAACCTAAATTTATTGCAAATTTCCTTAAAAAATTATTTAAAATTATACAAATCAGTATCAGTAAAATCTTTTTTTTTTCCCTTCACTCTTCCTGCTGCATCCCCACAATAAATACTTTTTTTCATATCTGCCTTTGTTCCTGTTAATTCTTAAAAATCTGTCCACATATCTTAAATTTATTTTATTTAATTACCTACTCTAGGTTTCCTATAATTATCATCACTTGAAGCAATAAATGCAGCTAAAGGAAGTTTGAGTTCTTTTTATAAAGATTCAATTTTTGTTTTTATATCAGATTCTTTAGTGTGTCCTTTTTCTATACCATTTTGATTAGTAAATATAACTATGGAGTATCCTTGTTTAGAATAGTCTTAAATTGTAGGGATAACTTTTGGATCCCACCATTACCAATCATTTGCATCCTTTGCAAATTTTTTTCCGCTTTTAGTTTTAATCAAGGTCTCATCCATATCAAAACCTAATACTAAAGGTTATGGTTTAAAATCCTAATTTTAAATGGATAAATTACTATTGTTCCATAAATAAGAGATCCCTTCTTATTCCAATCCCAATCTTATGTTTTTTTTTATTTCATTTAAATAATAATATAATTATATCAGAATGTTGTTTAAAGTCTCATAATTTATTTATTTATACATTCAATAAATATTTAATTGACTATTCTCCATAAATTCATGGATTTACATTCTATTATTGAAGTTAAAAATGTGGAGAATTTATATTCAAATTTAGAACAATATCAAATTTTAGCAAAAATCTAAAAATGATTATCAAAGAAAGTAAGAAACTTATTTCATATCAACGCTCTTTAAATTATATTTTTTGTATGATGTTATTTGATTATTCTTGATTGTATTTATTTATAAATCTCATGATCATTATGGATTAGTCAGTGAATTCTTCAAAGACTAAGCATCTCTCAAAACTGGACATTTAAGGCTTGATTTTGCTTCAAAAAATGGTTAATTTCCATTTAAAAAATAGGCTGTAAACAAAGCTGTGCTTCCGCTTACAATTGCTAAGATAGGCTTCATTCTTTTATATTTAATTATTATAGTATTTTAATCATAATAATTATAGAAACTTGAAATCTTAGTCACGAGCCATATTTCGCTATCATAATCAAAAGTAAACTAAATTTATAAGCTTATATTAATAATAAAATCTACTATTGGTTTTTAATAATATCGATAATTAAATGTTCTAAATAAAGGGTTCTTTTGATTTATTAAACATTTATAAAAACATTTAGGAACTTCTAAGTTTTATCTTTCTAAATATAATGAATAATATCATTTTTAAATAGTAAAATTATAAATCAAAAATTTTTATTAAGCTTTTTCTATAAAATAAGAATTATGTGGAAATTATCTGTTTTATCTATGTTTGCATTCATTATTTTTTTAGAAAAGAAAAATTAGATTAAAAAACTGATTTTTTAACACAGAAATTTTGTTTAAATTCTTGCACATCTTTATATTATTTTATTTTGATAAAAAAATCATATAATTTATTCATTAATAAAATTCTTTAATTTTATGGAAGATTTTAGTGATGACGATATAAATTACATTATTGCTAAACTAGGTGAAGACTGTTCAAGGTCTTTCTTTGATAATTATTTAAATGACTCCTAACTTTTAGGAGTTAAATGTATTAGTTTATTAAATCATTTAGTGGATGCATAATTGATTAAATAAATTAGAGACAAAGAAGAACAAATGAAAACAATGCTTGATTTACTAAGTACTTAGCATAAAAAAATTTAGCTTACATTTTTAACAAATAGCAAAAAATTCTTGCTGATTATGAAGATCTAAAAATTTAAGGCGATCACAACGTTTTGGTTTTAAAATAAGAAATTTAATAAAGTTAATATTAAATAGAGCAGCTCTAGGTAAATATACAATTCAATGATAGGCCTTGAATGATGAAAATTAAGAAAAAAACAAATAATTTCTTGACCAAATAGAAGAATTAGAGAATCAGCTATAATAAAAGAAATCTGAGATATAGTAGATGTAATAGAATGAAGGAAGAATAAATTAAAACCATTATGTAAATAATATCTTTTATTAAAAGGCACATGAATTAAAATCTTAAGAATAAAAAGAGCAATTATAAAGCCTTTAAAATAAAGTAAAACAGCTGGAAGAAAACAACAGCAAATTTAAAAGCGAAGCTATATCTTCAGCTAATTTAATAAGATAATACGAAATGAAATAAAAAGATTATGAGGATAAATTTGAAATTTTAGAATTGCAATTAAAAAGTAGTCAAATTATTAAAATTAGATAATTAGAGAGAAAAAGAGAAATTGTCTAGATAATATGAGGAACTATTCAAGAAATAATAATCAGAAATTATTATATCAACATAAATAAATTTAAATAATAATTTTGTTCATAATTCACCTTCAAAATCAACTAAAAAAAATACTAATTATTCTAACAATACCAATATTGAAACCATATAAAAATTAAGAAGATAGAGTGGTTTTTTGAACTAACCAAAATTAGAATAAATTTAAAAATAAATTAAGGATAATATACCTGAATTTGAAAGTGAATCCGAGGAGGAAAATTAATTAAATGGAGCAAATACCTTAAAATAAGAAAAGAATGAGAAAAAAAACATTTAAAGAGAGTTAAATAATTTAAAATAAAAAATTTAAGAACTAGAAAAATAAAAAGAAGCTATGGAAAAAGAATTGACTTAAAACAAAGAAGTAATATCCAACAATGATAGTAAAATTAGACAATTAGAAACAAATTAAAAGAAGATGAATCTCAAAACAAGTTAATTAGAGAAAAAAGTTACAAATTTAACGGAAGGTATATTTGATTTTAAAATAAATCTTAGAAAAAAATACTTTAGAAGAATCATATAAGCAAGAGAAATAATTAGAATAAGATCAGGTAAAAAAGCAAATCGAAGATTTTTTATAAAAGTTAAAGATTTTATAAAATGAAAATCAACAATAAAGTTCTTAATTAAAATAATTAATCTAATATAGAACAAAATATAATGAAACAAGCTTATGTAAACACTTATTATAAATAGATTTTTACAGAAAACCTTAAAAATGAAGAAGAAATGGAAGTTTGTTTGAGGAATCTTGAGTCTGCAGCAACTGCATATAAGTAAAGTAATTAATAGTTCTTAAATTATAGTGGAAAAATAATTAGACGAAAAACTTTATTAGCAAGGCCTAAACAAAATAATGAGTATTTCTGATTCTGATCTGATATTCACTCGACCTAGAAGTAATGCAAGTGTATTTAAAAAAAAAGATGTACCTATTGAGTAAACAGAAATATTTAAAAAAAAGTTGAAAGAGGAGTTAGATTTAAAATTAAAAAGTGCTTTAATGTCTTAATAGAATAATTCAGATATTTTAAAATAGAAGCAACTTTAAATTAATGATTATGAACAAAAATTGTAAAATATTAATGAAGAATATCAAAAATTGAAATATGAAACAAACGAATAAAAAAAAAAAATCGATCTGCTAAATTTTAAAAACAAGGAGCTTGAAATTTAAAATGATAAAGACAAGCTTGAATTGCTTGAAGTATAAAAAATATTAGACTAATACAAAGTAAAAGTTTTTAAAAGTGAAGAATAATAAAATAGTCTGAAAGATTAAATAAATAATTTAGAAGAAACTGTTGATTAATAATAAAAAGACATTCGAAATTTGAACGAAAAATGTATTTAATAAAGCAAACAAATGGAGGATCAAGCGAAAATATCTAAATAAGAAATAGATAAATTAATTGATCGAAATGATAATAAATAATTGAAATTAGATTAAGCTTTAATTGATATATAACATCTAACAACAGATTATAAAATGGCAAAAATAAATAATGAGACAATAATAAAAAATTTAAATGAGAAAAACATATAATTACAAAATTAAAATGAAATATATTTAAAAATAAAAGAATAATAAGAATAAGAATTGAAAAGTATTCATGATATTAATATTCAAATGGAATAAACATTATAAGCTGTAATGAAAAATTATACTGATATTGAAATAAAATGTTCAAATATAGAAGGGGAAAGCAAATTAGTTGAGTAAAAAAATGAAGAGCTACAATAAAAAATTTAAAAGAAAAAACAACAAAAAAGAGTTTTAAAAGAGATAAATGAGTAAAAAGAGGTAAAAATCGTTGAAAATTAAAAGTAATTAAATATTTACAAAGATTTATTATTAAAATAAGAAGAAGAAATAAACTTGTATAAACAAAACATTGAGAAAGAATCAAAAGAGTTTATGTTGTAGTACAACAATTGCGAATAAGATCGAAATTAAAAAATTGAAGAATGCAATTAAATGAAACTAGTAATCACTGAGTTAGAATTAAGTAAGGGAGATTTGAATCGATAAAAAGAGCAACTTGACAAAGAGATCGAAGAACTGAAAGTGCAATTTAGTAATTAGAATCAGGAGAAATAGTAGAAAATAAATAATCTAGAGGAAGAGACATTAAAAAAAGAAAAAGAAAGTGAAAAACTGAGATTCGAGTTAGATGTGATAAAGAAAGAAAAAGAGCATTAAGTAGCATCGCTTAAGGAAGATCTTACGGAAAGTAACAATAAGCTTCATCAAATTTAAAATGAATTGTAATCGCTTTAAGAATAATTTAAACAGCATTAGATTTCTGTGAATGCTTCATAATCAGAAGCTCACATTTTGTACTAAGAGTTACAATTAAAATACAACAATTGCGAATAAGATCGAAATTAAAAAATTGAAGAATGCAATTAAATGAAACTAGTAATCACTGAGTTAGAATTAAGTAAGGGAGATTTGAATCGATAAAAAGAGCAACTTGACAAAGAGATCGAAGAACTGAAAGTGCAATTTAGTAATTAGAATCAGGAGAAATAGTAGAAAATAAATAATCTAGAGGAAGAGACATTAAAAAAAGAAAAAGAAAGTGAAAAACTGAGATTCGAGTTAGATGTGATAAAGAAAGAAAAAGAGCATTAAGTAGCATCGCTTAAGGAAGATCTTACGGAAAGTAACAATAAGCTTCATCAAATTTAAAATGAATTGTAATCGCTTTAAGAATAATTTAAACAGCATTAGATTTCTGTGAATGCTTCATAATCAGAAGCTCACATTTTGTACTAAGAGTTACAATTAAAATACAACAATTGCGAATAAGATCGAAATTAAAAAATTGAAGAATGCAATTAAATGAAACTAGTAATCACTGAGTTAGAATTAAGTAAGGGAGATTTGAATCGATAAAAAGAGCAACTTGACAAAGAGATCGAAGAACTGAAAGTGCAATTTAGTAATTAGAATCAGGAGAAATAGTAGAAAATAAATAATCTAGAGGAAGAGACATTAAAAAAAGAAAAAGAAAGTGAAAAACTGAGATTCGAGTTAGATGTGATAAAGAAAGAAAAAGAGCATTAAGTAGCATCGCTTAAGGAAGATCTTACGGAAAGTAACAATAAGCTTCATCAAATTTAAAATGAATTGTAATCGCTTTAAGAATAATTTAAACAGCATTAGATTTCTGTGAATGCTTCATAATCAGAAGCTCACATTTTGTACTAAGAGTTACAATTAAAATACAACAATTGCGAATAAGATCGAAATTAAAAAATTGAAGAATGCAATTAAATGAAACTAGTAATCACTGAGTTAGAATTAAGTAAGGGAGATTTGAATCGATAAAAAGAGCAACTTGACAAAGAGATCGAAGAACTGAAAGTGCAATTTAGTAATTAGAATCAGGAGAAATAGTAGAAAATAAATAATCTAGAGGAAGAGACATTAAAAAAAGAAAAAGAAAGTGAAAAACTGAGATTCGAGTTAGATGTGATAAAGAAAGAAAAAGAGCATTAAGTAGCATCGCTTAAGGAAGATCTTACGGAAAGTAACAATAAGCTTCATCAAATTTAAAATGAATTGTAATCGCTTTAAGAATAATTTAAACAGCATTAGATTTCTGTGAATGCTTCATAATCAGAAGCTCACATTTTGTACTAAGAGTTACAATTAAAATACAACAATTGCGAATAAGATCGAAATTAAAAAATTGAAGAATGCAATTAAATGAAACTAGTAATCACTGAGTTAGAATTAAGTAAGGGAGATTTGAATCGATAAAAAGAGCAACTTGACAAAGAGATCGAAGAACTGAAAGTGCAATTTAGTAATTAGAATCAGGAGAAATAGTAGAAAATAAATAATCTAGAGGAAGAGACATTAAAAAAAGAAAAAGAAAGTGAAAAACTGAGATTCGAGTTAGATGTGATAAAGAAAGAAAAAGAGCATTAAGTAGCATCGCTTAAGGAAGATCTTACGGAAAGTAACAATAAGCTTCATCAAATTTAAAATGAATTGTAATCGCTTTAAGAATAATTTAAACAGCATTAGATTTCTGTGAATGCTTCATAATCAGAAGCTCACATTTTGTACTAAGAGTTACAATTAAAATACAACAATTGCGAATAAGATCGAAATTAAAAAATTGAAGAATGCAATTAAATGAAACTAGTAATCACTGAGTTAGAATTAAGTAAGGGAGATTTGAATCGATAAAAAGAGCAACTTGACAAAGAGATCGAAGAACTGAAAGTGCAATTTAGTAATTAGAATCAGGAGAAATAGTAGAAAATAAATAATCTAGAGGAAGAGACATTAAAAAAAGAAAAAGAAAGTGAAAAACTGAGATTCGAGTTAGATGTGATAAAGAAAGAAAAAGAGCATTAAGTAGCATCGCTTAAGGAAGATCTTACGGAAAGTAACAATAAGCTTCATCAAATTTAAAATGAATTGTAATCGCTTTAAGAATAATTTAAACAGCATTAGATTTCTGTGAATGCTTCATAATCAGAAGCTCACATTTTGTACTAAGAGTTACAATTAAAATACAACAATTGCGAATAAGATCGAAATTAAAAAATTGAAGAATGCAATTAAATGAAACTAGTAATCACTGAGTTAGAATTAAGTAAGGGAGATTTGAATCGATAAAAAGAGCAACTTGACAAAGAGATCGAAGAACTGAAAGTGCAATTTAGTAATTAGAATCAGGAGAAATAGTAGAAAATAAATAATCTAGAGGAAGAGACATTAAAAAAAGAAAAAGAAAGTGAAAAACTGAGATTCGAGTTAGATGTGATAAAGAAAGAAAAAGAGCATTAAGTAGCATCGCTTAAGGAAGATCTTACGGAAAGTAACAATAAGCTTCATCAAATTTAAAATGAATTGTAATCGCTTTAAGAATAATTTAAACAGCATTAGATTTCTGTGAATGCTTCATAATCAGAAGCTCACATTTTATATTAATAATTACTTAATGAATAAAATCAAAAAGAAAAAGGTTATTAATCCGAATTAGCTTTACTATCTCGCTAAATTAATGATTTAACTATCAAACTCGAATAATTTAATTCAGATAACTAAAAACTCAATTATTAATTGTAATAATAAACTATTATATAATCAAATTAGAATTCATAATATATAAATTTTTACATATCTGACTAACTTTCAATCATAACATTTGAATCCATAATTAGTAATCTTTAAAATTAGATAAATCTTTTATCTTAACAGTTGTAAAATTAACAAACTGAAAATTTAAAAATAATAAATGAATTATCTAATAACCTTTCCTAAAAATCTTAATAATGCTTAACATTATCATAACTAAACGATGAAGTTAATCAGGATCTATTGAAATTATAAGCAAATTCTAAAGATGAAACAACCACAATTTACTATCTAAAGAATCAAATTAATTTAAAAGATTAGTAAATTAATCAACTTTAAGTTTAATATTAAGAATTTGAATCTTAACAAAATCAAAGTTTGTAAGATTTATAAGATTTGAAAGTTTTGTTTGAGTAAATATAAAAAGAGAAAATTTAACTTGAAAATCATTTATCAGAATAATATTTGCTTGTAAAATAATCTCATACTTAGTATGATTTATCATAGAAGGAATTAATTGAATGTAAGATAGAAATTAAAAAATTAAGAGATTAAATTTCTTAAACTTCGGATTATGGTTAGGAATTAATTAATTTTTAAGAGACAATTTAAAGAAAAGATGGAGAAATTGAAGAAATAGTTAAGAGTCTTTAAGAATTAAAATTGACCATGTAAAATGAAAAATCAGAGCTATAAGAATAATAGTATTTAATTTATTTATTTTAGAAATTTCATTAAGGAAATTCTAAAACTACTTATTAAACAATCTGATGAATTAAAGCAAATTCATGAAGAAAAAATAGAAAATCAAATCCAACTTGATAATGATGATCTAGATTAATTAAAGTATTAAATAAAATTATATGATAGGACTCTTATTATGATATAAATAAATAATTTGAATAGGGAGATAGAAAAATTGATTAATAATTAGAGAGAATAATAATTGGTAATTTCAGAATCAATGCAATAAATATTTTAATTAAAATAAAAAATAAAGGAAAGCTAAGATCATATCGAAAAACTTGAGTTAAATGTCTCTAATATTAATGAAAAAATTGATGAACACAAAAAGGCCGCATTAACACAAGATGGAATTATAAAATAACAAAATTAAGAAATGGATTAATTGAAAAAAGATTATCAAAATTAGATAAACCAAGTTTAATAAGCATTGAATAGAAGAGAATAAGAATTAAAGTCTTTAAAGTAATTCTCATTTATATGATTCTAGTGAGTAATATAATTTGCTGTTTTAAGATTAAGTTAAAAAAAACGAAGAATTAAATAGTTTGAAGAAACAATATGATGACTTCATGAGTGATTTAGACAAAATGACCCCAACTCGGTCTCCTTCAAATTCTATCACCCAAAAACCTAATCAAATTGATTAATACTAGTAATATTTCATCCTTGTAATTAAAATTTTTAATGTAGACTGCTCAAGCTGTAGCTCTAAGTAGTGCTGACCCTTTGGCTGCTGCAGAGGTTAAATTAAAAAACTTCTATTAAGAAGTCAAAAATCGTAATTTGCCTTTCCATCAAGTATATTTTATAATTATCAAAGTGGCATCCTTGGCTATAATTAAAATTAAAGGAAGAACTCTCTAAAAATAGGAAATGGTGAATGATAGTAAATAATAAATTTATGTTTATTTTAATTTAATATTGTTATTTTAAAACATTTGGTTATTGCAATTATTTAACTATAATTATTGATGACATTTCTAAATTTTTTTTTTAATTCAAATATTATAGTCAATTTTTTATATCATAGAATAAACTGATTTAGATTTTAAAGTGCAACAAAGTACTCATAATTGAATTATAGCGTAAAGCGTTTCGAAGTATCAAGGTTTAATAATAACCAAATCTTTCATTTAAATCCTTAATTTGAATGTATTTAGATAAATTCTGCTAGATTCAATCTGAAATTTTATATATGATATCTTAAATAATTATTGAGTATTTATTAACTTTATTTGGAAAAATTGTTTAAAGAATTTAAGGCAAAACCTAATATTAGTATTTAGAACTTTGATAAGCGAAAAGTTATCAATACTTGCTATCTGAGAGTATTTTAATATTTTTAAATAGTTAAAGTTGATGATTGAATAGAAAATAAAATTTGGAAATATTTCACGAAATTATTTAGTTTTAAGTTTAAAATTGAATGTTTGTATTAATTCTAAAATTCTGGTGAGAAAGTACAGAATATAAAGTAGAACTAATTCTAAAATTTTTAAATTATAAAACAAAATTGAATTATAATGATGATGAATTCACTACAAGATATTAATGTAAAAAAATAAATATTAGAAATAATTTTTATTGCTAATTAATTATGTCTTCTTCCAAGATCTTTTATTCACCTTCACGTTCTAACGTGTCAAATGTATAAGCTTATGGAGGAGATAGAGCTTTGTCACCTAGTAGAGCAAAAATATCTTAATTATCAGAAAAATTATCTAATTTATAACACTAAATAGATGAAGATTAAGCTGTAAGAATTAATAGTTAAACATCAATAGTTTAAAAAGGAAACATTTGAAACTAAAGTTAAAATATTAGAAGATAAGGCAACAAAGCAGGCTTAGGCTGATGACTCAAAATTTAAGTTATTGAAGGAATAGCTTTAAAAAGTTGAAGAAGGAGCTTAAAATGAGAAAATAATTAGAGAGGTAACTATAAGTTATTTAGCAAAGGCTGGAGATGAAAAGTTAAGATCCAAAGATTTAAAGAGTTTGGAAATTTTTCTAAACAGAGAATTATAATAAGAAAAAGTAAATAGGAAAGATTTTGAAGGAAAAATAATCAAGAATACAGATGATAAAGTTTACAGTTTGAGATTGGATTTAGCTAGATAAAAGAAATATAGAGAAGAAACAGAAGAAAAGAACGCTTAAGAAATTGGTGATCGTATTTTATAATTGTAAGAGGAAGTTGAGGAAGAAAGAAGATAAAGGTAAATATTTTTATATTTCGATAGAGAATAATAAAATTAGAATACTATTAAAAGATTGGGCGATTCCATTTTGAAATTATAAGAAATATTAACAACTGAAAAGAAGTAAANTTATTGATGACATTTCTAAATTTTTTTTTTAATTCAAATATTATAGTCAATTTTTTATATCATAGAATAAACTGATTTAGATTTTAAAGTGCAACAAAGTACTCATAATTGAATTATAGCGTAAAGCGTTTCGAAGTATCAAGGTTTAATAATAACCAAATCTTTCATTTAAATCCTTAATTTGAATGTATTTAGATAAATTCTGCTAGATTCAATCTGAAATTTTATATATGATATCTTAAATAATTATTGAGTATTTATTAACTTTATTTGGAAAAATTGTTTAAAGAATTTAAGGCAAAACCTAATATTAGTATTTAGAACTTTGATAAGCGAAAAGTTATCAATACTTGCTATCTGAGAGTATTTTAATATTTTTAAATAGTTAAAGTTGATGATTGAATAGAAAATAAAATTTGGAAATATTTCACGAAATTATTTAGTTTTAAGTTTAAAATTGAATGTTTGTATTAATTCTAAAATTCTGGTGAGAAAGTACAGAATATAAAGTAGAACTAATTCTAAAATTTTTAAATTATAAAACAAAATTGAATTATAATGATGATGAATTCACTACAAGATATTAATGTAAAAAAATAAATATTAGAAATAATTTTTATTGCTAATTAATTATGTCTTCTTCCAAGATCTTTTATTCACCTTCACGTTCTAACGTGTCAAATGTATAAGCTTATGGAGGAGATAGAGCTTTGTCACCTAGTAGAGCAAAAATATCTTAATTATCAGAAAAATTATCTAATTTATAACACTAAATAGATGAAGATTAAGCTGTAAGAATTAATAGTTAAACATCAATAGTTTAAAAAGGAAACATTTGAAACTAAAGTTAAAATATTAGAAGATAAGGCAACAAAGCAGGCTTAGGCTGATGACTCAAAATTTAAGTTATTGAAGGAATAGCTTTAAAAAGTTGAAGAAGGAGCTTAAAATGAGAAAATAATTAGAGAGGTAACTATAAGTTATTTAGCAAAGGCTGGAGATGAAAAGTTAAGATCCAAAGATTTAAAGAGTTTGGAAATTTTTCTAAACAGAGAATTATAATAAGAAAAAGTAAATAGGAAAGATTTTGAAGGAAAAATAATCAAGAATACAGATGATAAAGTTTACAGTTTGAGATTGGATTTAGCTAGATAAAAGAAATATAGAGAAGAAACAGAAGAAAAGAACGCTTAAGAAATTGGTGATCGTATTTTATAATTGTAAGAGGAAGTTGAGGAAGAAAGAAGATAAAGGTAAATATTTTTATATTTCGATAGAGAATAATAAAATTAGAATACTATTAAAAGATTGGGCGATTCCATTTTGAAATTATAAGAAATATTAACAACTGAAAAGAAGTAAAGAGAGCAAGCTCAAAGCTAAATGTTCAGAATGTTAGATGAAATGAATCACTATTTAAATAGTGAATTACATAGTGAAAAAAATGAGAGGGAAGCAACTGAAGAGAGTCTCATCAATTTAATTGATCAAACTTGCAACAGAGTTGAAAATTCATTAAGAAAATGATAAAATAATAATACATATTTTCTTATAATATTTTTTATAATTATAGATATTTTATAAGAATAATATTATAAGATATATTGATATGAGACTTAGGAAAAACCAATTCAAAATAAAAAAAATACAAGTCTTTAGCAACTAGAAGATCTTAAATAAATTGATTATTCAATGAAAACTAATTCATTCTTTTTTATTGGTATACTTTAATAATGGATTATCTTATTGCTATAATTATTGGGGTATTTATCTAAAAAATATTAATTATTTAAATTTACTATTTGAAGCGAGAAGGTTTAATCATAGGGGAGGCTTAAAAAGGAGAATTTTATTGTTTTGTTTAAGAAAGTGTAATGTTTGGTATAGAATCGACACTATCTGTTTTTCCAGTAAATAGTGGTGAATTCATTTATAAGGAATTTTAAGAATCAATGTTTTTTTATTATTTGAGTTACTTCGTAGCTAAAACTCCAGGAGAAGATTAAGGAGAGTTAATTAATTAATTCTTCCTGAAGGCATCAAATTTAACCGATCTTTTATAGAGATAATAAATACTCTTCATTTAATGCATTCATTCTTGAACTTAAATCACTTTCATCTCCTTCTTCTATAAAATCATTTTAATTGTCTTCAATCATAATTTAATTCATTTCTTATAAAAATGGATGTATCAAACATTAATTAGCTGTTATTCTTTTTGAAGGATCTTTCTCAAGCATTTTTCTGAGAAGATCTATAGCAGTATTAGGAGCATTCTATAATTGCTTAATTGAAAAATCAATATTAGCTTCTCTATTTTATTTAACAACTGTTGCATAGCTTTTACCAGGAAAAGGGGGTTTGCCAGTTATTAATAAATAAAATACCAGACCAAGACTATATATATCACAAACAGAACTATAGTGACCTTTCATATCTTTCATATTAATGACTTCTGGAGCAACATAGCCTGGTGTACCACACCTGCAATATAAATAAACAGGTTCATTTACGTATGTAGCTAATCCAAAATCTGCCACTACAACTGAATCCATTTTTCTACATTTTAATAAATAAAATACTTTGATTATTTAAATAAAATATTTTCTAGTTTCAAATCCCTATGCATAATTTCCTTTTAATGCATATGACACAATCCTTATAATATTCCAACTAAAATTTATTGTATTTATTTTGTTGAGAGAATTGCTTTTTCCTTAATCAAATCATATAGAGAGCCTCCTTGTAGCATTTCTAATCCAACATATAATGAATTGTTGGTTTCATAGATTTCATACATTTTCATTAAATGAGGATGATTTAATTTTCTCATTATCGATAATTCATTCACAATAGCCTCCTTCCCGTTTTCTTCAGCATATGCAGCTTATTTTGAAAAGGCTTTGATTGCCATTTAAACACCATCTTCTATTCTTTCAGCCAAATAAACCTAAGAAATATCATTAAGTAATACAGATGCAAAATTTCCTTTTCCAATTTTTTTGAATACTCTAAATAGCTAATGAAATTGCCATTAATTTATTCTTGATTATAAAAATTCCCTCCATTAAACTATTACCTTTTCGTTCCCTTATAAATTGTAGGTAGGATATTCTGCTTAACCAAAATCTCTCATTAAATTCATTCCAATAATTTAACCAAGAGAATCATCTTCCTCATCTTTTTTTTATACAGAAGTTCTTATGATTTCAAATTTAGTCTCAAAATCAAGTTTCAAATATTTACAAGGCTAATCAGGTTTCTTTATAAATTGTAGAAATCATAATTACTTTAGCAAGAAGAAGATATTGATCGTATCCATATAAGATTATTGGTTTGTTTTTCTTTAGTTTTAAGAACTCAGATTTCAAGATGGGTTTCTCATTTTTCAATTTTATTTCTTTTGGAATTTGGATCCAAAGTTTTTAATTCATGATAATAATAATAAATTTTAACCAGTTTAATCATGCCCTTTAAAACAAGATCATTTAGATTAGTTGTTCTATTTCCAATCCTCCAACTTCGCCGTTACTAATAATTTTTATTGAATTTTCTCCATTTCCAATACTTCCTCCTCCTGCCTCTATTAACTAAATAATTTCATAATCTTTAAGATTTGATTTCAAATCTGGACTCAAATTAAACTATTTATTTAGAAAAATAGATTGCGATATTGAAGTCTCAATAGAATTTAAGATACTGAAATTATTTGTTTTCAAGACATATAGATAAGGATTCTAAACTTGCATCGAGGAGAGACAATCCTTTATCCATTAAGAATTGACTATAATTTTACCTTCATTAATTGCTAAAAGGAAATTGAAAGTTCTTTTAAAGGTTTCCATAACCAAAATGTTATATTTTTCAAAATCAACCTAAATTCCCATTTTTAATAATTTGAGTAGGTCATCATCGCAAACTGAAAAATTGGAAAATTTGATCCTATAATCTCCATTCATTTATTTTATCTAAAAATAATTTCAAGATGTGTACATAATTTTAAACTAATAAATAATGTCTAGGTTAGTTTTTTGATTTTACTATATTTCTAAATTGTTTTTCATTTTATTCTGTTTGAACTTTCTTTGTAATTATGGGTTCTAGAAATGTTGTATTTGGTTTGTTATGATTGATAAGATTAATTTTGATAATTTTTGGTTTTGCATACTCAAAGATGATATTTTATTCTTGCACTATGATTTATTTCTGACCAGTAGTTAAATCTAATTCATACTCTTTATCTATCCTTAATAATTGAGCATCTCCCTATCCATTAATTCTATGAATATTAATGATTGGTTATATCCATAAAATATTGGATTCATAATTTAATTTAAAACATTCAGGTAAAGCAATTTGAATGTTGGACTATTCAGTATTGCCAACAATAGAAATACCAGGTTTAACCTTATATTTTTTATCAAAAGCTTTCATAATGATTGGTTTCATATTATATAAATAATATTTTAACAGAATTAAAGACAATCAGATGTTAGGAGGTCTTTACGGTTTAAATTTTAAGTAGCATTCTTACCTTTTTTTATGTTTGATAATACCTACTATAATTACAGGAATTGGGCTATTTTATATAGATGAAGCTCTTACTACACTGTGTGTTTTGTAATTTTTGTATGTAGTGATACCAGTTATTTATATCAAATTTTTAAGCAAAGAGCAGGAATTAAGAGGTACTGAAAATGATAGAAAAAATAGTCTATTTCATAAATGAGTTAGAAGGTAGATAAGAACAGATAAAGAGAGGATTTTCATTATTTAGGAGTGCATTTGGTATGGTGTTATTATCGTTAATTTTCACATATTATTGGGAAGAAGAAATTATGGATTACTTGAGAATTCCTCTATTAGAACATCCTGTATATATTGCAGTATTTATGTTGATATTGACAATATGCAACCCATTTATGGAGGAATGGTATTGGTAATTAATAAATAATAAATCAGGCGATTGTTCTTAATGAAAACTTACAAAGAGAGCGAGAAGTATAGATTTTTAATAAATCTATTTTATGCATTGTTCCATTTCATAATATTAATGAAGATATTTAAATAAGATTGGGAATTTGCCATAGGGTTTTCCACATATTTTATGTCGATTGGGGGATCATTTGAACATATCAGAGAAAAGTATGGATTCATAACTTGTCTGATGGCTCATTATGGGATGACATTGGCTGCATCACTAGCTTTATTAGTTGTATATAAATCATAATTGTAATGATAAATAATTAATAATGGAATCGAAAGAAAAAATCCACTCTTGCTTGAACATCCTAAAAAGATTGCCACCAACTTAAATCTAAAAGAATGCAGCAGCATTAGTATCTTTAATTCCAGATTATGCAGAAGAATTATACTAAAAGATAGATAAACCTTTAGGTATAAAAGAAATGACATTTAGATATTGGACAAGATGAAAGAGGCAATCAATTTATTTAATCGGAGTTCAATAGAGATGGAGACTCATTTAGATCTCCTTAAAATAATCAATACTATCCGCCAATTGATGATGCAGTTTATCCTTCTGAACAATTACGTAAATTAGAACTTAAAGCCAACGCAGTATTTGATGAATATAGAAGATTGTACTTATATTCTGATATATCCAAAGATATTATGAAGGAGGATTATCATCATGTTATTTTTGGGATAAGGATGATGGTGGATTTGCTACTGCTTGGTTGATTAGGAAAAATGTAGAAAAAACTAAGGGAATCGAAGAAGGATCTTGGAGTTCTATTAATGTCATCGATGTTAAGACTGATGGCAAGTCTAAATGGACTTATAAGATAACTACTTCAGTTGTTTTAGAAATGAATATCTCATCAAACCAAGATGTTGGCAAATTTAATATTACAGGCACATTGACCAAATAGGTACTCTTTATGGGCATTTTATTTAGAAAGAAGAATCCTTTGAGGCACCTGCTGGAGGTAAAGATATAGAGTTGTTCCACATTATGAAAATTGGAACTTTAGTCGAAGATGTTGAAAGTTATCTCCGTTCATAATTGGATAGTGTTTATTTTGGAAAAACCAGAGATGTAATATCTTTGTTTATCTATTTTTATAGATAGTATTCTAAACACGTTTTAGCGAAGGAGAAAAACAATCTATCCAATAAAGATAGGGATTGGCAGGAGAATTTAAATAGAAATATGGATGATTAATTGAATTCAATAAAGAATTTTATTAAAAATAATATAAAACCATTCCTTTTAACCTCTTCAATATTTAATATCACTGGCTATCGTTACATGTATTACACAGCCTATTAAAACAAAAGAAAATTGCAAATTAAAATAAAAATGAAGTAGAATTTAAAGACAATACTAGATTTTGGATTAAGTTATGGATTCAATGCTAATCAGATAGTTCTAGATCGATTAGATTAGAATTTAGAGATTTAATATTTATGAAGTTTGAATGCTTGGAGTGCATTTAGTAAGCGATATAATCAAATTTTAATATTCTCAATTTACTAAGCCTTGCATTCCCATATTCCTCTAATCTACTGGGCATATTGATTAAAGGATATACATAAGCTAGAATAAGTGTTCATTGAAGATTTAGATGTTGATAATTTTCCTTTTTTTATTAATGGTATCTCATTATGACCTAAAATAAATGTCAGAACCAAAAGTAACAAAGATTTAAATGACAATTGAAATGAAATTTTATATATAAATAATCAATACAATTCAGCGATAAAGCTCAAGTCTCCTTAAATACTGTCTCTTTGTGAATCAACTGAATTTCTGGATTAGGCCTCTTGAGTATTTTAGCTAAGATTTAAATTTTATTATTGATTCAATGCCAATTCAACTGATAAGGTGTTTGATTTGTTTGTGAAACAATAACGAGTGAAAGATTCCCTTACTTAAGGTGTGAAACCATAACCAATATAGTTAAAAAAGCCCATCAATCCAGATAGTGCCTTTGATAGGTAGAGCAGCCAAATCTATTATTATTAGGAAATTTCCTCATAAGTTCTATTAAATGCTGTAAATATCCAACAAATAATTAATATTAATGGATAGGATATCATCTTATATATAAATTTTGTTTATTATTCAGATATTCCATATAATTTACAAATTATTATAATGTAAATAATTGAGTTGTACAAGATGATCACAATCAATGGAATATAGAAATTAATATATCTTATTATGGTACTTCTATAAGAATTATCAATCTAATATTGCTATAATTTAATTACATTATCCTCTTTGATCCAACAACTAATTCCCGCAAGACCATAATCATGAGTAAAAAATGGATAGATTGAAATAGAGAATGGGATGCAGAATCCAAAAAATAAATATCCATATAGACTTAAAGCTTCCTCTTTTTGATTGTTAACGCATGATTAATATAGGATAAATGCTATAATAGCAGTCCATCTTTTAATAAATAATGGGTACATTATCGATGATAATTAGGATGCATTGATAAAATAGGATTAAAGTAAACATAATGTATTATTACTATCTTCGAAATCATCTGTTACAAATAACATGTTAGATAAAGCTAAAATGAGATCAGATATATTTAGAAAAAGCACAATTCGAAATGCAAATGTTTATAGTTCTTTAAATCTATTAATTTAACAATCTGTACTTAAAATAAGTCAGTATCATTAAAGTTGCTCCTAAAGCGCTTAGAGTGTTGGTAACCAAGATGATTTATATGACGACTCTTTCATTGTGTTTGATAGTATCGTCAACCTCTGCCATTGAAATAATATTAATAATAAATAGATAAAAAGGGGTTAGAGAATATATATAATACGTTTTTTAAAATCTCTAAAATAACTAACTAATCAAGGATCTAAGTAGCATTTTGTATTTTTGCATTCTTTATTTACTCCAGCGCATAGTTTCTAACACCTCTCTTGAGTGAGTAACGATTATCGCAATTATGTTTATGCACATGAGTAAATGCATCCATTTACTTGTTTATCACATTTTGCCTAACACTCAGTCACCTTAGTTACAACACCTTTTATATTCAAATTTTATACCAAAAGCTCCTTGTGCAAGTAACACTAAAAATATGAAAATTAACTTTATATTCATTTTATTTATTATTTATTTAAGTCCTAAAATGACCTCAAATATTAACACATTATTTGATAAACCTAAACTTACTTTAACTGCTTTAGATTCAATAGAACAATATGATTTTGATATTATAGCAGATAAAGTTTCAGAATAACTTAAATATGTGTCTTAAAGATTAATTGAGGGTAAATAAGAAACAGATCTTCCTTACGATAAAGAAAATATTATTTTACCTAGATAGCAGACATATATTTAGAAAGTTAAGGATAGTAAATTTGCTAAAAAGAAAAAAAAGTATATTGTCCATAATTTAAAATTATTAGTCGAATGGTTTGGGATGAAAATAAAAAGGATTGGGCTTTGAGAAAATTAAAAAAGAGAGATTCTATAATTCCCCCTATTATTGAAGCTACCAAGTCTGATGCTTATGAAGTATAAAACTATATTAAATATTAGGATGTCTTTAGGAAAAAAGAAATCGAACATGAACTTAAGAAATCAAAGAAACAATTAAGATAAGTGTAAAAAGATAAACAAAAATAGAAGAAACTTTAGACCATTAAGAAATAACTCTGATTGTTTATAATATATCGAAACCCTCAAATTAATCATTTAAGAATTATATTTTAAGAGAAAAACTACTAGATCTGTATATAATTTTAAATAATTATATGAAAATATAATTCCATATTTTTGCTGTTTAATTAAATTCACAAAATAACTATGATTCATAGTAATTATTGTTTAAATAAAAAGAATATAGTTTTTAATGAGACTTCATGAATTCTTGCTTTATATAATTATTTTTTATTTATAAGGTGTAATGAGAAGTTGTTTAAGATTAATTATAATTATAATTTCTTAATGCTTAGCGTTATAGGAACCTTTTTTTGTTTGCTCTGTGGATCACGCAAAGAACGAAAACTGTTGATGCTAACAATTCAAGACTAAAATAATAGAACGTATTATATTAAAGCTAAGCCCAATATGAAAATTGAAGAAGTAAAATCCAAATGTGGTATTGAATCAGAGAGATCTTCACTATTTCTCGAAAAAAAATTGCTTGATAATGATGCAGAGTTAAATTAGTATGAAATAAATACAGATACTTATTTAACTTTATTATTACATGAAGAAATCGAGACATGAAATCAGTTATTTTCATTTTTTTATAAACATTTATTAATATTTTATTATGAGTAAAAATAATAACAATAATGCTCTGAGATCACAAACTCCATTTATGAGTGAAAATCATCCACTAAATCCTTATGGTAATAACTTTATTGACCACCCCTATGAATCAAAAATATTTTATAAATTTAATTCTGTCAAACAATATGTTCATTTGGAAGAGGAGGATTAATTTAGAATTTCTAAATATTCAGCCTATTTTGCTTTTGGTCTAGGAGGGACATTATTAGGGACTATTGGAGTTTTTTAATTACTTTTAAAATATGTTTTTAAACCTTCATATACTAATACTTTTGAACATCTCAATTAATATAAGCATTTATATCTAGGATTATTTGTTGCTTCAAGTGTTACATTTATGTATACTTATTTAACAACTTTGTACATTAATAATGTATCAAGACCCTTACTCTATAAATATTTAGATGAAGCAAAAAAAAATGGGTTCTAAGATTATGAAATTAGTTTCAAATAATAATGATAGAGTTCTATTTATGTGTTTATTAGACAAATTCATAAAATATAATATATTAGCTCCTTGTACATGATATTTAGAAAATTAATTATTTTACTGCTATTTTCAAAAAGTGCAGTATTTCTATATTCTGAATTTTATACTGGTATTAGGAGCTATTTTCCAAACTAGTTTATATATTATATTAAAATTTTATAAATGAAAATATATTTCAATTAAATACTTAATAATAAATGGGCATATGTAAATCTAAACCCTCAAAAAACTCTTAACCTTAATTTTAATCCTCTCCTACAGTCTGCATAACTCCAATCATAAATCAAAAAAATAAAAATAAAAAGCAAAACCAAAAACCAAAAAAAATTACATTTTATGAAGAAGTAATTATACAAAAAGAAGAGCTATCAAATCAAAAAAGCTATTCTCCTCCACCAAAGCTTTGTTTTTGTAGTAGCAATTAAAGTTCTAATAAAGATTTTTTATTGGGATTGATGAGGATACCAAAAGAAAGATAGAATTAAGTAGCCTAAGCAATATAAAGCAAGCAAACGCTGTTTGGGAAAACACTAAGATTTTCAAATTCAACGAAAAAAGGACAAAGAGATGGATTTAAGGATTCACCATTAAGATAATGAAATTAATGTAATAAACATTGTTATTCTAATTGTATCGATCAAAATTATGGTATTCTATTACAATATTTTTCGAATATAATTAAAATATTTCCTCCATACTGAAAAAAATAAAATTTAAGTTGTTGATTTTTAAAAAGAAAAGACATTAAATTTTTTAAATTTATAGAAGCTATAACAAAAAGTAAACATCCTTTATAATTTGTAACTTAAAAAGATAATATTTTTCTATTGATAATGTATGTTTTTAAATGTTTTAATTATATACTATATTAAGATTATTTGATCAAGAAAGACTTGTCAGCTGTTCGACAATAATAGTTTTTTGTAACTTACTTGGTTGAGCCTCTTAAAGACTATATTACATTCCTTCGTTATCTGATCCTCTTAATCTTATTTAATTTGATATTAATTTTTAATAGTTGGATTAAGTTGATGCTTCTTCATTTTATTTCTATTTTGTATTTTATGACTAAATTAATAGATAAAAACTTTTACATGTGCCTTTTTTCTCTTAGTCTTATTCTTCTTCTCTTTAATATTATTTTCTACAATTACTTTATTCAAAGAATCATGTAAGTTTTGCATAGCATGTTGTTTTTCGATTCTTGAACATATTCTTTCGCTCATTTGCTGCCAATTAGTGGTAAAAGTTAAAATTAAATATAAAATAGCCAAAAGTGCATTAACAAGGCTAAAAGATAGCCAGATTCCATAAACTTTTAATCCTAAACCAAAACCACAAGCAAAATATAAAAATAATGGTATTCCTATTAAATAATACACCAAAAGTGTAGAGTAAGTTACAAAATCTTTTCGATCAATTCCTTTAAGAATTCCAGTTAATGTCCCTTGTAGACCATCAATAACAAAAAAACCAAAAACAAAAATAGGATATACTTCTAACATTATGTCATTTATTTCTTATCTTCCTGCTGAATAAAAATTACACCAAATTTCTTTTATGAAAGTTAACCCAACCATAAAAATAGTGGTGAATCCGACAAATAAGACAACACCAACCAATGAATATCTTTTGGCTCTTTATAAATTTCTAGCACCCATTTCATTTCCAACAAAAGTCATAAGAGCGAGTGATAATGACATAGGAAATCTATAATAAAATGTTGAAGTATTTGATAAAGCCATTTAGGCATTTAATTCATCAGATCCAAATCCAACAGCAATAAAGGTAAGTAAAAAAAAAACAAAAAAATCAGCATATATATGTGCAATTATTGGAAATGACTCTTTTAAAAAGCTTTTAAAAATATTCTTTTATCTCTTAAATGAAAATTTAAATCTGTAATTTGAAAATACTTATCTTCGATATCTGGTACAAATGATTAAAAAAATACAAAGAATAAAATTAAGAACTTCAGTGCATATGATGGCTAAACCTGCTCCTGGTATTCCTCCACCAATATCCAGATAATTAATGAATAACTCACACCAGAATAGATGAATAATGGCTGTAAATAATTAAATATACATGAAGACAGCGAAGATCTAATATTCAAAAAGAAATGCTATACTTTATTTGAAATCATGAAACTTTTGATGCATTCATATAGAATGGCAAAGAGAGTTGAAGGGAGTAAATAGTATAGATAAATTTATGAGGCGTCTGATGTAGCTTCCCTATCTTTTTCATTTATTGTCAAAGCAATGATAGGTTTAATCAGGATCAGAATTGCTATTAATTTCTTAAGAAAGTACCTGAGAAGGGGATAAAGTATAACAAATGTATGAGAATAGTTAATGTAAAATATGTTTATGCTAGTTTTGGTTTGTTTGCTCCTAAGGCTTGAGCAGAATGAACATTAAGAGATTGATTGGTTCCTATGAGAATTAGATGAAGGATTACCAAAAGCCATAGGAATCAATAACACGTTTACAATAGTATAGGCAAATCCTAATCCTGAGACAGAACATGGCTCATTATGTTATGCTATATAATGTAAACTAATCCCAAAAACCACATCTAGACATACATATCCAATAACAGTGTAAAAGGTTGAGAACAATAAGTCTGTAAAGACATTAGTGGGATTGCGGGTAGGAGCTTGATTTGGATTATCTTTGCTGATGATTGAAGATCCGTGAGGTTGGCTCATTTTTAATTAAAATGTAAAGACCTTAAAAATAAATAAATAATTTAAAACTTTAATGATAGAAATCATGTTATCACCAAAAATTTTGTAGTCATCGAATAAATCCTCTCCCAAAAAAATCATAAATGATTTTGAATATCATTTAAAAGATTGCCTAGGTTAAGGGGAGTACAGTTCTGTATTTAAAGGCCTAGACAGAAGATCTGGATAAGAGGTAGCAATAAAGGTAACTAAGCTTATCATTATACAAATTAGGTTATTGAGAATTCGAGATTGAATTCTAATTTCTCAAGACAAATGTTGAGCAATGAAATCGAATCATTAAAAAAGCTCAATTCTCCTTACATCTTGTAATATCTCAACTACATTTACACTCCTAATAATCAGTATATCATAACTGAATACTGCAATGAGGGAGAATTGCGATTTGTCAAGAATCGATCAGATTAACAATTGTTAAGGATTTTCCATTAATTACTGTAGGCATTAAAAGAACTAAAAAGCAAGAGTAACTATTATTTAAAATCAATAGATATCATTCATAGAGACATCAAACCTCCAAATATTATGATGCATAATTCTGTATCTAAACTTGCTGATTTTGGTTTTAGTGTTAATATGAATTCTTTGGAGTTATAAAAATCATCATTTGGTACACCCCTTTACATGGCACCCGAATCATTACTTAATGATATGTACAGCTTTTAGTCTGATGTCTGGTCTGTTGGAATTACTATGTATGAACTCATTTATGGAAATATTCCCTTCTATCATGAAAAAGAATCAGAATTAAAAAAGATTATACAAAATTATGTCAATAATCCTATCTTAAGAATTCCATAATCAATATTCATTCCTTTACTTTAAGGCATGCTTGATCCAAATCCTAAAACTAGATTTACTGTCGAAAAATTATTATCGATGATTTCAACCGATTAAAATACTTAAAATATTTCCTACTCATAATTCAACTTTTTAAGCACTCTAGCCTAAAATTTATAAAATTTTGAGATAAAGGTTGATGATGTGTGTATTCGTTGGGCAATTTTGAGGATTCTTTCAACCAAATTCAAAATGAACGCTAATACTCAATCTTAAATTAATTAATCGATTAACTCTATTCAAAATTCAACTAATTTCAATATGATTAGAGAATAAAAAATGATAGATCTAAAAAATTCAAAGTCAGATACATGTAATATTTTGAATGTATAATTTAGAATTTGTTCATACTCTTCGATAAATTTTGTAACAAAAAGTTCATTGTTAGCAATATAAACCAATTGTATAGGATTTACTCCAATGCGATGCAATTTTATTTCACTTATTTTAATGAGACTGATTATTTTATTTTATTCATGTTTTCATTATATTAAAAAATACAATACTGTAATAATCAACTATTTAAAATAACTGAATTGATTTTTTGTATTTCATATTTTAATAAAATTGTATAATTAGTAGCGAATTTTAGAGAGTTAACATTATAACTATCAGAAGAACATCTTATATAATTAAAAATATATCAATTTTTGAGGGTTAATTTAAGTTTAAGATAGCCAGTTAGTTAATAATCTAAAATAGGCACTTTTAAATTCAAAATATCTTCTGGAATAAGTTCACAATCAAATTTCTGTAAATTATTTAGTGGTGATGGTTAAGATTCATCTTCTTCTTATATAATTTGGGGGGATAAAAGTGAAATTTTAGGATTTGAAACAATAGAAATTAAGCTGGAAGAACCTTGAGGTTGCGATGTTTCTTAGAGCCTAGATGGATTTAAAATATTTAAATCTGATTTAGATTTAATAGTTTTGGTTGATTCTGCAATAATGCTCTCAGTCTTGTTAATAGGTTTGGTTTTGGAAGTTTGTTTTGAGTTTGATTTCTTAACTTAATTAGATTCAAGAGAAAGCAAATTACTGTGTTATTAAATACTAACTTTAGATTTGGATGTGATATTAGATCTATTTGTCTTGTCATCACTCATTTAGGTTTTACAAATTTATTCATTCTTTTAGGAAGTATTGGATTTAGATGTAGCAGTAACTTGAGACTTAGTTTTATTTTCTTGAGGGATTTTGGCTTCTATAATACCACATTTATATTGTTCTAATGAAGAGAGGATAGATGGTTAGTGTCTATGAATGGAAGCATTAAATAGAATCTGAATTAAAAATGAATGGGTATACGTTTTCTAAATCCTTACCCTTAAAGGTTTAGAGAGAGAACCTTCCTCCAGGGTGATCATCTACAAAATGTGTTAGATCATAGACATTGTTACGATATGCAAACAGAAATCTTATTCAAAACTGGATACTACCTATCAGATTTGGAACTTTCTTATTGCATCTAGGCTATTGAAGAGTACTTTTTTAACATAAAATATAAAATTAATAATAATCTCTTTGATTTAGCTTTTTTTTGTGATATTTTGATAAATTTATTTAGCATTTTTTTGTGTTTTGTAATAATTAATATTTAATAATGAATGACTTATATGGAAGAAGTGCAAGCATCATGGAATCTTAATAAAAATTAGAATTGTTTTTAAGTTGTCGTGGATTAGCTAATATGGATACATTTTCAAAAAGTGATCCCTTTGTAATAATGTATGTGAAAAGAAACAACTAATGGTCTGAAATTGGAAGAACAGAAATCATTCAAGATAATTTAAATCCAAACTTTGCAAAAACATTTATCATTGAATATTACTTTGAATGCTAATAGCCATTAAAGTTTGTATGTAATGATGATGATGGAAATGGAAAATTCGATGTATATTCATTATTTAAGAATTTTAGTTTATTGGAAGTGCTGAAACTACTTTAGCCAATATAGCTGGAGCAAGGGATTAGTTAGTTATGCTAAATTTAACCAATGGATAAAAGAAAAATGGAGTTTTGGTTATAAGAGCAGATTAGGTGAGAATGATAAATGATAAAATAATCATGTAATTAAGTAAATTCTTATCATATTAACAATAGGTGCAAATAATATTCCTAATACAAGGTTTTTACCTTGGCATTCAACATCCCCCTTTTTCAGACTTTATAGAACTAGAAAGGACACTAATTAATAACTTTTAGTCTATGAAAGTGAACCTATTAAAAGCAATTTAAAACCTTAATGGAAGAGAGTGGATATTCAATCTTAAAAATTATGCAATGGGGATTATCATATGCCAATAAGAGTTGAAATTTGGGATTATAGAACTTCAGGTAATCATGAACATATTTGTTCAACTGAATTTTCAGTAAATGAACTAAATGGGTAATAATAAGCTAAGAAAATACTATAAGATAAAAATAAAAAATAATCTGGGTTTCTAATTTTCAATGAAGTAATTTATATTAATAATAAATTATATTATAGTTCAAATTAATTGAAAAACCAAGTTTCATGGATTATTTGTAGAGTGGAACATAAATAAATTTAGTAGCTGCAATTGATTTCACAGCCTCAAATTAATCACCAAAGAATCCAAGTTCTCTACATTATATTGATGACTCATATCATAGACTAAATTAATATCAATAAGCATTATTGGCTGTAGGAGAAATATTATTGAATTATGATCATGATAAAAAGGTTCCAATATTTGGTTTTGGATGTAAACCAAGATTGCATAATTTGAATAGTACTTAAACACTACATTGTTTCCCATTAAATGGTAATCCTTAAGATCCAGAAGTATATCAGATGGATGGAATTATGCAAGCGTATAATTATGCAGTTAGGAATGTGTAATTCGATGGTCCAACCTATTTTAATCCAATTATTTAAGAATCAATGAAAATTGCCTAAGCATGTAAAGATATGGCTAGCAGTACATATTTTGTATTATTTATATTAACTGATGGAGAAATTCATGATATGAAAGTATTAATATCTTATATATTATAGTAAACTATTGATTCTATTGTAGCATCATCACATTTACCATTATCAATTATTATTGTTGGAGTTGGAGATGCAGATTTCACTAATATGTCTATATTGGATGATGATGACGGTAATCTCCATGATTCTTTTGGTAGAAGAACTCAAAGAGATTTAGTCTAATTTGTTCCTTTTAATCAATTTAAAAGTAATCCAGAATTATTGGCTAAAAATGTTTTACAAGAATTACCAGATTAATTAGTTGATTACATGCTTTTGATTGGTAAAAAGCCTGGACCCAAAAATTGTATTAAATTAATAATAATTATTATTTAGTCATTAACTTAGGATAATTTGATATTAATTAATATTCATAATAGTATGGAATTCAATAGTAATAATAGATCATGTAACCTACTTAGCCATTATAATAATAATCAGTACCTTAGATACCTTAATAGTCATTTTAAAACATACCTCCCCCATCATAATATTAATAACCTCCCCCATTTGTTTAATAATAATAAGGATACCCTCCACAACCTTAATAATTTAATTAATTTCCTGCTTAATAACCACCAGTTTATCCGTCATAATAGCCATAAGTCTATCCCCAACAATAATAAATTTATTAACCTCCTAATTATTAGTAATAACAATAAGTTTATCCTCCTTAATAAACTGCTTTCTAAAACAAATTTGTTTAAGGCCTTGCAAATACTAATTTTTTAGGATAACATATTAATGATGCTTAATAATAGTAAATGAATCAATAATTACCTTAATTCTAATATCCACCTTAAGAGGATAATAATCAGATTGGTATGCAACCCTAACCAAACTTATATTAATAACCGAAACAGCCTCCTCCTTATGTACCTGACAATCCTTATGGATTATGATAAATTTATTATATATTAAACATTATTAATGATTTCGTTTGATCGAATTCTTGAAACCAAAATTGGCACAGGATTTTACCAATTTAAAACACTCTTTATAATTGGTTTGGTCGAATTTTGCGATGGCATTGAATTTACTTTTATGTCTATTTTGATTGCTATTCTCTAAAAAGAATGGGATTTGAATTAAGCAGAAGTTGCATCTTTAGGATCCTCTTTTCTTTTTGGAGTTGTTTTAGGAAATTTATTATGTGCATTCTCTGCAGATATATTAGGCAGAAAAGTTACATTTACAATATTCACAGGTTTGAGTTCGTTTTTAGTTTTTTATACAAGTTTTAGTCATTCATATGGAGAAATGATAGTGCTGAGACTTTGTTTTGGTTTAGTTTTTGGAACGACATGTCCTTTAGGATATATTTTTATATCGGAAGTCACAGAAGCAAAATATAGAGGCAGATTTTCATTTGGATTATCCTTACTTTATATTTTTGGAAAAATTTATTTTGTTTTCCTCTGTTTCTTCTTTTTAGATAGCTATACATCAGGCAATTGGAGAGGTTTAATTAGATTTAATGGAATACCTATTACTGCAGCTTTTATATTGTCATTATTTTTCATTAAGGAAACTATAAGATACCATTTAAATAAAGAGGAATATTAAAAGGCCTTTTAAGAGATTCAAATCATTATTTTAGAGAATAGTAATGGAAATGCTTTATTATCAGATGAAGATGTAAGATATATGTTTTATTAATCTAGAAAAAAGGTTTATAAGAATGGTCTCAAAAATAAATAAAAGAATAAAAAGAATAAGAATTACACTTATATGGAGTCTTATCAAAGGAATATAGAAAAGAAACTTTACTATTTTGGTTAGTGTGCATTCTTACAAATCTATAAAACATGAGTATTTATTTATTGATGCCATTTCTATTTGCAGAAAATAAATCCGGATTCACACCAATGTTAAATATGTTTATAATTGAATTTTTGTTTGCATTAATCCTCTATTAAATAATTGATAATCCTCATTATGGAGGCAGAATTAAAATTATGGTTTTTTCAGCTGCTGCTCTTTTTGTTGCAAATGGCCTATTATATGTTTTCAGGAATTCATTTTTATTTGTAGGTTTATTCATAATTAAAATCTCTACAAGAGGGCTTTTTTTAACCATAGGATTACTCACTTGTGAAACCTATCCTCTGTATTTAAGATCTTAAGGATGTGGTTTAGTTTAGGCAATAGGTAAAATTGGTGCTATTCCATCACCTTATTTTTTGTTCCCCTTATTTTTTATAGATCCATACTTACCTTTTGGATTGATGTGTATCTTATCTATTGTTATCTTAACTGTAACTTGTTTTTTCAACTAAGATAAAACTCTAAGGCACTTAGAAACCTTAAAAGAAGAATGAATTTTTTATGTTTTTATAATTATAATTTCTTTTGAATTTTCTAAATTATTTATGGTTGAAGATAAAAAATTTGTATAATATGCATGATTTAATAATAAATATGTAAGATTTCTCAAATTTCTGAACTAGGTCATTTTCACAAACAAATTTAATTAATTCATTCTTGTATTTTGTATATTGTTTTAGCATTTCTTTTGTCAAAACGATTGCTGAGTCTGAGTGTTTAGCTAATCTATTTTTATAATTTCTTAAGATTGACTTCATCTAAATAGCCATTTTCAGTATAAGCAGCAACTATTTATTATAGAGTTCCTCTTTATTCTGGTAGATTTTATAAAATCCATACTAGTTTATTTCTCATTTTATTGTCATCCTCTCCTTTATCTTAATAATGTTCATTTAAACCAAAATTGCCCTTTATTTTCTTGATAAATTAGCTCCGATTATTAGAGAGGGTTATTGAAATTGATCTTAAACAAGCTGAATCTTCGGATAATTATCCATTAAAGAAATTTTGATTAATTGATTCAATAATCTTTTATTTTGTACCACATCTTCCATCCAATGATTATAATGTTATTTTAATCATATCCTCTATTGTATAATCGTATTTAGTGCTGATCCTTTACATTTTTAATTATTCTTTTGATGGATCATCTTTCATACTCTAACTTCTGACATCACTCATTTAATCCAATCCATTCTTCTTCAGTTTTTGTATTTTTGATTAAACTGAATACCAAGTTCTTCCCAACTATTTAGATAAATCTTATATTTATTAATTCGTAATTGAACTATTTTAATAAGTATTTATAAAATTATGTAAGGTTTCCATTTCTTTATTTGACCAAGTCTTTCTTCCTTTCTTTTCTATTGCTTCATTTACAATGCTTAAAGCACTTTATTAGGATTTTTATGAATTCCCATTATTACATTATTATTGCAATTAAATCTACTATATTTTTTATTATTAATACTATTCATTATTATTATCAATCTATTGTTATTATTATTATTATTGTTATTATTGTTATTAGAATTAAGTTTTCTATAATTTAAGATCTGAAAAAAATGGTTATTAATTTTCATTTTGAATTTATTAGGTTAAACCTTCTTATTTTAATAACTCAAAACACCAAGAGCTATCTGCTTTATGGATTAGATTAAATATCTCATGAATGAAATCTATTCCCAAAGAACAAACAAATGCCATAAATTATTTAACATCCAATCTAAAATTTAGTAAATTTGTACCTTTTTTATTATCTATACATTCTTAACTTATTCATTGTTCTTATATATTGTGAATAGAAAGATTTGAACACTTGGGGTTGAGAAAGAGATTGCTCTAAAAACGTAAAATTATCAATATTTTTTAAGGCATCCTAAATTTAAATAAACAAAATTGTTTACATTATATTTTTATTATTCTAAGAATACATTTTATCTTTCAATAGTCTAAGAAATTAACGTGTCAATTTCTTCCATAAATGATGGTAAACTTTGAGACATTTTGCGTTGAGGTCTCATTTTAGGTTCATGTTGGACTTCTTATTACTTTTGAACAAATTAATTGACTTCAGGCTCAGCATTAAAAAATTTATGTAACTGGAGATTTTCAATTTCTGGCTGTTCAATTTATATGTGTTGAGGAAAATTTTCATTTTCATCCTCATCTTAGTCAAATTATCCTAAAGTGACAAAGCAATCAATTTTCTAAAATATGTGCTAAGGACTTTATAAGGCATAAAACTCATCCTCTAATTCAATACCTTACATATTATCCATTTAAATTATTATTAAATTCTTTTTAATACTTTTTTCTATTACAGCTTTAAAAATAACTTAAAATATGTTTGACAAACAAAAAAGAAATAAAAAATAAAGAAAAAAGTATACCAATAAATTAAAAAATATATCTCTTTTCAAATCTATTACCATCATTAAATCTGTTTAAATTTAAATGAATATTTATAGTGCAATTTAAACTATTTGAACATAATTTGATTAACTTTATAAACTTATAAATTAATAAATATATATATTAAAAAATTGATTAAAGCTTGGTTTTTCTTTCAGACAATTCTTAAAGAACACAAAAAATATTCTTATTTATTAATTTATAAATTGTATAGTATAATAAATTAAAAAAAAATCAATTTAAGAATGAACAAACTTTTCTAAAGTTTAAAGAAAGTTGACTTCTTTAGTGTGACTTATTCACCAGCCATTTCAGATGGATTTAATTACAATCATTCTAGTATATTAGGTGGATTGATTTCAATGTTAATAGCTATTTTGAGTTTAATGTATAGTATCTATTACATTTACTTATGGTGGACTTATTAACTGTTACCCAAAGTGACTTCGGATATAAATAAATTTAGAGAGAGTGATGATTTTGGTTAGCTTAGAAATTCTATACATGTTAAGTCAGCTTATTAGGAAGGATGGTCTCCAATTGACCCTTTTAAAACAGATGAAATTATTATATAACCTTTGATGATAGATTTAGATGATTAAGAATTAAATTGGAAGCCTTTGCTCTTAACAAAATAAATTAGCGAGGTTTTATCTATCAATTTAGATATAAATCACAATAAATAATATATAATTTTATTTACACTTTGCAAAGAGGATTATCTGCTTGATTAATAGAAATGTGCTTCTGAAGAAACTAAAAATCTGTATTTTTAATAAAATGGAAATTCTCTATATATTGAAATATCTTTTACAACAATAAATCCTTCAACATTTGAGCCTTAAGTATTTGAAAGGACATATCCAATTAATATTCATTCCTAAGCAGAAATGTGTTCATCCATTATCTTACATTATTAGATGAATCAATATTTAATTGATAAAGCATTTCTATTTTCAACTGGATAAGAAGAATTTAATTATATTTCTAATTCCTTAAGTTATCCACAATATTCACTCAAAGATTATTGTGATAGGCAATTCTTACCAAATACTTTTGGCGCTTTCTTTGTTCTATTCTAATAGTAATATTATACTGTTTAAATTGCCTATCCACCTATTAGTGAAGTATTTGCTGCCATAGGTTCAATAATAAGTATACTTTTCTCTGTAAAATTTTTAATTACTTTATTAAACCTACATTAATTAAGGCAAGATATTTTAGATGAAGTGATGAGACAATATTATCCTGAAATAAAACAATTTAAAATCATTAAGAATTTATTTGGAAAAATCACTTAAGTAAGGTTTAAAGGACTTCCTGTTGAAATTTCCAGTTATGTTGGATTTTAGAGATAGATACATCATCAGATGGCTTGTAAGTTGAATTACAAGAATCTGTTGTACGAAATATCAAGGTTCTAATTTATTTTAATGTCAATAAAGAGAAGAACTGAAATAGAAAAAGTTCATACAATTGGAATAAAAGTACCTATTGAATTATCAGTATCCAAAGATTCATATGTAATTACAAAAGGTCAAATAAATTAGCTTAAAACTTTAAATTTAAGAAATATTTAATAAGCTGATTCAAAATATGATATTCTGACTATAAATGATGCTTTAATATTGAGTTATGATTATAAAAACTTTGAATTAACCTCCACACTTTTTTCACACCCCTCAAAAACATCTCATGAAAATAATTAGAATGAACAAGATTTCTATGAAATTAATCGAATCGAAGTTTATGCTGATAATAATGAAGAATTTTGATGATTATATATCTAAATTTACAAAAAAAATAAGAATTAAAATGAGGTTATATAACAATAAATTTTTAATTCATTACATTTTAGATTTCATAAAATCTTCTAGGACATCTAGGTGCTCAGAATAGAATTACTTTATCATTCTTATTATGTTCAAATTATTCATGTCTTACAACCGTTTTGATGAATAAGATGTCTTAGGTTTTAATTATAAAACTTTACATAAAAATTATCTATGTTCTCTTATAACTCATTAAATTCGGTTTATTAATGTTTTAACATAACTTATAAATCGTCTTTTTATTTTTAAAGCTAGTTTAATTTTTCTTTAGTAATTTTTGCAATAGGTTCTATAGAAGCAATCTATTTTATATAATAAACGTAATAACATCTAATTTCCACTATTCATTATCTTAAGTAAGACTTGATTTGACATTTTCAATTAAATCTTTTTTGGATTTTAATGCTTATTGTTGTGATTTTTGAATCTCATTAACTAAGTCTTTGCTTTTTGATACAGCATCATTAATATTTCCATTAGCCTAATTTTATTAAATTTAACCTTGTAAATTTAATGATAATTACTAATCAGCAAATTAAAAGAAGAATCTTCATTATTAGTAGATATAAATTCTTTAAGAATAGCTTCAGGATTCTCCTTCAAATGTTACTTCTATCCATTCAATTTTTAAGGACTAGAAGGAATAAATTCATTAAAACTATCAATAAACAATGCAAGTTCACTGTTTTCTAAATCAAAAACACTTAACTTAATGTTTATGAAATACTTTATACTTCATCTTTTAGTAATTATTCTAATTGTGGAATTACTTATCCTAATTCAAGAAGCAGATCTACTCTTTACATTCTGATATCCTCTGATAATTTAGCTTCATTTGATAATAATAGTAATTCATCTGCTTACAATGCTGAAGTAAACTTAGTCAACATCATTTAGTATTTAAATTCTTATTTTTTTTATGAACCTATATAAAAAGAATCAATTACTTAATAATTATTCTTATTGATAGTTATTCATATCATCAATTATTTCAGAAACTAATTTATCTTCCTCTTCATTTATATAGACAAGAATTTCATAAGGTGCTTATTATAATTTTAAGTATTACATTTTTTTTCATTCAAGTACTATTTCATTTATTTTAGAATTGACATGCTATAATCATTATTTTTAACAGTCTCTAATAAAGCTCCTAATTCTTTAGAAAACCCTAATCCTAAATAAATTATTAGAATTAAAATCATAAAATTAATTATTGTATTCTATGATAATGATTCGTTTAGTTTAATTAATATAATCATAAACCAAATAACGTAAATAAATTGAAGACCTAACCAAATAGATAGATGTGATTAGAATATGTAACTTTATTTATATTGTATGGTTATGAAAATTAAGAAAGACTTTTGATGAATAAATAATATCAAATGAAAAAATAATAAATATTTATATATAAATAAATTTAATAAATTAAATGGAGGAAAATGATATTATAAGTCAACCAAAAACAAAAGGATATATACCAACAGCAGGGAAATCAAGGGATGAAATGAGAATATTTTTATTTGAATTTTTTGGAATGGCTTTATTTGCCTATGGGTAAATACAATTAAATAAGATTTAGAATTATATGTTCATAAGGTTCAGATGAATTTTTAGCTTTGTTTTTCTTTGCATCAGTATGTTTGGCTGCTCCATTTTCAGGAGCACATGTAAATCCTGCTGTTACATTAGCTATGCTTTTGTCAAGAAGAGTACGCTTTGCTTAAGCAGTTATATATTGGTTGGCTTAATTCTCTGGAGCATTATGTGGAGCATGTTGCTGTTATTTAATTTTGAATGAAGTAGATAGCCCATAAGTAAAGAGTACTGAATACTCTTGGATTTTATCAGATGTAAGTGGAGAAGCCTTTGGAACATTTACATTCATTTTATTCATACTTATACAAACAGATAAAGAAACTACTTTAACTCCAGAAGGCCAACCAATGACAACTTATGTTTTAGTTGCTTTAGCTTTGTATTTTTCGAGAGAATTTACATTCCATTCAGGAGGTATATAATTTTATTTATTTGTAAGGATGTTTAAATCCAGGTATGGCAGTATCCTTACAATTATTCTAATCTTTTTAGACAGGTGATAGGTAGAGAATGGACTTTTTATGGGTTTATGTTGGAGGCCCATTAGGAGGAGGTTTTGGAGCGAGCGTATTTTTTGAACTTTTTTATAAGAAATAGATAAAAAGACTCTGATATTATATAAATAATTTAATGAATAATAATTTAGTGAAATTTATATGCCCAATTACCAAAGAAGTTTTGGTTAGATAAGGACAATTCTTGGTTTCAAGCATTGGTATAAAATATCCAATTAAGAATGGAATCCCTTGTTTTACAAAAAAGGATGTTACTAAAGATTGAGTTATACATTAATATATAGATTATTATTATTTAATGTTTATAATTTCTATCCATTGATATTTAAATATATTTTTAATCATCTAAACACAATAGACTGTCTCATGTTCTATATTTTATCTTTTTAAATGATTTTAACATTTTTAAATTCTTAATAATTATTGCTATTATATTTTCTATAATAATTCTTGTAATTAGCAGGAGCATCAAATTATTCCACTCCAGTCTTAATAGTTGGTTGTATTATCTTTTAGTATTCAGCCATCACATTCTCTCTTTTTTGAGATTCATTAGTATTTTCAGCAACTTTTGAACCTATAAAAGATGATTGCTGCATAGAAGATTAAGTTAAAGTTTAAATTGCAAAACTCTTCAGCTTTTAACTTGATTATTCTCTTTAAGGAATTTCATTTTCTGGTGGTTATACATTTAAGTTTTAACTCTCTGTCATTTCATCTATCATAGGATTCGCTGATTATTCATCATCAATACTCTTGAATTCTTTTACCTACCATTAAGGTATTTAAGGCTTATCAATTTTAATTGTATTTTTCTTTAGAGCTCTTTAAGTTTTAAGCATAAGATTGGCCTTTTTCTTTAATTTGTTATTGTTTAAACCTTTAATTAGAGTTGTTGCATTTGCTCTTGTAGCCCATTATTTTCTATCAAATCTCTAAATTTTAACCCTATCCTATTTCAAATCTAAAATTGTTGATTCTTCAATCAATTCTTGTACTAATGGTATGTAATGTGTTTTTGGACATTTATCAGCATAATGTTCAGTTGAATTACATGTATAACATTATTATTCTACTAAATTGTATTCTTTAGTGAATAATAATTTATCTCTTATTTAACAATACGTTTCATAATCTTCAGGAAATTTTTTTAATGTTTCCAAAAAGTCAGCTCTAGTAATTGCATAAACTTATGAGTATTCTCGAGCATTTACTGTACCAGTTCTTGGGAAACCTAAAATTATATTGTTAACAATAATAACCTGTAAAGAATGACCATTCTCCAAAATAACTATAAACTCCTAGTTTCTTCTTAATTATTTCACTATTTCCTGGTTTTACAATAACTGAGCCTCCAACAATATAAAAGATGCTTAAATCATCTGTTTGTTCTGTAGATCCTGCACCTATGATTTCATCTCCTTATGAAAAAGATTATTCTCTAATCTTCTATGCTAATTCTTTGAGAAAAGGTTTAGAAAAATAATTTGCAAACATAGTTTTTTAGAGAAACTATCCTAGAGATTAATACATTAATTCTTATTTCAATTCAGGTGCTAATATCTCAAATACTTATTATTCACTTTCCTGATCTCTACTTCCTTCTTCTGCCCAATGTTCATTTATATATTATCTTATACGTTCTCTTAATTCTGAAGGTACATTTTTTTATTCCATAAATTTATTAATTGAAACCTTATATTTTATAATCAAGATAGTACTTTCTATTTAAATCTTTGCATATAATAGGAATTGTATTCTTCCATCATCTTTTAAAAATTATTAATATTCAAAGCAAAAACTACTACAGCAAACATTACTCCAAGAAGTGCGAAAGCGCATTCATAAATGTTCATAGGAGACTATTAATTGATATATTATATTTACAATATCACCAAAACCCATAGTAGTGGACAGTACATTTAAGCTAAAATAAAAAGAGTAAAAGTATATTTCATGAATTGTTTTGTCTTTTATTATACCAAAATTACCAGGTACATTTAACCACGTATTAATATGTATATTATCACCATAAATTCCTAACATATACCAAATACAACAATAAAAGTTGAAACAGAAGAACATAAAAATTAACATTTTTGCTATTTGATAAAATGTTCTTAGTCTTTTATGGAGTAATATTAATTCTGCAATTTGGTGATCAATTCTAAGTAAGGAAGGTAATTTAAAATAAAACATGAAGAAAATGAATCGTAAATGATCAGTATCAACAGCTAATCTTATAACACAAACAAATAGCTATTTTGATTGAATAAATAAATACGGCGACGCAATCAAACACAAAATATCCATAAAAATAATGCATGGCTATCTTTCTTTTATCTAAAACAAGATTTCCATGCTTATAGTATGAGGTTACAAAGTCAAGAAGCATGTCTGTTAGAAGAATGATAAAAATTCCATAAAATAATGCATATCGTCCTGCAGGACTTATAAGTTCCTATTATAATTTAGAAATAGATACTGTCCAAAAGTCTGAGCCATACATAACATAGATAGGTACTTCAAAAAAGACAAAGAGAGTAGTAATAGCTACAAAGATCTTCCAAGGCCAGACTCGTTTTGGAAGAATTACTGGAAGCCAAGATAAATATTCTTCAAAAATATTGTTATCATTTTGGCCATGTTCATCATTAAGATTATCATCGTATATTTTAAAGACTCGTTATATTTTGTCTTATTCTTCTTGCATCACATTTTTTTCATGAAATTATTCAAGTTTCCATTTCACAGTTTTATTAAGAGTACGGCTTCTTGATCTTTACTCGATAGACATTGAAGAAACATCAGATAGGAGTGAATCCTATATTGAGTATTATTCTTGCATCTCAAATGAAGTCATTGAGAATTATTAATTATTTTATTAATCTTATTTAGCGTCATTTAATTTAATTTGTATTAAAAAACTAAAGATAAATAAATTATGTTTAAGACAAGATATTTAATAACCAACTAATTCACTCATTTCTCAAGATCATCATTTTCAAGTCAACCATTTGATTTGGTAGTAATAGGAGGTGGTCCAGGAGGATATGTAGCAGCAATAAAAGCAGCTTAATTGGGTTTGAAGACTGCTTGTGTTGAAAAGAGAGGTACTTTAGGAGGTACTTGTCTAAATGTAGGCTGCATTCCATCTAAAGCCCTTTTAAACATAAGTCATAAATATGAAGATGCTCATAAAAACTTTAAAGGATTAGGAATTAAGGTTGATAATCTAGGAGTTGATTGGGCATAAGTATAGAAGAAGAAAGGTGATATAGTTGGATCCCTTACAAAAGGAATTGAAGGTCTATTTGCTAAAAACAAGGTATCCTATTATAAGGGATGGGGTAAATTTGCTACTAAAAATGAAATTGCAATTGATTTAAATGATGGAAAAAAAGAGACCATAACAACAAAGAATACCCTTATTGCAACAGGAAGTGAACCTACTCCTTTTCCAGGATTAGAATTTGATGAAAAAATAATCATCTCAAGTACTGGAGCATTGTCACTTCAATAAATTCCTAAAAAAATGATTGTAATTGGAGGAGGTGTAATTGGTGTAGAAATGGCCTCAGTTTATTAAAGATTAGGAACAGAAGTTACTGTTGTAGAATATTTAGATAATATTTGTGGAGCTATTGATCTTGAAATATCTAAGGCATTCTAAAAAATATTAACTAAATAAGGAATTAAATTCTTAATTGGACACAAAGTTTTAGGAGGAAAGAATTTAGGTAATGGTGCTGAAGTCACCATTGAACCAGTTAAAGGAGGTGATAAAATTACATTAACAGCTGATCATGTTTTAGTAAGTACAGGTAGACGTCCATACACTTAAGGATTAAATGCTGAAGTATTTATATTTATATATTAACTAAATAGTCAATTGGAGTGAAATTAGATAATAAGGGTAGAATTTCTATTGGACATAATTTTACAACAGGAGTTGATGGTGTTTATGCAATTGGTGATGTTGTTGAAGGACCTATGCTTGCACATAAAGCAGAAGAAGAAGGAATTGCAGTTGCTGAAATCTTATCTGGAAAAGTTGGACATGTCAATTACGATGCTATTCCAGGAGTCATCTATACTAGTCCAGAAGTTGCTACTGTTGGAAAAACAGAAGAAGAACTTAAGAAGGCTGGAGTTTAATATTCTAAAGGATCTTTCCCATTCTTAGCTAATTCTAGAGCTAAAGCTAATGATGATATAGAAGGATTCATTAAAGTATTAACTGATAAAAAGACCGACAAATTATTGGGAGTTCATATTGTTGTAATCTCTTCTTCTTAATCTCTAGGGTCCCAACGCTGGAGAAATGATTGCAGAAGCTGTTCTTGGTATTGAATATGGTGCTGCTTCAGAAGATCTTGCCAGAACTTGTCATGCTCATCCAACCTTAAGTGAAGCTTTGAAGGAAGCATGCATGAGTGCTCATTTCAAACCTATTCATATGTGAGAGCAATTGATAATAAATAATATAAATATATATAAATCCCATAAATTTCTATTTATATTTCTTCATTTCTTTTTCTTCTAAGTTACTGCCTATTTTGCTTTGGTCTCACAAAATGCTATATGCTTTTTAGCAGTCTCTGAATTGAATTTTCTATTGCAAAATTTACACTAAACTAAATCTTAAGTAGCATCCATTGCATTCTTTAATGATGCTTGTTCTTCCTTTGTTAATTACTCACCTTTTCCTTATTTTATTATTGCTCTAAATGCTTCACTTTAAGCTTTCCATTTTGGTTTATCACTCTTACTTTCATTTTGCTTTTTATTCTACTTTTATTATTATTATTATTGCTATTTTTTTTATGGAGGAGGAGGAGGTCTATAACCCTCTTCTTCTTCATCCATTTATCTTTATTACTGAGAATCAAATACTTTTCTCTTTTATTAAAATACTTTTTAGCAAATCTATAAATTAATAATTTACTAATACCTTTGCATGCTTTTCCAATGCTTTCTTATTAAATGATCTACCGCACCCTTCAGGACACTCATATAATCTATCATCTTCTCCTTATTCCATTGGAGGCATTTAGCTTTTTTGTTATTATTATTGAACCTATTATTAAGGTTATTGTGTTTATTATTAAAACTATGGTTATTATTATTACTATTATTATCTTGTCTTTATTGGTTATTCTTAAAATTATTATAATGCTGATGATTATTATTATTATTAACTTTATTATTGTTATTATCCTCGAATATCATGTTATTGATTATTTCCTTATTATTTTATATTCTACTATTTATTTTATATTGGTTACTATTAGTATTATTAATATTACTAATATGATGATTATTATGAATTTTATACTTAACCTTATTATTGTACTTATGGTGCTATTCTTAACTATTATTAAGATTATTAATATTATTATTATTATTAAGATTATTAATATTATTAATATTATTATTGTCTTTATTATTATTATTATTAATCTATATTTTATTACTATCTTTATTGAAACTCTTAATTCTATTATCTTGATTATCCTTAAGAAAATTACTAAAGTTTTTAATCTTCAAATTAACTCTATTTAAATTATGCTTATGATTTAGTAGATTAAGATTATTAAGGCTAAAACTATTGTTGTTAGTTTTATTAAACTTATGGTCTCGAAGTTTAAGAATTTTGAGTATTTTAAAGAGATAATCGAGTTTGTTGTTACTATTATGTAGGAAGTTATTGCTTATTATTAACTAAATTTTATTATTATTGATTAGCGGTTTATTAAATATTCTGTTATGCTTTAAAGTATTACTGAGGTTATGTGGGCTGTGTTGTACTAGCTTATTTTCCATTTTGGAATTACCTATTCTGATTTATTGATAACTATGAATCAAGTGATGGTTTGCTTGTTGGTAGTGGTCTATCATCAAATTATCGTTAATCTTGAATTCTTATCATCTCATTTTAATTTTATAACTATTAAGTTGGTTGTGGTGACTTTCCTTTCTACAATACTTTTGGTATGGGTCTTTCATCAATTTCTTATATATTTAGTTTATTTTCAGCAGTAGGTCTTTCAAATGTTGTTCTTTAAGGAGATCTGCCAACTGTTTTTTTAGTCTAATCTTCTTAAGTTCGAACTGGAGCATTTGATAAATTTTGGAGTGGTTTAGCTGTAGCTGGACGCTCATTTACAACTGGCTTAAGGTTGGATAAAGTTGTACTCATTTAAGGTTTAAGTTGTTTACTAAATGCTTCATAAAGACTCTAAGATAAAAATTGATTGCATACTTATTTAGGTTATTTAGACATTCTTTTTTGACTGTTTGAAATTTTAAAATATATTATTTCGTTAATAAATTAAAACTATAATCAATACTTATGTATAAAGAATAACACTTTTTAGGTCTTTATAAAAGAAATATTTAATTATTTTCGATCAAATATATTGGCTTTACATTGCCAGTTTTTTATTCTTTATTTATTAATTATATTCATACTAATTATCATAATTTCAATTAAATATTTCCATTCTGCTTTCAAAATTATTCATATTAAGAATTCTTCTTCACATTTAAAAAAAATTTTATTTTATTTATAAAAATATTATCATCAGCATATACTTTTTACCATATTTTTTTTTCCAAATTTAATTTCTAAAACAACTTTAAATATAAATCAATAATTATCAATTTTATCAAACTATCTTTACTTAAAAATCTTTAAATAATTAATTAAAAATGGTATTTTGCTACTACAACTACTTTAATTTAATATTAACATATATTTTGAAGAATTTAAGATTTTAGATTAAAAAACATAAATTTGAATTTCAAAATTTTATTTTCTTTTGGATTTTTTCATTTTTATTTGGAGTTTTTAGTAAATAATGATGCAAACTCTTAAAAAGAAACTTCACCGTCACCATTTATATCTAATTCTTTGAATAAATTCTCCCATTATTAATCCTGCAAATTTAATCCACCTAGTATTTCTTAAAGTTCTTATTTGCTAATGATTCCATTTCCATCTTTATCAAATAATTTAAATGCTGTTTCCAATTTTTCTTTAGCCATTAAATTTTGCATTTCTGTATAGCCAACAATAAATTCTAATTTAATCAATATAAAAAGTTACCAGTATAATCAATCGTTCCTGAATGATCTAGATCAGCAGACAAAAATATTTTATCAACAATTTATGCACATTTTATTTCATCTTAATATAAATTCATGTAACCTAATTTAATATAATAAATTTACATTATATTAATTCTTCCTTACTTAATTTGCCATCACCATTTTTATCAATTGCTTTAAATCCTTCAATTAATTCTTTTTTCTCTTTAGAATTCATAATTTAGGTAGAAATTAATTATAAAATAGCTGATGCAAGTTTGCTTTTATTCTTAAATTTTAAATAGGATGTTACATGAAAAGATTCAAGATTTTATAAATTTTTTGGATTAATTTTTTCTATTCTTTAGTTATTAATAATCCATGGATCTTTCAATCCTTATTCAGCTGAGATTCTTTTGTTTGGATCAACTACTAACATTTTTAAGATGAAGTTTTTTGCTTCTCCAGAAACATCTTTCCATTCATTTCCTAAAATAGAATTTTGATAATAACCATTAAAATCAACAATTCCTTGTTTAATATTTTTATATAGATCATTTATATTTGTTCCATTAAAAGGAGGTTTTCCAGAAATTAAAGTATATAGAATTACTCCACACGACCAAATATCGCATTTGCTATTGTAACTCTAATCAATCACTTCTGGAGCAATAAAATAAGGAGTTCCTATTTTTTATTTTAATTAGGAATTTTGTTCTAACTATTTGGCAGTTCCGAAATCTATAATTTTAAGACAGTCTTCAGAAGCTTTTGAATCGAATAAAATATTTTCTGGTTTTAGGTCTCTTAATATTCAATCGATATTTGTACCTATGAACAATATTTCTTTGGTGGCAATAATTTACTGCACTTAAAATTTATTTCATATAATTAGCAGCAACCTTTTCATTAAAATTATTTCTTGACTGTATTCTTTGAAATAGTTCTCCACCACTTAAATACCTTATTATCTTAAATTTAATACTCAGTTATTAGATAATAATGGTGTTCGTCTTAATAGAGTTCATATATATTAACAATGTTTGGATGATCAAGATTTTTTAAAATGTTAACTTCTTATATCATTTAATTTCTTTGACTCACAAGTATTTTATTTTTGGAAATCTATTTCATAGCCCTAAGTATCTAGGTCGATTTTTACATTACTAAGCTTACTCTTCCAAAGGTTCCTAAATGAATTAAATTGAGAAATACCTTCCCCTAGAGTTGATTATACTTTATAATAAGATAGTATACTCCCACTCTTTAAGGAAATAAAGATATTTGGAGCAACTTTAAAATTCGTTCTTTGTTTCTTAAAACTTTTGTTAGTTTTTATAGTCGAAACTTCTTGAGTTTTATTGTAGGTGCTCTGGCTACCTCTATTTGATGTGTATTTTCTTCTTGGATTGCTATTACACGCACCCATAAAATGGAAATATATTTTAAAAATTATTCAATAAATTGCCTATTATGATGACTTTTAATTAGTCAATAGGTCTTAGATTTGAAATTCTTTGAGTTTCAATGATAAACAATCATAATAAATAATTAATTAAAAATAAATAAAAATTCTTAAATTCCTGGGGAGAGCTTGCTAATAAACGTCAATATAAATATTACAAATATTTTAAGTGATTGAGATAATTAATTAAAAAAAATTTGAATAGCTTATTTCTAATGAATTTTATTATATACTGTTCATCATACCAAATCAATAAATAAAGTAAATTAATTTATTTAATTAAAACATTATAATAATTTAGCTGTTTTTAAATTTTTACTAGAATGTATGATGCTTATTATAAAAATAATATTTACATATTAAAAATCTATAACTACAACATTTTCATAATCTTGTTTATGTTTTAAAGATTTCTTAATAGAAAAATAATTGATTTAATACTATATTTTATTATCTTAACTTGCTTCTACAAATTATTTCTTAATTTTGAATAATAAAAATTATTTTAAAATCTTACTCCTCAATTTTAAGTGAACATATGAATAATTAGAAGGAATTAAAAAAAAAGTAAATAGGAGAATACATTTTCGAATTGTCACAAGAAATAGGTTCTGGATACTCATCCAAAGTCTATAAAGGGCAACATATGAAAACTAACAAAGATGTTGCGATAAAAGTAATAAGTTCTCAAACATATATTACACCTATCTAAAAATCTCTCTTAAAAAATGAAATTGCCATTTTGCTCAGAATTGATCACCCTCATTTACTGCGGGTTTATGAAATAAGTCAGAGCACAAACAACACTTATATTGTTAGTGAATTGTGTAATGAAGGTAGTTTGGAGTAATAAATGAAAAAAACAGAATTAACAACTGAAAAAGTGTTATCAATTTTATTACAGGTTTCTAGAGGCATACTAGCCTTGCATGAAAAAAGTAAAAATTATTTCATTTTTAGAAATCATCCATAGGGATATAAAGCCTGCTAATATCCTCATTAAAGATGGTATATATAAATTAGCTGATTTTGGGTTCGCATTAATTGAAGATTAAATCGAAAGTATAATTAAAAGATTTAATGTTGGTACGCCTATGTACATGGCGCCAGAAATTTCTTAAACCAATCAATATTCTGATTATAGTGATATTTGGGCATTAGGTATCATGTTCTATGAAATGCTATTCAAATGTATTCCTCCATACAGATAAGACATAAAAACATTCCATGAAGATATTTTGAAAAAATGTCAGAAGTAGGAATTCAAATACTAATCAATCATTAAAACATTACTATTTGGAATGCTTTAAATAAATCCTTAAGACAGACTCAATATTAATTAAATTCTTAAAATTTTAAAATAAGACTAAAGTTAAGGTGATACAGTTTCGCCAAGAGTTGAATCTCCTTTGTAAAAACTAAATTATCAATTCGTCTAATCAAACCTTAATTCTCCACTCTCAACTCCTAAACAACCAAATTTAGAAAGTTAAAGATAGAAATACTAAAAACAAGTTCAATCTCATAATAAGGCTGCAACATTTGATCAAAAGAAATTCGAATCTATGAAAATATTTTCAAAAACTGATTGTAAAGTTAATTCCGTATCAGATTTTCCAACTCAGGAAGATATTCCAAATAATATCTTAAAAAATAAAAATGATAATTATGAATAAATTGGATAGATATCAACTGAATGTTCTTTTTCAACTTAAGGAGTAAGATAATAAAAATAAAAGCCATAACCTTAATTAACATAATAATTACCAGCAATTATCTTACCAACATATAATTTTTGTTGGTTTTTGGAAAATGTGATCAAAAATATGAACACTTAAAATGAATAAAAATAAAAATGTAATTTTCTATTTAGAAAATTGTTGGCTATAAAAGCCAAAGCATTCTATTCTTTTGCTCCAAAATAATTTAAGGATTAATTGAATGTATGGATTAATTAGTTGAACTCTTATTACGAAAAAGTTCAACATATATTGAATTTCACAATGGATAATACATTTTTAATATTTTTTAATACTTCAATGGAAGATTAGGGAAAATTACTAAGTATGTATTTAGTTAGTTTAATGAACCAAATAATTTAAAAAGAATAAAATTCAGATTTCGAAGTCCTTATTGATATTTTATAAGAAAATGTCAAGCATCAAAACGATCCATTCTTATTTGCTAGAAAATGGGCTCATAATCAATAAAAATGATTTCTATTTATAGAATATTATGATTTATTATACTTTAAAATTGACACTATTTGATCATAATCGTATTATTATAAACTCTGATTTTACAATTAAATTGAAAAAATGGGAACTTGTTCATCATAAAAATAAAATAAGAACTCTGTAAATCAAATAAACTAATTTAATCTATCTACATAATTCCCTAAACTTAAAGATTAAATTCATTTTTTTGATTAGATTAGTTTAGAGCAATTAAATTAGCCTGATTTATCAACATTTCTGTCTAAACATATAAATAAGCATAGAATAGTTAATGAAGGTAAGACTTGGATTGCTGTTAATGAAGTTAAATGTATATTAAACACAAAAACAACTATTTTAATAAGAAATTTTATTCCAGAAACAGATGCAGCAATTTAATTGATATATTTATTGAAATAGCTTATTTCAATATCAATAGGAGCATAAGAGTTGTAAGTAGATTTTAATGAATATGCAGTTGAATTGTTCCATTATTTTCAAGCTTAGCTAATTTAAGTAAATACTTTAAATACGAATTTAGATTTCAATTGAAGTATTATTAGCAGTGAATACATTAATAAAGAAATAAGAACATTGGTGGAATGACAATTATTTTAGTTGGAGGAAAAATTATATATAATCAATGTTTAAAATTAAATAGCCAGATGTTGAGAAAGTGGAATTTATTCTTCCATTCTTCGAATATATTGCTTTATTAAAAGAATGTGCCAAATAGTTTTGTAATTAACTTAAATCTCCTGATCTAATTGCTATAGATATTAAAGCTTAACAAGAAGTTTTAGAATAATTTTACACATAATTAAGAACTTGTTTTTTATAAAATCAATCAATTTAAACTGATAGTATAAATTGGGAACATCGCATGACATCTAAATAATTAGAATAAAGACTTTAAACTTATACTCTATTTATTAAAAAGAAAAACTCTATTTCTTGATTCTATAAGTCATAATAATCTAAAAATATTTATACATGAAATATTTCATAATTAATTTTGTTTCTGGTACTCTCTCAAGTAATAAATTGATTTAAAAAATAAGGCTGTGTTCATACTTTGATTGGATATCCATTAGATTTTATTAAAACCAGAATTTAAATATAACATAGAAAGCAAGGCATGATAAAAACTGGAATTTAAATTATTAGAGATGAAGGTGTGAAAACATTGTATAGAGGTAGATTTTATACATTTGCATAGGCGTATCAATATAGCTTTTAAATTCTATCTGCGCTGGATCCATATATTTTCCTACATATGAACATATGAGGAAATGGTTTGCTAGGATGGATAATTTAAGTGAACATAGTTATTTACCATTTTAACAAACTTTTTTAGCAGGAAGTATGGCAGTATTACATAATTGAATTTAATAGGGTATTACAAGCAATTTATTTGCATGTCCATTAGAGTATGGTAAAATTTTATCTCAAAAAACTAAATTAAAAAAGCAAGAGTTGACTGATGGTCCAATCCAAAAATTGTATCAGATAATAAAAACATAAGGACTTTTACATATTTATAAGTAACTTCTAAGTATAAAACTTTTTAGAGGACTCAAATTATAATTACTGAGAGATTCAGTTGGTTGTGGATTATATTTCGTATCTCATGCAAAAACCTTATAATATTTTACTCCTTAAGGTAGAGATAGAACATAAGCATCATAATTTGGAATTTTAATGGCAAGTATGTCAGCGGCAGTTAGCTTTTGGATAATTTCTTATCCAATAGATATTATCAAGACTCGATATCAAGTATTAAATGAGAGGTAACCAAAGATATAACTGCTATTTAAGTACAATTAACATTACTAAATAAATATACCATGAAGGTGGACTTTTATCATTCTACAAAGGATTTAAAGTAACTGTGATAAGAAGTGTTATTGTAAATATTTTTTCTTTATGTACCTATGAAAATCTCAGAAGAGTTGGATTCAAATATTTTTGAAAGAAATGAAGACATATTAGAAATTAGAAATTAAAAAATTTATTTATTATTATACTTTTGAATTAATTCAACATTCACAACTTTTTACTTATTGATTGTTTTTGTCATTATTTGGAAAATCCTCCATTGGGCCTTATTAATTATCAAATGGCTAATCTTATTGATTGTTGAATTCTATGACATCAATTTAATTATTTTATTCCTCTAAATTAATATTTGATATTGGTGATTGGTTTAATTAGTTTTAAGGTATTAGTCCCAAATATGAATAATAAAATTTATATTATACTTATGCTAATTTAGTCTAACAACTAATTCATTTTATCTTTGAATTAAGGATCTTAATGATTAGTTTATATTTGATATGCAATGTCATATTATTCGGATAGCTTTTAGACATGCTCATTGATATCAAAACTTTATAAGTCTGTTTTATTCTAATCGAAATTTCAATTAAGATTCTTTACTCCGATTAATGCAATTTTAACATTAGCTCCAGCTTAGAATACAAGCTCTTCTATCCATTTATCGATATGCAATAATGATTATTCATTTGAGCAATCATAAACCAAAATCGCAGCTTTGGCTCTTTTATAATGACTACTTATAAAATAAATTTCGGAACCTTGATACAATAGATCTATATTTTTCTTATCCTGCTGTATCCCATATTGAAAATTTTATATTGTTTCTTGTGAATGAATGATGCTATACACCAATTGTTGTTTCTGTTTATGCATTAATATCTAGAAAACTTTAAGTTAGTTAGATCTTCTTACTTATTTAAGATAGTTGTTTTGCCTACTCCACAGTCTCCCAGCAAAATAACTATCATTTAGCATTGATTTATTACTTTTATTTTAAGACATTGTTTGAATTAGTAATAAAAATATAATATATTATTTACCTTTGTTTATAAAATATTGTAATTTAATTAAGGTAACATCGTTAATGAATCAAAATTAGAGAAGCTTAAGAAATGTATACTAATAAATATTTGAATACTTGCTTATGCACTCTATTATAAAATTATTGTATTATTAATTTTCAATATATATATTCGTTTTTTTTTATTTGCTATGAAAACAATTCTCCTACTAATTTTAATAATTGCATTAGGCAATTCATAAACCCAAGAATTAAGAGATATATTGGATTATAGCAAATTTGATTGTGAAAACATAAATGAGATGTTTGAGATAAAGAGTTCACTCTTATATTGGAATGAATTAAAGGATATGGATTTGATACAACAAATCTCAGATATTCTAGAAGTTAAAGAGTCATTATTAAACTATAAGGAACTACTATTAAGTAAATCAACTTTAAAGAAAACTAGTCCAAAAATACTTTTAGAGAAAGTTAATGAAGAGATTAAAGATATTGTGTAAGAGTTATAAAATGATAAAAAGGAGTTAACATTATAATATTGTGATAACACAATAAAAAGAATAAATAAAATTTTGGATCAACGTGATAGTGAGAAAAATTAATTATTTAAAGTTGAGAAAAAAGAGTTAAGTGAGAAACTTAATTTAGTAACTGAGAAAGTGGATACATGTAATAGATCTTTGAAACCAGCTTTTCATAATAAAATGATTCTCTAGTAGACCATATAGAGTAAAACTAATGAGGTTGGCTATGGTTATTGGTTTAGATTACTTGATTTCTATCCTTAAGATTATTAGACAGAAACTTATTTTATATCTCGTGTATCTGAAAATGAGAATTATTCAGGAAATGATTTAGGAGATAATAAATTGGTTGTTTCAATTTAAAAAAATAGTTTAGTATTATCTACATATGATATAAAAACAATGAATGCAGTCGTTGAGTAAAGATTATTCTTTTAAAAGAATTAATGGACATATATTCACTTTTCTTATTAAGATGGAGTTGCTACAGGGTATATTTATTTAGATTAAGATGATATAAGCAAAATAGAATTTCATGTAGAACATTTTAAATTGAATTAAGCTTATTTTAAATTTGGAGGAGAGGATTTATAAATTTAAGGATTAAATGGTTAATTTGCTTAATTGACTTATGGTGTTGGAAAATAATATATTACAGACAAGCCATAATTATTTATTGAAGAAGTATCAAAGTTATCTCCTTAACCATAATTTAATAAATAATCGATTGAATTGATAGCAGAGGAGACTCAATTTCCATTGAAATTCAAAAAGGAATATTAGGCAGATTTTATTGAAGAATTTGCAATAAGTGCTTGGTTTAAGATTGAATATTTGGATGCTGAAAATATTGAAATATTTAGAGTAAAAGATGATAATAAAAATTATGCTTTGAGTTTTTATGGTGGTAATTCTTTAAGTTTTGGAACTTATAGTAAGGATTAAGAATTGAGAAAAGCAGAATTATTTGAATAAACAGATGATTGGCATTACATTTATATGAGTTATTCATATTTGAGAGAGGAATTTAATTGTTTTGTATGGATTAATGGACATATAATAAAATTATAAGAACATAATGTTAAACATTATCCAACAAAAGATATAATTGTATCAATTGAGAATGAATTTGATGGAGAAATTAATAAATTGAACTTGTATGTTGGTTAAGGTAGTCATATAAATGATCCTCGTCATTTACCAAATGAATATTAAGTTGGTTTAGATTTGGTTGAGAATGTAATATTTGTATTGATTTATTAAAGAGTATAGTGAGATCATTTAAGGTTACTAAGGAAGTAAACAGTAAAAACATATTGAATTACAATTCTAATATGAGAGCAAGTAATGATCGGATAAAATAAAATGAGGAGATTTAGAAATGAAAAATAATAATATATAAAATTTATTTAATGAACCAAGAAATAAAACCTGTAATAGATGAAGGAATAAATCTAAAATGTAGATTTTATGAGAATCAATACCCAAAAGAAAATGATTTAGTTGTTGTAGAGGTAGTAGAAGTTCAAGAGAATGCATCATATGTTGAATTACTAGAGTATGATAGAATTAGAGGCATGATTCCCCCTAATGAAACAACAAGAGCTTTGAAGGGAGGAATTTAGAAAGCTTTAAAAATAGGAAAGATTTAAGTTGTCAGAGTCTTAAGAGTAGATGAAGATTAAGGATATATTGATTTATCTAAAAAAAAAGTAGCAAAAGATGAAGAGTAAATGTCATTACAAAAATTTGCTGATGGAAAAATGATACATTCAATTATGAGAGCCATCGCTGAGAAATGCAATCTGAATATTCAAGAATTATATAAAACTATTGTATGGCCATTATAAGAGAATAAATTAAATGTATCAGTCCTTTAAATATTTAAAAATTCATTACAAGATTAGAAGCATTTATCGAAGCTCAATCTACCAAATTAAATTCAAGTTAAATTAATGGAAGAAATTGAGAGAAGATTAAAACCAGAACCTGTTACTATTAAAACTGAATTTGATTTAATAAGTCATGATTATGCAGGATGTCTTATAATTAAAGAAGCACTTATAGCTGGTACTAAGAAGTCTACTGAAGAATGCAAATTATAAGTATTCTAATCATTTTAAGCTAGTTTGAAATAAGAGCATCTCCATCTTATACAGGTAGAACTACCACTATCTCAAGAGATGGTGTCAAAATTATGAAGGAAGCTTTAACTGAAATCGAAAACGTTATGAAGAAGTATTAAGGAATTATGAAAGTCAAAATTGAAGTATTTAATTCTATTATATCAATAGCCTAAAGTTGTTGGAGATCATTAGGCTGATTTTATAGATGAAGTTGAAAATGAAGATGGAGAAGATGAATATGGGATTACTTAATAAGGTGGAGAGGAAGACGACGATGACGATTTAGGAATGTAGTGAATTATTCTAAATTAATTATAAAAAGTGTTAATCATCTATCCTCTTTATTCATTTAAATTTTATTACATTTGTAATTTAAATTTTATAATTAGAGAATTATAAAACAAATAATAGCCATCATACTTATTGGTATAAATTTTAAATCTAATTTATTTAATCTAAAGAATATGGAGACATTTGCATATTCTATATTCTATAAGGAGAATTTTGTTGGCTAGATTATTGTGAATAGTTATGTTATGGTGCTATCATAAATAAATATTTTACATAAGTAATTATTCTATGTTGGAGCTGTTAAAGCAAGGGGGCTTCCTTTTCTATATAAATATTATTTTGGATCATTCTGATAATAATAAACTTAAATTAATTTAAAATTTACAAGAATTTGATCTCTAAGGATAATAATGTAATTAATTGTATTAAAAGTTCTAAGTTCCATTTGTTGCAATTCTATTCTCAAGACAAAAATTTTACTTTGTCTCTTCTTAACAATATTTGATAATTTCTCTAAAATTAAATACTAAAATTTAATTTTTATATATTACACAAACTTGGTAGATTATTGATTGCACTGCTTAACATGACTGTCACATAATCATACTTTTAATTGAATTATTATTAAGTTAAATTAATTGCCTAAATAATTAAAGTAATTTACTTATAAAGTGTTCTAATTTTAACGAGTTAAGGATGCGGATTGTTCCAATTGAAAATTCAAATCTTTCTATATTTTTAATTAAGTTTCTTAGATGTCTTTAACTATTTATTTTATATTGTCATGTTCTCTTTTATAATTATCAAGTTCTTAACTGCTTTCTTTAGTTTCTATTTTTAGATCTGACTCTTCTTAATTTCTTCTTCTTATATACTACAACATACTTCTTAAAATAAAATCAAAATATTACTTTAAACCTCTTCTAAACCATTTGTGACGGAATTCACTTTACCCGAACTAATTCCTTGTCTTTTTAAAATTATACATATTTAGTTATCTACATTACTTTATAAATACCTAAGAAAGCTAGGATAGTTTTTATGTTTGAAATAATTTGCTAACACCTTTGAAGACAATTCACTTGGATTGTATACAATAAATGAAGTTCCTTCTTTGTTCCATGATATTAAATCACTTAATGAATCATTCTAAAGATTATTTTATATGTTGTACCTCCAAAATTTCATAGGTTTTCAAAAGGAATGAAGGCACATTTATTTTTAGATGAGGAAATATATTAAGATCTTAATTCGACATTAAATAATATTTTACGGAAATTTCAAGATTTTAAATCACTTTAATACCACAAAATTATCGCAAAAGATACTTTTTTCCACTCGGTGATCATTTTTAATTATAATGCTTTTAAAAATTATATATAATCAAATATATCTTTAAATTTAGAAATATAAACTTATTAATGAATAAAATAATGAAGAAACTCAAAGTAAGTTTTTAATTCCTTCTAAATTGACCATCTTAATTGATTATCAGAATTAAAAAAAACTAATTATAAATAATTAATTATACTATGAAATCTGTTAATTATTATTCGATTTGGATAATGCTATTTATAATATATTTTAATTTTAATATAAATATATAATTTTTAATTAACCATTTATTTTTGATTATTTGAACAAACATATAGGAGAATGTAATTATTTACTAAAACAATTAATATTTCAGATGATTCATTTTTTTAGGATTGGTTTTGCATTTATATAGGTAACTTGGTTATATCTTATAAATAAGTAATTATATATAAAATTTGTTTGGTCATCTTTTAGTAATCACAATTTTATCAAATATTCAATAATGTTATTTAATTTTTTTTTTTTATTTATTACAATTAATTCATTTATGAATTTCTTTAACTTTCAATCTAATTTTAGTTGTTAATTTGATTAGCTATTTTAATTAAAATGTACAACTAATAAAAAGAATCTCTTGAATTGACCACTAAGACTATTTTATTTTATGATTTTTAAAGTGATAATTTAATTCTATAAATTAACTGATAAAATTAGAATAGTTCTTATTTTAAAAATAGGAATAACACAAAAAACAAATTTTTGAAGTTTAATTTTTTAGGTAAATAAATAATATCAATTTTTATATAAAGTTGACATTTAAATAAATTAAGTGTAACTAAAGAACTTTATTTTCAAACAGATTAAAATTTAAACATTAATTTTCTATGTTTCAACCCAATTGAGTTGAAAATTTTTTTAAATCTATTTCAGCTTCAAGTTGAAACTATGATTAGTTTAAGTATTTAAACAATCTCAAAATATAATTCACTTTTTTTTTTAAATAATTACTATAAATTATAAAAGATTATAACATATTAAATCTTATAATTTTCTTTTTTAAAATTATGGAAGTAAATAGACATATTTTTAATAACTTTTTATTAACTTTTTATGAATCTAATGTGTGTAAATTAATTGATAATTAAATTAGAAACTTTGAATGCAAGAAAATAACATTTAGAACATCGAAAATCATAACATTAGTGTAGTCAAAGTATTATGTCATAATATTTAGTTTTCAAATGATGAATAATCTTCATAAAGTTAACCAAGAGCAGAAAAATCTTTAAATAATCAACAAGAACAGGAAAATTCAATGTTTTTAATATAAAATCATGAAGTTGTTGAAAAATTTTCAGAGTAAGAAATAGAAATAATACAATTTGCAGATAATAGAGAAATAATTTTTGGGAATAATTAAGCAGAAGGTGAGAATGAATTTTAAAAATAAAAAAAAGAATAAATTATTGTATAAAATATAGTAGTTCCAGAATAATATAATAATCTATATTAAAATGATAGAAATATTGCTATAATTTAGGAACCAATTTAGTAAAACTATGCTTAAGATCAATACATAAATTAATAGCCTATTATTATTACTCATCAATAAGCAATGATTCCAAATTAATAATAAAATACTCCAATATAGCCAACTGATAAATATTAAAGTTATTAGAATTAATAAATAGAGAATGAAGAATATGATAAAAAAAAAAAGAAAAAAATAGATTAGAAAAATAGTGATTAGCATTATAAAAATAATGTTGTTATTGTACCAGTAAACTAAAATGATGCTGCAGATAATGCTATTGTTAATTTAGGCTCTAATTTATCTGTTTATTGTTGTCTAGGTCTACTAAATAGATCTGATAATTGTTGTTAGTGGATTTGTGATTTATTGGTTTTTTGTCTAAGTTTTCCTATAATTATGCTTAAGAAACTAATAATTTTGATTTGGGATGGATGTTTGGAAGTATTATGTTCAAAATGGTGTCCAAATTGTCATGAATCATGTAAAACATGCTGTGGACTTTCATTTTTCAATTGCGGTAAAATTAATTGATATATATTAAGTTAGATGTTATAATAGTTTGAAAAGGAATTCAAATACTATTTGCACATAATTATGTTGTTGTGTAAACTGTACAGTTTTTAGTAAAGAAGTATTATAATGTTGGGATTCTTGTAGTTAGTTTTGTTTATAAATCTGTTCTGCTTTTGGAGGATGTCTATTAGTTTGCTGTGAATTTATATTAAATAATTTGGGTGATTGTTTTTATTAAATTTGCACTTTTTGTTGTGATTTTTTAGGGAATAGTTGTGAAATAATATGCTAAGTATCTGAAGTTGTATGTAATAACTTAGCTGAAATCTTAGGATTCTGTTTATTATGCTGTAAATGATTTTTATAGGGAAAATTAGAAGGAAATGATATATATATATATAGTTATGTTTACTTTAATTAAATTAAAATTATTAGATAATATATCTTTAGATTTAATTTATATTTTCTACTTTTATTAATTTGATTGTAAATAGTAATTAAAGAAAAAAGAAGAAGCATTAAATGAATAATTTTATATATTATTAATATCTGTTAATTTAGTTAATAAAATGTTAGATGAAATTCCTGGAATAAATAGAGAGAGAATTAAGTAATTTGCAATTAGTTATGCTCTCTATATTATGGTTCATTGTTGTAGATCAACTTGGAGTTATGCGTCAGGATTGATAATAGAAGGAAATAAGATTGAAGGATTTACTCCATAATTTTTAGGATATGTCAATTTTACATTTTTATTATCAATGGGTGTATCATACTTTTTGTATATTATTTTTTAATGAGGCTTGGATAGTTAGGTGATAAGATAAATCCAAAATTATTTGTAATTCTTGGCACATATCCATTAAGTGCATTATTTATTATCCTAGCCCTAATATTTGAATTTACAACATCCCCAAAAGAATTATATTTAGTATTATTACTGTTAGCTGGAATGTTTTCTTCAACTGCTTGGCCAGGCTTATTATGTATATTTATCTTTTTATTATTTTTAAGCAATAATGAATGCATGGATGCCAAAAGAATAAAAAGTGATTATTCTTGGTATATTTGCTTCTTGCATTAATGTAGGCAATATAGCAGGTTTTATTAATTCTGGGATTACTATAGAAATATTAGATCTGAGCATTTTAACCCCCATTTATATAAGTGGAGGATTGCTATTTATTATGACTATTATATTTCATAGATTTATCAAGCCAAAACCAACTATAACATCTGAACATGTAATTTAGGATACATCATAACAACCTTATGTGAGTAAAGAAGTTGTAGGAGTAAAGAAATTGAAGATATGGAAAGCTTGGCTTTTACCAGGAGTAGCTGTATATGCTTTAGCTTTTGGATGTATTAAAGCTACTTCTATGATTATGGGTTTATGGTTACCAGCTTATTTAGATTATCTTCATGTAGGATTTGTTGCTTTAATTAATATTATGCTTGATTTAGGTGCTGGATTTGGAGGTGTAATAGTATGGTATCATAAAATTCATTTATCTATTAGTTATTTAGGAGTTAAATACTAAAAAAGAGCAACAATAATTGTACCATTATTATGGTTAGGAACCATATTAATGGTGGCTATTAATTTCTTAAAAGATTATGATAATCCATATGGAGGATACATGGCTCTTAATTTTGGAGTCGGTTTATTTATTGGAGGATGTTACAATAATGTAGCTGCTGCTATTGCTGTTGAACTTAGTAACAATAAAGCTTTAAAAAGTATATATATAGATTAAATTAATTTAGAGTATAAACATGCAACTGCCACTGTCACCTCATTAATTATGGGATATGGAACTCTCTTTGGAGCTTTAAATTAAATAGTTGTACCATACGTTAAAGATTACCTCTTTCTTTATTGCGGTATTCTAGCTGTTGTTGGAGGATTACTATTAATTGTTGTCATCTTAACTGAATGGAAAGTTAGTGATGAACCAGATAAATTAAATAAAGAAATAGAAATGCATTGATTACTCTATGTTAATTATTTATATATCATAATTATTATCCTTAATTGTTTACCAATTTTAATTTTCTATAATAACATACACCAATTATTAAATAAGGTAGTATGAACACAAACGCATAATACATTCTTTAAGCCTCACACTAATATTAAACTACTTATAGCATTGTAAATGTTATATAAGTAAATAAGAATTCTGTGATTAATTTACAACTTAAAAGTGTCATTCTTGTTGTTCTATAAATCTCTTAAGCATTATATACTGTTAAACCAACTCTAATTAATATACAAATTTACCACAATCATAATTGAATCTATGAGGAACAAATTATAAGATAGTTAAGATAATATATGATATAGTCATTACTGCTGGTAGTGCATAAAGAATATTTTTATCCGCATATCTAACTGCATTTCCATAATAATCAAATTCTGTCGGAACTTTTTCATTCAAATACACAAACTCATATTATTATAAATCGATACAGACTAATGAAAAAAAGCCCAACATAAAATTAAAACCAGCAGAGCAAATATTTCTCCAACTATTTCAACTTTTTTAAATCTAGGCAAATTTTTTAAAGAATGTTAGATTAATTCGTCCTCTTTTTAAACTACGATATCGTTAACATGTATTGTAGGCTAATGAATGTAAGAGGGACTTATCATATTAATAATACTATAAATTTATTATATAATCAAAAAATTAACTTCATTGATTTTATTTATAATCCTTTTTAACAATGCAATCTCAAAAATTGTTTTAATAAAATAAATAAATTTGCATTTCTAGAATTTTATTTAACTTTTTATTTTTTAAATTTAATTAGTAAATTTTTACAATATATAACAATCTCATCTAGTTAGCTTCATAAATCTATGAAAATTTTGTTTATATCATTTTATTCTTAGCATAAATTTTATTAATAATTAAATGAAAATATATCAAAAAGTAAATAAATAAATTCAAAAAATTTACTCTTTATAAAGTAAATTTTAAGAAATTTAGATAAAAATATTACATTTATTCTGCTTCTCATAGTTAATAATCAAATCTTATAAATTTTTGAATGGTCTTTTCTATTATTAACATATGAGAAATTACTTATTTAATTGACTTAATATTATAACAATATTTTTTTGATAGATATTAAATATTTGATTAAAAATTGATATTTAAATATCATTCATTTAAAGTTTTGGTACCTATTTACTCTTTATTACCAATTCTTCAAATTTTTGATTGATTAATAATAATTTGAAATTTTCGATTATTTTTTTTCATTTAATAGAAAAATTTAGAAGGAATGAGAAGGAATGAGAAGGAATAAACAAAATGCTCTAAAAGTCTAATTATAAAAAGTACTATTAAATTTAAAACAGTAAATTTTATTATTTTCCTAATTTTCTTAAAGTTTGTAATTACAATTTGTAAGAATAAAAATTTTTTTCACTTATGTCAATTTTAAAATATTAATTGATCCAGTTCCAAAGACAAAATTTAAAATGTAAGGTGAAATTCATAAAATTGTTAATATTGTCCTGATATCGACACTTCCCTCATTTTACAATTTCATAAAGTTCTATAAAAATATTTTATGATAATCTGCCTTTAAAACGGAGCAAAAAAGGAATTTTTTATTTAAGATTAATGTTCTTATAATAAAAGTTATTAAACAAATCGAAGAGAGTTTTGATATTTATTGAATATTTATTATATTAATTCCTTCTTTAAAACTGTAGAAAGGGAATTATTTTTATTAAGAATGCAATAAAAACAAAATTACTTTTGCAAAATTTTATAATATTTTTTAAGCTTTAGCATATATTAAAAAAATGTGCTTCTACAAATTAAATAATTATTTGTTTTATGCTGATTAAAATTTGATAATTAAACTTCTTTACTGTGTAAAAAAACCAAGTCTAGTTAAGTTGTTGTGATAATTATTTAAATTTGAGGTTAAGAAAAATCTATGTTAAGATTCTTAAAAAATTTATTTGTTTATATATAATTTGATTAAATAAAAACTTAACTATCTAAGATCATTACAATAAATTTCTTTTTCTGCTGGATAGCTAGTTTGAATACTTTTATTTAATATTTATCAAATGAATAACTTTCTGATTCCAACCTCTATCAAAGAGATTGTATTTAGGTTTCTTAAATCCAATAAAAGCACTACATCTTTATATTTTGTATCATTCCCAATAAATTCATTTATTCACCAAAATAATTATAGAATGGCAATGCTAATAGTGAAATCACTTCTTATCCTTTATGTTTAATACTAAATTTGTTATAAGATAATATTCTACTGTCATCTACTCCGCATAAACTCAAAGACATCTAGAAGTTTAGATTGTTGTAACACTTTTATTTTCTAATTTCCAGTAATTCTACATAATTTTTTCCCCATAATTTCGAACATTATCTCCAATTTCATTGACATTTTTCTATAGATTTACAATTAAAGTTTAAAGACTTTTTATCAATATACTAATCTAATTTCTTATAATTAATATCTATTTCTTTATTCAAAATTTTTTTTTAATCTTTGAAAACCTTTCTTCTTAGAGTAAAAATGAATTAATATATAAAAGAAAAGTTTTTTTAAAGAACTCGTTAGAACTAATCTATAATTTTAATAATATTTCTGTTAAAATGGATATTGACTATAAAATCTTTTAACTCAGGTGTAGAAGATGTTTCTAATAGAAAATTTTTGTTAAAATTAACTCCTTGAACAAAGAGAAGAAAAACTTCCAAATATACCCTTTTTTGATTCTAATTTATCTACAAAGGTCTCCCTACTGAATTATGAAGTTAAGTTTGTTTTATTAATTTTGATTTCTGCTATCTTCAATATTTTTAGCAATAGATTCTTACAATAATTAAATCATAACTTTGAAAAAAGGGATTTTTTTTCTTTATTAGTTATTTATAAAGACTGTTTAAATTAACTTATTAATTAAATAAAAAATTTTTCAAATCTTGTAGTAATGATTTAAGATGAAATAACAATTTCTGATTGGTAAACTCTTTGCTGATTTATATTTTTATTCAATATCTTGAAAGCTATTAGCTGATATTTTCTCAATAATCTATTAAATTCATCTTCATTCAAAATTTGGATTTGATATATAATAAGCAACAAAATATTTAACAATATCAATCCCTTAAATAGTTTATTTTATTGGTTTACCTATTAAGTTTCTTACAAAAAAAAAAGTTATTTTCATCAAAAAAGATTTTGATATAATTCAAGTAATTTACCTTTAAATATAATATTCCTTATATTATTTGATGAATTTCTGGAAGTCTCAAGTTTATAGTCTGTGAACAATATATATGCTAAATATGTTAAACAATTTAAAAATTTGGATATAGTGTATGGTCTTTAACATTTTTCAAATAGATTGTCATTGAATCATAGTCTAACAATTAATAAATTAAAAAAAAAATAAAAATCATATAAATANTATATAATTTGATTAAATAAAAACTTAACTATCTAAGATCATTACAATAAATTTCTTTTTCTGCTGGATAGCTAGTTTGAATACTTTTATTTAATATTTATCAAATGAATAACTTTCTGATTCCAACCTCTATCAAAGAGATTGTATTTAGGTTTCTTAAATCCAATAAAAGCACTACATCTTTATATTTTGTATCATTCCCAATAAATTCATTTATTCACCAAAATAATTATAGAATGGCAATGCTAATAGTGAAATCACTTCTTATCCTTTATGTTTAATACTAAATTTGTTATAAGATAATATTCTACTGTCATCTACTCCGCATAAACTCAAAGACATCTAGAAGTTTAGATTGTTGTAACACTTTTATTTTCTAATTTCCAGTAATTCTACATAATTTTTTCCCCATAATTTCGAACATTATCTCCAATTTCATTGACATTTTTCTATAGATTTACAATTAAAGTTTAAAGACTTTTTATCAATATACTAATCTAATTTCTTATAATTAATATCTATTTCTTTATTCAAAATTTTTTTTTAATCTTTGAAAACCTTTCTTCTTAGAGTAAAAATGAATTAATATATAAAAGAAAAGTTTTTTTAAAGAACTCGTTAGAACTAATCTATAATTTTAATAATATTTCTGTTAAAATGGATATTGACTATAAAATCTTTTAACTCAGGTGTAGAAGATGTTTCTAATAGAAAATTTTTGTTAAAATTAACTCCTTGAACAAAGAGAAGAAAAACTTCCAAATATACCCTTTTTTGATTCTAATTTATCTACAAAGGTCTCCCTACTGAATTATGAAGTTAAGTTTGTTTTATTAATTTTGATTTCTGCTATCTTCAATATTTTTAGCAATAGATTCTTACAATAATTAAATCATAACTTTGAAAAAAGGGATTTTTTTTCTTTATTAGTTATTTATAAAGACTGTTTAAATTAACTTATTAATTAAATAAAAAATTTTTCAAATCTTGTAGTAATGATTTAAGATGAAATAACAATTTCTGATTGGTAAACTCTTTGCTGATTTATATTTTTATTCAATATCTTGAAAGCTATTAGCTGATATTTTCTCAATAATCTATTAAATTCATCTTCATTCAAAATTTGGATTTGATATATAATAAGCAACAAAATATTTAACAATATCAATCCCTTAAATAGTTTATTTTATTGGTTTACCTATTAAGTTTCTTACAAAAAAAAAAGTTATTTTCATCAAAAAAGATTTTGATATAATTCAAGTAATTTACCTTTAAATATAATATTCCTTATATTATTTGATGAATTTCTGGAAGTCTCAAGTTTATAGTCTGTGAACAATATATATGCTAAATATGTTAAACAATTTAAAAATTTGGATATAGTGTATGGTCTTTAACATTTTTCAAATAGATTGTCATTGAATCATAGTCTAACAATTAATAAATTAAAAAAAAAATAAAAATCATATAAATATAACAATCATATACAAATAAAAGAGTTTTCATAAATAGTTTTTTTCTATTTAGCATTTTAGAATTTTATAAGAATTCAAATGCTCTTAGAATTGTATAAAATATTTGAAGAAAAAGATTGATAACATTTTTATCCTAATTCTAATAGTTAAGAAAAGAAATAATGAGTTGCCTTTTAGGATTTTGCAAATAAATTTACAATGGCTAAATATATGGGATTGCCTTATTTAATTAATTATTCAATTTAGAAATGGGGACTTGTGAATAGAAATGGCATACATCAAATTGAGTATTAGAACAAAAAAAAAGAATATAAAAGGATTTTATGATGGTTAAAATTTAATAATCATGTTTTCGAATCATAAGGCTTTTTAAGAATGCAAAAAAAGATTTTAGTACGATTTATTTCCCCTTCTTATCAAATAAGGATTTTAATTATTTAGTCTAGAAGAATAATTGAATTTAATATCTGGTAAGTTTAAACAAGATTAAATAAGGTTTGATTTTTTTTAAGAGTATTTTGGGGATGAAACCAAATCTTAAAATTCAGCAAAACTTTTATTTGGAATGAAATTAGGTTTTTTATTGGTGGAGATTGGTATCTTCCCAAAACTTAAATCTCTTAAAGAAGTTGTTTTTTCATTAACATAATTTGCAATAGTTTAAAAAGGCCTTTAGGTTTATTGTGAAAGACTTAATATGACTTTAGGCCTATCTATATTTTTTTATTTTCTATTTGATTTTATCAATTTTCTCACTTAATATTCTTATTGATTTTATTTATATTAGGAATTCTCCAGTAACTATTTTGATGATTATATATTATTATCTATTTCTATTATTTTCATTCCTTCTGGATTCATTTGAGCCATTTAAGATTAATAAATTTCCTGTTATGAGGATTTCTCATTTTTGNAATATCAATCCCTTAAATAGTTTATTTTATTGGTTTACCTATTAAGTTTCTTACAAAAAAAAAAGTTATTTTCATCAAAAAAGATTTTGATATAATTCAAGTAATTTACCTTTAAATATAATATTCCTTATATTATTTGATGAATTTCTGGAAGTCTCAAGTTTATAGTCTGTGAACAATATATATGCTAAATATGTTAAACAATTTAAAAATTTGGATATAGTGTATGGTCTTTAACATTTTTCAAATAGATTGTCATTGAATCATAGTCTAACAATTAATAAATTAAAAAAAAAATAAAAATCATATAAATATAACAATCATATACAAATAAAAGAGTTTTCATAAATAGTTTTTTTCTATTTAGCATTTTAGAATTTTATAAGAATTCAAATGCTCTTAGAATTGTATAAAATATTTGAAGAAAAAGATTGATAACATTTTTATCCTAATTCTAATAGTTAAGAAAAGAAATAATGAGTTGCCTTTTAGGATTTTGCAAATAAATTTACAATGGCTAAATATATGGGATTGCCTTATTTAATTAATTATTCAATTTAGAAATGGGGACTTGTGAATAGAAATGGCATACATCAAATTGAGTATTAGAACAAAAAAAAAGAATATAAAAGGATTTTATGATGGTTAAAATTTAATAATCATGTTTTCGAATCATAAGGCTTTTTAAGAATGCAAAAAAAGATTTTAGTACGATTTATTTCCCCTTCTTATCAAATAAGGATTTTAATTATTTAGTCTAGAAGAATAATTGAATTTAATATCTGGTAAGTTTAAACAAGATTAAATAAGGTTTGATTTTTTTTAAGAGTATTTTGGGGATGAAACCAAATCTTAAAATTCAGCAAAACTTTTATTTGGAATGAAATTAGGTTTTTTATTGGTGGAGATTGGTATCTTCCCAAAACTTAAATCTCTTAAAGAAGTTGTTTTTTCATTAACATAATTTGCAATAGTTTAAAAAGGCCTTTAGGTTTATTGTGAAAGACTTAATATGACTTTAGGCCTATCTATATTTTTTTATTTTCTATTTGATTTTATCAATTTTCTCACTTAATATTCTTATTGATTTTATTTATATTAGGAATTCTCCAGTAACTATTTTGATGATTATATATTATTATCTATTTCTATTATTTTCATTCCTTCTGGATTCATTTGAGCCATTTAAGATTAATAAATTTCCTGTTATGAGGATTTCTCATTTTTGTTAAAACATTTTAATACTGTCTAATGTTTCTTTAAAATACCAGACATCTTCTGTATAATTGTTTTACGTCTTTGTTTCGTCTATTGTTCAGCCTAAAGAATAGCTATTATTTATTCTTATTACGCAATAGATGTCTTAGGATATTCACAATTGAAACGAATCTATAATCTATGTTATTCAAGTTACTTATTTTGAGGATAATTATTCAACTCCGCTTTTTCTTCTTAATAAATTATGGTTTTAAGGTATTAAATATTGTAATTCAAAACTTTTACTCAAACATTTGTTATTGTCATCACAAATTCTTAGGAAACTTTTTGAACAATCTTTTTTACCAATTAGTTATAGCTACATTTCTTTTCTTTTAAGTAATATTTCTTTGAGTTAAGCTTTTTAATTTTCATTTGATTTTCTGATATGTTACATTAAAACTTAGAAATTTATTAACAAAAAATACTATTTTAAGCAATAATATAAGAATTATTAAATGATTAATCTATAGTTTGTTTTCTTTTATGTTAATCAAATATATTTCTAATATATAATTATTGAATTTTGAAGATATCTTCAAAAATATAATTATTATTTTTGAAATCATTAATATATTCCTTAGTTTCTATGAAATTGTATTAATAAATGTAAATTTTTAATCTAATAAAAAATAATTATATTTTAAGCATAATCTATTGCCTAGGAGGATTAAGCTTTACATATAAATTGATCAGAAATTAAATCAAACAAATTTAATAACTTTTAAGAAATAAGAAAGTCTATTACAAACCAACACCTTATAATGAAATCATTTAAACAAAAGAAAATGAATCCGAATCCTTAATATTCCTTAAATAGCAAATAATTTTTGGAAAAGTCAAACAATTACGCTCAGATTTCTTACCTTAAACTAACATATTAGAAGAAAAATACCTATCTGTGAAAAAAAAAAATACTTGTACAAATGAACCATCCTTCTTTTTAACTGATTCTAAAAATCAATTATTGGAAATCAATTTACATTCAAATATACATTTCAAAGATAATCTTTATTAACCAGTAGAATAGAGGGATGAGAAAATCTAGAATAAATTAAAAATACTTGGATATAATAAATTGTTTATTGCTAGTTTCTCAGAACAAAGAATTAAGGTATTATAATATTTTAGTAATAGTTTGGTACTCCAATGGTTATTATTGGAGATTTAATTTTTAATAAAAATACATAATCGATTAGATGTTATAAACAATATTTTATGGGAGATTTGAAAACTTTTAAGTCATATTTACAATCATCAACTATCAGATAATCATGCTATTTGATTGTTAGTTTGCTTAGTTTTGCATATTTTTGTATTTACTTTTATAAAATTCATAAGAGAAATAGGTAATAATGCACTAAACTTACAAAAATTACTATTTCTAAAGGAAATGATTCATTATTATGTTAAGAATGTAAAAAATAATTGATTGATACATTTTTTTCTCCTTGTGGACATTTTAATCATTGCTATGATTGTGCTAAGCCATTTCAGAATTGTCCTAACTGTGATGAATACATTGAAGAGACAATAAAAACTTTTAAAAATTGATAAATTATTTTAGAAATAAGATTATGACATTTTTATTTAAAAACTATTGAATATTTAGATAATATTATCCCATTTCATAACTTTCTCTAATTTTTTTATTTTTTTAAGTAAATTAAATTCTTAATTCTAAGAATCACTTATATTTAAATCATAACTAATTTATTTAGACAGTTTATAAGTTGGTGCAAAATAAAATATTAATTTTGAAAGTTATAGAAATGCTGAAAATAGTGTGACATATTATACAATTTTATAAATTCAACATATATATCAATTTTTAATAAGAACTTAAAATCTATCAGTACTTGATTTGCGAATTATTTTTCAAAACATTCTTTGGATACTTAATTTTTAAACTAAGATAAAATAATTAAGTTCTAAAAGGAATAATAAAATTAGAGAAAATAATCAAAGCAAAAATGCCCAATTAAATTTTTATTTAGATGTAATATAATATTTATTTAATTCTTTAGATAATATGTACAATGATGAAAGAAAGAATTATGAGATTAATCTTATTTTGGTCATAAAAAAAAAATTGAATAGAACTTTTTTTTTTATAGTTTATTGCAAAAGTTTGTAAGTCTAATTTTTATATAGCAAGTTTATATTTAATATTAATATGATATATTCAAAAAGTCTCTAACTTCTAGTTATAATTTGAAACAAAACAAATAGTATTTATCATTATGATACCTGTTCAAGTAATTTGTATCTAGCTGGAAGTTACCGCAATATTTCCAATAATTATATTTAGGAATGAAATAATTAAAATATATCACTCTGAAGCATTAATAGGAAAAAACTAAGAAGAATTAACTTTGAGAATTCATATAAAATATTACTTAAATTCTTACAACTAAATAATTTTCTAACTTAAGCAAATTTATGAATAACACAAATAGATAAAAATGTTTAAATACCAAAATAATTCTTAATACTTAATTAATAATAGAGTTGATAATAGAAACGGTTAGAAAATTAATATTATTGTATCTTCTATTCAACTTTTATAATTATCTCATACTTTTAAAGAATCCATTTATGAATTCATCCCATATACGAATTACGAATTTGTTGCTTATTATAGTATTCACCACCATAAGTTATTTAAGAATAGTCCAATAATTATCACAGATATCTATCCACCTTCCATTTTCAGCAGTTCCTTATTCTTTATAATTTTCATATGATCCGCCACAACTAAATAATTGTAATCCTACGCTTGCATCAATTTATTTTCACCATTTTGTTTACAATATGTATCCCATCGACCATATTTGAACCCATTTAAATATGAACCAACATAATTAATATAAGAACTATCCTAAAATTAATCACTCATTTTAATCCACTTTTCAATTTTAACAAATTTTAGCCGTCTTCACTATATGATCCTCCTCCACTAAATTATTTAGTTTTAATCAATTAAATCTTTACATTAATTAAAAGATTGATTTTAATTCTTTCTCCATTCAATATCCCATCTACCAACCTTTTAACCAGTTTAATGTTCACCATAATAAAAAATTTATTTACTTTTCTAAAACCTCAATTTAATCAATTTTCAAATCTTTACATCATTTTCCATGTTCTAATCATAAGTTCCACCACCACTATATATTTTATACTATATTACATCAATTAGAATGGTTAACTGTGATATTATCTCCATAAAATATCCCATCTAACAATCTTTTTACCATTTTTGTATTCACCAGGATAAATAAAACGCCAAAAATTAATCACTTAACTCAACCCATCTACCAATCTTACTACTCTCTTTTTCATAATTGTACATAAATTACCAAGGAGTAATAGTAGAATCAATATACCATTTTGATGTTTTACATTCAAAACATTGATCTTTTTTATATTTGTACGGTTAAGATTAGCATTAATATTCACGATTAAATTCTACATCATAACAAATAGTATTTCCATTTTCGAATTATTCATAATCTGTTATTAGTGAATAGATTATTCTCCAGATAGTAAATCAAATCCAAAATCACAAGAATTACAATTAATTAATAAATATCAACATTTTATGATAATAAAACCTTCAAATATTTATTAATTAAATTTCTTGAAATTTAAATAAATAATACTGATATTAAGATAAAGTAGTGTTTACTTTTATAATAATTTCCCTTTATTATTATTGGGACTTTTTTTAAAAAGATTAACTTAATCTATTATAGGCTATTTAAATTTTTAATAAAAATTACATGAAGTCTTGTATTCAAATTAATTGGAGGATCAATATTGGACCTAAAAAGATATCGGTTTACCAGACATCAATAGAAATACAAACATTAATTCCAAATTTCACAAAAACACCTCAGGCTAAATTTAAATGTTAAATAAATTATTTATTAAATTTTAAACATTGAAAATATAGATATCTTTTTATTCAAAATCATCATTATATT